AAAAATGCATGCGTACATGCAACTAGTCCTGCTGGCCGCAACATAGTATGACCACACCGTGCACATACACACGTCTGAACGTGTACATGTACATTTGTACTTGTAATGTGCGGTGTTGAGATTATTCTACATAAACTGCTGTCGTAAAAACGCATGCGTACATGCAACTAGTCCTGCTGGCTTCATTGGAAAGCTCATAACTAATGTAATGCTAGAAAATTATCAATTCAATTTAATTGACATCTCATTTTCTGGGTGTTGCACCCAAAAAGCATGTATGTACCAGCTTGAACTTGTTTCGCAAACATTTTGGTGAGAACTGTACATTTATATACATGGTCATTAGTTCATGATTTGACGACTGAATTGTTTCTTGTACTTGTGCAGTTTGTATGCACATACTTGTGCCACTTGTATGCACATACTTTTCGATAGACGCAGTTAACTTTATTTGCCAAAAAAACCCAAACAACCATTTGAAAAATATGTACAGAACAAATCAACTGTTTAAATGCTGTATGCGCAAGTTCTATTACATTTTCAAAACTTTGGACTTAAAAAAAAAACCCAAATTGCTGCAAACTTGCCCGAAATGGACAGCAGGGCTATTTTTTGTCCTTTGGGGGGGGGGGGGGGGGAAAATTGGGGGGGGGGGATTGGGGGGGGGGGAGGGGGGGATGGAGGGGGGGATGGGGGGGGATGGGGGGGGAGAGGGGGGAGATTGGGGGGGAGGGGGAGGGGAGATGGGGGAGAGAGATCAGGGGACACAACAAAGACACAGCGCCCTCAAGAGTTGGTTTCATTTTCATTTTATTTCGTAGAATCCATTAGAATCAGTTAGAATCCATTAGAATTACAGGAAAAAATGACCAAAAAAAAAAAAGCACCCCGGTGCATACAAGTCCCCCCTGGTGTGGGCCGCGTGTTCCCCGCCCACGGACGCCAACAGGTCCAGTGAGTTGCCCCACTACATTACTCGTGATCAGTTGTGTTCGTGATGTGTACGACATCCGAATCATAAATGTCCAAGTCAAATGCAACATGGAAAGGATCCAATGAACTCCGACAATCAGTTTATTTTCTACTCGGCAGATGTTTAATGTATCGTACAACTCTAACAATTGCAAATACTGGAACATTTTATGCGCCCACTCATAATTGCTGCTCTCAGATATTTTCAGAATGTTCACTGTTGCATTATGGGAATTGATCAAATAAAATGAAACAGTTTACGAAGTGGTTACATTTTGTAAGTTTTCTCTAATGTTTTTCACTGTTTGTCGGACTTTAAGAACAGTAATGCTAGTCCCTCATGAATAACTTCCATACTATAACTCTTAAAACCCAGCCTCATACTGTATCAACATGTTCCATCTTTTTCTAAGAAAGTTCTCTCTCTGTTAAACAGAAGTTTTCTGTAAATGTAACGATTGTACATTTGAAGGTTTAAACGCTTCAATACGCGCATACAATTCTTGGCAATCGATGGCAGTGATATATTCAAAGTGAATGTACATGTCCGTAGCCTCATTTGCAATGTCATGTGACACGCAACAGTTTCGAGGCAAAATTTCACCTTAAAATGGAGAAAGATGTCACTGTTTTCAACCACACAGGGTAAACATGTACATACGCACGTGTAATTCAGTTCATGTAACTGCAAATAGAGATTAACTGCATCAAAATACTAACGATCCTTAATTATTATTTTTGGACAAAAACTTGAAGATATTGCGTGTTTCCCAAAGTTATTGTTTGAGCAATAGTATGAGTTCCACAGTTCATTTAACTTAGTATCAAAGTTAACAGTTATCTTGGTTTTTGGACTCTTTTTTTACTTCAAATGCAACGTATTGCTTTGCAAACGATTAAATGCCAAATCATCAATTGATTTTCGGTTTCTTGCCTCAAAAGAGTGCAAAGTATCAAGCTACATATTGTATCTTCTCTTTCAATCTCTCTATTCAAGGCATTTAGTTTTATTTAATTTCTTGTATTTTTGAATTTAGTTCGGAATGATCTTTGCATTTTCCCGCCAACATGGCCAGGAAATAAATGACACGTTTCAGTCATAAAATATCCTTGTTTTCAAAGTTTTTCACTTGTAGCTGTTGCATTTTGTTTACTTTTATGAGCCCTTTGAGATTTTTCAAAATAACTCCTGCTACGCATGTCAAAATTTCATAACTGCCAACTCATAATATTCATGACGACCGAAGTAACAGATCCATCTTCATTGATACATGTACCTATGTATGTACTCTTCCCGTATGAGGGGTAAGAGTATGGTTTCGACATGGTTTGCCAAACTCTTTAGTGCTTAAATGTCAAACAATTTCATTGATGACAAACATGCAAACAGAAGCAAATATTTTATTTGCTTCAATTTCTCCTAATGCACATGGACGGCAAGCGATCGAAGTTGCTTGTTTGTCCTTGCAATTTACAAATGTTAAATTTTGTCTTTGGAAGCCTTAATTGGCGTGCCCTTCTGAAGAACCATACTGCTCAGTGACTCGGTGGACGATGTGGTAGCAATCTGCCTGTCAGCATCCAGAGAAACTGTGACCATCCAATGCTGCACGGGTCAGCCTGTCCCGTACTCCATGCTAAGTTTAACTGAAGTTTTCATTAATTCATGCACAAATACAATTACATCCTCATGTGTTGCTCAGATAAACCCTAATATTCTCATGGCAGTTTGGTGTACGCCAGTCTACATTATCACAGATATTGCACATGCTCACATGCTGACCTAAGCAGGGCCCAGGAAAATCTATTTGTTATTCAAGCTGCGCGCCCAAAGATTTGATGGTTTTTTACTTCGGATTAAGGAAACGGTTGTTTTTGTGCAAAATTTAAAAGGGTAACAACAAAACGACTAAAGCAGTAGTTCTGAGTTTAGCAAAAATATCTCCAACTTAATTGTTGACCCATATTTTATTTGTTTTATTTTACATGTACATGTACATGTACATTTCAACTTGCATGTACAAATGTACATACAAACTGGACTGATTTTTTTACATGTACATGTACCAGTTCATGTACATTTCAATGTACGTATAAACTGGATTTCTACCTTTCTGGGGACCGCGCAATTACAGATTCGGTTACCATTAACCCATGAACTTGTGTACATGTACTTTCATCTGCTGTGTTTATTCCGAGGGAAAAAAGTCATCAAATCTCTTGTGTACATGCGCAGTTATTGAATCTAAACTTACTGTGGCATTAAATTGTGTCCCCAAACTGAAAATAGGGAAAACGTTTTTTAATCTTGCAATAGTTTTGGGGTTACGTATTTTGGATTTGGTCTTAAAATTCGGTAAAAAATCTGTATTATTTGGAAAGTTTCTTCTACAGACAAGCGACGAATGCAAGATTTATACACCATTAAAGCTTTGAATTTGTGTTCATTCTGAACACTACATGCATCTGCCTTTTTGGCTCGTAAAAATATTGAGGACAAAACATCGCATTGAAAGCAGGTCAGTGCAAACGACGCCTTTTTCACTGTCGTTCCACAAGTTGATGTATTTTGAATGCCATCAAAAAATTGCAGTATTTTGACGAAATGTTGTTCCAGCGTTAAAGTTCTAGCCATGCAATTCATTTAGCCGGAAATATAAATCAAATGGTTACCCATTTCTGTGACTGAAGAATTTGGTCTTTTGTTTTACAACCAAGTTTAATTGGTCAGATTCCATCCATTATTGATTTTCCTGGGACCTGCTTAAGTTATTTGACCTCAACCCATCAGTCAAAGGTCACTTCTTTTTTCTATTTAACAAAATATCTGATCAACCTCTGTAAGAAATGGAGAGTGTTTCCAATAGAACAGCTGAAATAGGTTTAAATGATTACACATCTTGATTATAACTTTTAAATTTGGTTTTAACTTGTGATAGATACCCGTCGAAAGCAAATACATTAGCCAATACAAGTTATTCTCATTCAGCATTTAATAATTTGTAATTTCAAGAGAAAATTCTTGATCAGAAGATTACGAATGTGCACTACATAAATCCACTTTTAAACATAGTAGAAGTTTATGGAAAACTAATTGTTTAAAAAGAATCTTCTTTTTTATGGTTTCCTCAAAACAAAAAAGAAATTTTATTTCAGCAAACACTATCCCAGTTCTGTCTAAGAAGGGAAATTGAATGGTACAGGTACACAAAGTCTTATAGAGCTAGAGTTTCATGTATGGATTACGAATAATATTTTTTTAAATTTGCTAAGGGTGAGGGGAAAAAAATTCCTAACAATACATTACAAATCCTTTCCTGAGAACTGGTATTTATTTATTTCTGCGGATGCGTGTGCCAAGATTAAACAAACTGATCTAAAGTTGTTACCTTTCTTAATATTAGAATTTTTAAGGTTATATTTAAGGGGAAAATTTTTTTTTTTTCTTTTAATTCGGACTTTAATTTTTTACACTTCTTAAAATCATGTCCTGCAACCCTCACATAGCTTTTTAGAGATGTCACATTTAATAAATATCTGCCATTTATTTTTTGATATGAGAACAAAATTCCCCACAAGAAGTGTATATTTTGTTTAGCTTTAGTTAACAGTAACATAGTGAAATTTGCTCTAATGAGGATTAATCAAAACTTACAAGTATTCACAAATTGACATTGAGACCAATGTTCATGTTACAAGCATTTTTTACGAGGACTTTAAGTTAATTAATTTCCAGTGCAACACTGCATCTTAACTCATCCATGCAAATTTTAAGATGATTAAGATCCTATCCATTATAACATTCCTACAGAGGATGATCAGATTTTTTGAATAGGCATTGGAAAAGTGGCAAACCAGTAGTCGCACAATTCGCTGCGAGTTTTTTAGGTTACATGCTGAACGTTACATGTAAATGTACATGTAACTTAACAATGGGTTGGTGCATGGAGCGTGATAGTCTTCAGTCTTCAGCAATACCAAGCTACATTTTTTAAGTTATAAAGTTTGGTCCTTTACTGTCCCCTTAGTTCTTCACTTTAACATAAATCTGTTGGCATTGAATTCTGTGATGCCAACACTGACAATCGCAAGCCAAATGAACAAGGCTCTAGAGCAAAAACGATCTGAATCAAAGCTTTTATTTCTGGACGGTACTGAGCAGTTTTCGGGGACGCAAGAATACTGTACACGAAGTACAAAATAGGACATTTGAGTCATCTACAAATTTAGTCTGTTATGTTCACATTTCATTAAATCCAAATGAGACCTATAATCAAGCATTCGGCTTTAATTTTAACTGGCTGCATTTCTGACAGTTTCAACACAATGGTGTGCTGCTAGAATGTCTTCTGGCGCCCGGGAATCGGATTATCGCCGAAGATAAACTCTGCAGTTAATGACATGAGATTTTAAGCTCTCACAGAGTCATTGGATTAAATTTGGATCATACCGGACCCTCCAACTGCACACAGGTCTACCGGTTTAAAAACCAGTGTCAAGAGAATATGATGGCAGCGTACAGCCAATTGATGCCACCTTGATTTTAGCCCTGGATTTTAGCCCGGGATCAATTTAGGAGGACTCTGCACAATAGATATGTATGAAAATAATTACTTCTTGTTTGCTGCAGGTTTGGTTTGGATATTTCTCTAACTATTGACTTTCTTACAAAGTTAACTTGCTCTCTAGCTCAGCAAGTGCAAAACTTAAGCAATGAGAAATTTTCTAGGGAAAGCTCTTGGGGACCACAAGGTTGAGCGAAATGTACTCGGCTAGTTCAGGATTAAGAACAGAAAACTGGAGCATTTAACTTGATCAAGGCATTGACTAGGAAACTATGCTTCCATGTATTAAAAAAAGTGAGAAAAAAAATAGAGAATATGACAAATGACTCACGTTCACAGTGAGGTGACACTGCATTGCGTTGGCAGTAAACTGCTCAAATTGGGCAGACTTAACAATTTTGAAACTATTTTAGGTTTCACCAAAAAGAGATTTAAAAAAAAATGGATTCAGGATCTCTTTCTTATTTTTTACTGTTTCAGCTACAGATGCAACGAGCCCTATTCTGTCTGCATTTCTGTAATGGGTAATTTGGACTCGGAGCAGGATTTTAAAGCTCTGCTATCACCCAAGCGTGAATAAATTTTATCATTTCATATGCCAGGGACCATGCAGGATTTTCAGAAAATCAGGTCTTGGCCTGACCCATAATGGTCGTCTGTGAGAGCCATGCCTGGTGAGCTTCTTTTACAGCTACAGATGGGATTTGTAATACCAATGTCTCAGACATGATGTGCATTTCTCCCTCTCTGTCAAACAAATTTATGCTTTTAAAGCCATGAGAGCAGCACTTGCAGCATTTGGACAGGCAAGTCAAAGAATCTGAAAACTTGCTTTTTATAATAACTAGGCCCCCAACGAGAGCAACTTTAGATGTAACATGGACCAGCTGGATAACATAAGTGCATTACCAGTGTGGGGGAAAAAAGATGCACAAATGCTTTCAGAACTTCAACATGGATGCTGAAGTATTTCAGTTGTCAATGCACACAACCTTGATGCATCACAGGCTATTTTAAGCAACGCAAGATTCAAGATAATTTTACAATTTTTGAAATTATTTGCAACCTTTGCAGGATTCAGTTTGGCATTGTCAATGCCTTGATCAAGTTTCGCATCACTCCTACTTGGTTTTGCCGAAGACTGAAGACTATCTGTGCAATACTGCTTTGGTTTATGTAGAAAGCGTACAAATCTAGCCATGAGATATATACCCTGGGTTTATCAAGCAACACATTGAGGATGTATCAGTAGTGCATGAATTAATTCTACAAACTTCAATTAAACTTACCATGGAACGAGTTCTCGGGACTGGCCCCCCGTGCCTGATGCCACAGTTTCTGGGTAGGACACTGACAGGCAGATTGCGACCCAATCTCAACCCGCCATTCACTCTTTCTTTTAGGGGCACACGCATTTGTGGGTTTTTTTTCCTTGAACTCAACTTTTCTGATTCAAATTTTCCCCTACTTTTTGGAACTTTTAGAATTCATTTTCCAAGAGATTTGTGTCCAAATTTATGGACTTTTTTACAATTCCCCTTGGGAATGGGGCATAAGTTCTTAAACTCACAATATTGGGAGATTGCTGACCCCCACTAAATAACAAATGATGCCTCAATAGAGGCTGAAAAAAATCATTCATAATTTTTGGCTAATTTCAAGGATCAAAAATTTGCTTTTTGCATGTATGTATGTCAAATTTCTTTTGCATTTGGGCAAAAAAACCTGACTTTAAACAATCCGTCATCTCAAAGATTTGAATTTTGAATTTTCATTTATTTTTTTTCAAATTTTCTTCTTTTTTGAACATCCAAAATGTGATGGCAAATTCAGAAACAAATGCGTGCCCCCTACAATTTGAGTGAATGGCCTGCATGGGTACATCGTCCACCGAGCAATCTCACAGCATGGTTCTCCCCTTCTGCACACCAGGGGCTTCTCCAGAGCAGTTTCAAGAGTTTGGCAATTGTCTTTTCTCTGGTCGTTTCCTCTTTTTTTTTGGCAGTATGGGCTCCTGAAAATATTTCTAGCTACAAGTGCTTTGTAACTGCCCAAAATACTTTGATTCCATCAGATCATAAATTAACATTTTTTCGATATTATAATGCCAAGATTGAGAGAATGAAAAACGGTCAATTTGTTTTTTCTTGGAAAACTGATTTTTTTTCTTGGAAAACTGATGATCTCAATTTACTTGCTTAGCTTGGAAAATAGTTTACTTTTTGAAAACATTTAAGAATTTGGTTGATGCATTTTGGGAATGCTCTTTGACTTGAACTTGTTTAAATTTTTTTTTCTGAAACGCATTAACTGAAGTAGCGTTCATTTTAAAGTGAAAATTTGTGGCAAGTAGAGTTTCATTTCAATCTTCTAAAAGACTTTTGAGTATTCAGATGCAGTTAATCACTTAAATGACATTTTAAAGTCTAATACCATTCATTAGAATTCAACACTGCACAATGCGCAAGAAATTGTTTTTGGAACATGTCAATACAACAATAGGCATGGAAGTTTCAGAGTTAAAACCATGGAAGTTATCCATAACAGGGACCTACAAAACTGCCTTAAAAATCCACAAACACTAAAAAACATCAGAGAAAGCCAACAAAAAGTAACCACTCATAAACGCTTCATTCGATTGGATCAAAGGCCACAATGTAATGGAACATCTTCAATATCGAGCGAGCAATGTCAGAGCAGTTGCACAAAATCGTTCCTTTGATTTGCAAAGTTAAGAGTTGCGGATACATCGACATCTGCTTCGTAGAAAATAAACCAACTGTCAAAGTTCAAAGGATCCTTACCATGTTGCAGTCGACTTGGACATCTATGATCCAGATGCTGTACACATCCCAAACACACTGATCATGAGTAATGCAGCAGAGCAACCCACCGGAACCTGTCGGCGCCCGTGGACGGGGAACACGCAGCCCACACCAGGGAGGACTTGTATGCACCGGGGTGCTTAGAATGGTTTTCTTTTACATTGCCTGTTGGTTTTAAATGACAAATATAATGTTGTGTTAACAGTGGCTTCATGTTTACATGTACATGTATAATCAGCACTTGGCACAGAAAAAAGTTTTAAGTTAAAGTTGCTCTACCCGTGTTCTTCAACGTATTCAATATTTTTTCTTCTAACAAATTTTCAATTTGTATGTTTCCATATCCAAAAACAAATTTTTTTTTCTCTTTTTGACCTTAACACTCTTGGCTTTTATTTAGGAGTTGATTTTGAGCCCATAATACACAAAATGATATGCCTGATTTTAAAGTCAGCAAATACTTCGAATACTGTAAGGTACTTATTTCATAACTAAATGTGGACGAATTTTTTGGGTTTGATGTCTCATTCAAAAGCAAACAACTTTTGTATTGCTATCAAAATATCAGTTTACAAACAAAATCTTTTTTGGGGAGGATGAAACTAAAAAAAATAGCACAGGTAGAGCAACTTCAAGTTCCTTATTTAACATGTGCTAATGCAACCTTAAATTTGAAAAATTCAGCAATTTGAAAACTTTGTGAATTTATAACTTGTAATTATGCACACAAAAAAACATTTGTTTATCTGAATAGGATCCAGACTGCCTTTTAGCTAATTCTTTAGGAAACTATTTGCATGGTATTAAATAATGAGCTAAAATATATAAACTAAATATATTTCAAAAAGAGAAATAGCCTTGAAGAATAAAGATTTTTTTTTTGGCAGTCTCAGCAATACTAGATTGTTGGTAAAAAAAAAAAGAGAAAAAAAAGGAGGGTTTACAGGGTTTGGAAATAAAAATTCAACTTTGTGAAAGATCCAAGATGTCATTTGATCGCTTGCATTATTTTAAGTTCATATATAGTAACGTGCCAGTACTGATTATACTTAAAATGCTGGGTACATGACTGGTAAATTGATTTTTTAAAATCAAAATTACATGTGTGCTATATCAACATTTTCATGTTTCAGTGTCCACAAGAATGAATTAAGAATCATTATGCCTTGATCATCAGATAATCCAGATAAATTGCGCTGTAAAAAACATTGATCACAAAGATTTTAATCATGAATTATTATAGTGGATGTAGAACACGCACGCACATCACACTTTTTAGATGTGCAACAATTAAAATTTCTAAGTTTCTGGATCTGAAAATCTTTTTGGTTATCGCAATTGGAGTAATGACGGCTTTTTTGCTCAATAGATATTTACCATAGTCTAGTACCCAGCACCCAACAGGCATTACTAAAAAAAAAAAAAAAAAAATAGAGGCGACCAGCCCTCACAGAATTAACCAGTGGTTTTTAAATTCAGTTTTGAAAGGACTTCAGGAAATTCTGGTTCGTGTTTTATCCCCCCCCCCAAAAAAAAAAATAACGTTCTAGTGTGACAACTGACATACAGTAGAATTTGAAAATTGCCAGCAGAAGCCAATTTCTACATGTTGCTCGCTTCAAGGAGTTCGTTTGTGAACATTTTTTGTTCATCTCGTTTCACATGTACTTCGATTTTCAGGTTTCCTGATCGCAACAGACACCCAATTTCATAATTTACGAAATTGTATTCCAAATTTTATTGACATTCTGTGAGGGTTGGTTAAGTCTTTTCATTTTTCAAAACTTGTCTTCATCAAGTCCACTTTGTCCAGAGGTCTCCATATTTGTGAAGTGTTCACATCACTGCACATATAGTGTTCATTGTTCTCAGATTGATGTCATCAGTGAGGCCAGGGAAGATCTCATGTTCCCGGGAAAACTCAAAGTGTGTCCGATACACGGAGGTCACAAGATGTTCAGGAGAGTTTATGATAGATCCAATAGGGACTTGTAGTGTTCTAGTCATCCATCACATGTACAAAATATCCACAGCATCTTACATGTATTGTACCACATGCCATATGACCATAGGAGAAAAGGCAACAGTAAGGTGTGCACTGGCAGATGGCTCATGTCTTTGGAGGGGTTGATCAGTTGATGCCATTCCACTGAATGTGTAGTAGTTTCACCGCAGTGGATGCACCGCAGTTGATGCACCGCGGAATGTGATGGATGTCCTCCAGGGAATATGCGAAGGGGTCTGGTATGACAAATATCCTGCCATTGATGCAAGTGGTGAATTCAAGTCCTGTCCTGTACTGTGATTCATGACCTGTAGTATGGTGGATAACATTGACAAGTAACAGAAAGTTGATCAGTTGATGTACGGCTGATGTGGTGGATTCTACTAATGTCCTGTGATGTGGTGTGGTGGATGACTCAAGCCTCGGGAGGTTAATCAGTTGATACACGATGCATGTGGTGGATTCAAGACAGTGTCCTGTAATCGTTTACCTCTGGTACGTTGATGACAAGTCTCAAAAAGTTAATCAGTTGCTGCATGGCTGATGTGGTGGGTTCCATTGTCCTCTTGATGCGGTGCCACAGATGGTTGAAGCCTCAGGAGTTGATACATGATGCATGTGGTGAATTCAAGTCCTGTCCTGTACTTGATGACCTCTAGTTCCGTGGATGACAAGTTGCAGAAAGATCAGTTGATGCATGGCTGATGTGGTGGATTCCACTGATATCCCAGATGACTAGCTCTTGTTGACCAGCGAGTTGCAGTGTCCGTAACAACATTCTTAAATGTAGAAGACAGTCAAGGCAAGCCTGCCACAAGGACGCCCTTTCATCTCTGAGGTGGAAGTTGGGTGGACGATTACGAATGCTGGAATCTGGAGGCACAGGAAATTGTATAGAAAAAATCAATTAACTTCATTTCATGAAAAACAATCGCCACCGCTCATTTTCAGGAATGTCCAAATGTTCACAAGCATTTCCTTTCGATAACCTTTCTTGTACATAGGGACCTATACAGTAGGCTATACGCCTATTGGAAAGAATGTTGCATCCTGACACCACTTTTTCCGTCATAGGCCTATATTATCTCAACTGAAGGACATTCACTGCAAAAATGTTGAAAATACATGAATCTGGAACTGAGAAACATTACCAATTTTGTTAGGAAATACTTAGAAATGTCCTTGACACTCCAGACTTTTACCGCTGAAGTAGTGTCTGGACACTACATTCTTTCTGGCTTATTTTGAAAAATTTAGAAAGTCTTCCCTCAAATTTTAACAACAGAATACGCCACAACTTGAAGTCAACAAAATAAGGGTAAAAATGTGTAGTTTAGGAACCCGTTCCATATGACACCAAATTTGCAAAAGCCATTTTTGAACGGAACTATAGTAAAATTGTATTAAAAACTGACAGTGTCATATTTTTTTTTATCAAAATACCCATTAACAGACAAACATAAAAAGGAATAAATACAGTCCTTTTCCTACCTACCTACCTGTATAACATCAGAGCGTTAAAGTAAAACAACACACAGAGACAACTCGACTCGGGACAAGTCGACCGTTGAGACAACTCGACCGTTGAGACAAGTCGACCGTTGAGACAACTCGACTCGGGACAAGTCGACCGTTGAGACAACTCGACCGTTGAGACAAGTCGACCGTTGAGACAACTCGACTCGGGACAAGTCGACCGTTGAGATGACTCGGGACAACTCGACCGTTGAGACAGCTCGACTTAATGGAAATGTATACACGTGGAGCGGAAAAAGTTGCATGGCAGGACCGGTCCCGGGCGCAGGCATACTCGATGCACAGAGGGCGCTCCGATCCGGTGGTCGTCGCGAGGACCGGGCCCGGCCCAGCACGCGGGCACGTCGACCGGCGCGGCAAGTGGGCGCACAGGCCCGGCACAAACGATGTCACCGTGCACGGTACGGCCCTTGACCGACCGGGGATGGGATAAGTTAGTCCCTATTGTGTGGCCGCGATAGCAATACTGAGACCACACAAGTGGGGCTAGGGATAAGTGGGCGCACAGGGCTGGCAAAAACGATGTCACCGTGCACGGTACGGACAAGTTGACCGGCAAGTGCGCGCACAGGCCCGGCAAAAACGATGCCACCGTGCACGGTACGGCCACGTTGACCAGGGATGCGCGCACAGGCCCCCCAAAAAAACGAACGATGTGCATGGACAATCACGCTGCGCTATATCGGCTCTGTTATATGCAACAAAAAAACTCATGTGTCATCACTCCCAAACGGCGATCAGCCGCCGTCAAAATCCCCAGTACTATCCCCGAAACTAGGCCCAAAAACATGCGAGGCGACTTGTCTCAACGGTCGACTTGTCTCAACGGTCGACTTGTCTTTCCATTTATGGCACATACGGTCGAGTTGTCTCAACGGTCGAGTTGTCTCAACGGTCGACTTGTCCCGAGTCGAGTTGTCTCAACGGTCGACTTGTCTGACCCCCCATTTGTCCAGAAACTGGGCAAGCGTCAATATGACATGTTGTTAGTGCAGCAGACAGTAGGACATTTCGACTTATATTAGCCGTAATTATCAATCATATATTTATCCATGAACTCACCTGACGTCAGTAATTGTGATATTTTCAAGTTTCAACCGCAAATTATTCAAAAGAAGGGCATTTTAAAAATATTCCAGCCGAAAGTTCGTTGCACGTGTAATTTTGAAACAACCATATTTAACTGGTACCCGTATATTGCTCGTGACCATTGTCATGTCCCACTGTTTGGTAACCAGTTACGTGTCGCACGCGGGAGTTCGGTCTTGAAAAAAAAATAGTGAGGGCGCTATCTATTAGCAAAAAATCTTGAATTATTGCAGATACGATTGAAATATCAGTGTGCCTTTTTTCTTTTTTGATTGATTTTGCATAAAAATAATGGGTTTCAATATTTCAGCAATTGCAGACGGCCGACGGACCAACTCTATAAGGAACAGTAGCCTGCCTCCTCCTGCCACCACAAAATCCAATACATCCCCCGCCCCTCCCTCCCAAATTACTTCTCTTTGCGAAAAAATATCCTCTGAATCTTTTTATTCCTCCAAATAAAACAAAAACAAAAGGCAAAACTAACAAAACACCCCCTGCAAAAAGAACCCCCTCCCTAAAATAAATAAGTAAATAAATTAACTCCCCAAAAATAAATTTTGATTTTTTTTTTTTTAATGGTTATTTCTTCTTTTTTTTGGAGGGGGGGGGGTTGATGTTTGTGGTTTTCATTTTCAAATTGTGACATGCGGCTTCTCCCCCCCCCCATGCAATCCCCGATCCCCACCGAAGTGCTTTCTTTGACCTTTTATGCCTATGTATTAACAGTAACATTGGCTAATGGACTACATCAGTTGGACAAGAAGGCCCAAAAAGACCGGGGAATGGTACAAGAGGCCCGAAATGAAGGCACACGAATGGGCAAGACTAAAATAAATAGTTGATATTGAATTTTTAACAAAAACCTTTGTGTTATAAATTCAATGATGCATTGCAGAGGAGGGACGGGGGGGGGGGGGCATCCTTCATTTTTTTACTTTCCTCAATTATTCTAGAGCGCCTTTTCCAAAACAAATCAAGCAAAATTTAATCTAGTTTGATGGGGTTATCTAGAGATTGAGAGCAACTATTAACTATCGGAAAACATTGCGACAAATAATGTAGTTTTGTAATTCTCCTCCCCAAAAGTTATGCCTCTTTCCTGATTTCAATAAAGCAGGGTACAAATGACTATGAAAGACTGGTTCACACTTCCAGCAACTTTTTCAAACAGCCATTAAAATCTTTAGTTGGATTAAATTTTCATCCTCCCTGGTTTTGCATGTGCTTTAGAGTGAACCATCCTTCATGTCCATGTAGACTGTGAGGACTATTATGCAAGACAAAAATGAGTTCATTTCTTCAAATTGGCAAGACAAACCATTTAATAACACATACTGTTATTGCCTTGGAACTAACATCGAGAACAATTGCAACAAAAACAATATTTACAAGCTGTCATCACTAACATTGATAATAAATAACTTTCCATTTCAGAGTTTACAATTTAAAGCATTTAAAATGATGCATCAAATAAATATCAAAGTGAAGAACAAGGATAAAGCATTTTTCTGCTAAGCTACACTTTCTTACATCACATTACTGCATATCTACAGTACTAAAAAAAATAAGGAAATATGGCATTTTAATGACAACATGGAATTAAACAACCAGAAATAGTCGGATATAATCTAGTGTACAGTAGGCATGCAAGTGCACACTCCAATATCAATAACTGTGTACAAATTCAAAAGTAACTTTTCAAACACTGTGTTCTCCACTTTTGGTGTGTTTTAAGACTATCACAATGATGAATTTGCCCTTGAAAATAAAACCTGCTCTCAATGTACATGTACATGGTTTTGAGAAAATCTTGAAGAGAAACCTATTCACTTGGGTCCAATTAAACTATTGCGGTAGAATAACGTCAACGCAGCTTGTGAACTTTTTTCCAATTACATGATATACAAATGGATGCGCAATGCGCAAAATCTGAGACAAACAAAAGTTCATAGGGTTGTCTAAGGGGCGTGGCTAACATGACAACGTCGGCAGGTCAAATTTGCTGCCGAGTTTAACAAAATTTTTAACAAGAATAATTGGATGTTGTAGTCAAACAATGCCAACTTTTAGAAAACTGTTCTCTTTCGCACTGCATGAAATATGAGTGATATAAAACCGTTCACATAAACTGTTTAATGTGGGAAAAATAACATGCAAAAGATGTTTAAATGTTTGAGTTGCCCGGCGGTTGCCTATGGGCATATTCAGGTGACACTGTCATTAGTACAGTCGAATCTCGTTAATACAAACTCGTTCGGACCTAGCCAAATTGTTTGTTATATCAGAATTTTGTATTAAGAGGAACATCAGTCCCATTCATTGTGCACATAAATGCACAGTCGGGACTAAGGCTTTATGTTTGTTATAACCAGAATTTTGTATTAACAGAGTTTGTACTAACGAGATTCGACTGTACATCATACATGATACGGGTATGTTATAATGTATACATAATACTGATAGGTACTTGGCAAAATAAAATAGAAAACTACCCAGAAATTCAAATGCAGTAACAATACCGATTGGAAATATAAAAAACAAGTCAGGTGTGTTTACAAACACAAATGCCCCGCAACCGTGACTGTTCCCATGACATAACACCACTCTTTTAACATCAACTTACATGTACCTTGGTCACATGGAATGTTCATTGACAGCATTAGTGTCTTCTGTAGGTTTTATATGAATTAATCCCTAATCCCTATGATCTCAGAATAAATACAAGATTTCGATTGTTTTAGCCACTGTGACCTTGACCCTTGACCTTTTGGCCCCAAATGCAAAAGGCTTCTTAGGATTACCAAGGACAACCCACAAACCAAATTTGAAGTTCATATGTAAAGTATTTCTCAAGTTATCGCGCTGACAAAATTTCTATTGTTTCAGCCACTGTGACCTTGACCCTTGACCTTTCGGCCCCAAATGCAATAGGCTTCTTAGGATTACCAAGAACAATACACAAACCAAATTTGAAATTCATATGTAAAGTATTTCTCAAGTTATCGCGCTGACAAAATTTCTTTTGTTTTAGCCACTGTGACCTTGACCCTTGACCTTTCGGCCCCAAATGCAATAGGCTTCTTAGGATTGCCAAGGACAATCCACAAACCAAATTTGAAGTTCATATGTAAAGTATATCTCAAGTTATCACGCTGACAAAATTTCTTTTGTTTCAGCCACTGTGACCTTGACCCTTGACCTTTCGGCCCCAAATGCAATAGGCCTCTTAGGATTGCCAAGGACAATCCACAAACCAAATTTGAAGTTCATATGTAAAGTATATCTCAAGTTATCACGCTGACAAAATTTCTTTTGTTTTAGTCACTGTGACCTTGACCCTTGACCTTTCGGCCCCAAATGCAAAAGGCTTCTCAGGATTGCCAAGGACAATCCACAAACCAAATTTGAAGTTCATATGTAAAGTATTTCTCAAGTTATCGCGCTGACAAAATTTCTATTGTTTCAGCCACTGTGACCTTGACCCTTGACCTTTCGGCCCCAAATGCAATAGGCCTCTTAGGATTACCAAGAACAATACACAGACCAAATTTGAAGTTCATATGTTAAGTATTTCTCAAGTTATCGTGCTGACAAGATTTGTCCGGACACACACACCCACACACACACCCACCCACCCACCCACCCACCCACCCACCCACGGAAGGACAAGGCGGAAACAGTATGCCCCTTCGGCTTCGCCGCGGGGCATAAAAACTAGTAACTTATTAAGATTGCACTGATATTGCTCTAGCATGGCTATGATATAATGTGTGGTCCATGAGCTAGAAATTGGTTATTGTAATGTGGGGCATGGAGTTTTTTTGTACGTCTACAGGATGCATGGCACCTGAAACAAAGTAAAATATGCCATGAATCTTATAAATGTGTTGGAATACTTGTTTCAAACAAGACTCTATTTCATTTGGTGTGTGGAACATCACTCAATATGCGTTTTTCAATTTTTAGCGCTGTGAAATCTTCCAATCACTCTGTCAATTATGCAAAGTCCTATGACAAAAATAAGATAAATTCATAAGATGACCAAAATAAAATCCTTCTCATTAAAACTCAATTTATGAAGGATTGGACCAATTAAATTACAAATACAATGTATCTAAAGCAAGAAATTACTTTCCAAGTTCATAATCATCTAAGAATCTCCAAAAAGTAACACTGCCATCAGGTACATATTATATTGGTCATATATTGTAGGAAAACTTTTATAATTTTAAAAACACAATACAGCCAGCTGCAAACTAATATTTTGTTTCAAAGAGTGCTCTTAAATTGTCTTTCACAGGTCAATGATTTTCAATTTAAAAATTCTCAATTCTTGTTTCTGCCAATCCAACACTGAAAAGGGAGAGACAATGTTCAGCATTTCATCCTGTGCAATAATTAAACACTTAACTTTTCAATTACATTATTTCAGAAGAAAAATTGAAAAATTGGGTTGGAGTTTCAATATCTCGTTCACAAGTGAACAACTTTTGTGTTGCAAAAAAATGCATATTCAAAATGATTTCTTTTGGAAGGGGGGGGGGTGGTGAAAGTGAAAAATAGGATAGACAGTACACCTTCAAAAGATGATGAGCAAGATGTGACAGCACTTCTCAAGCATTCCGGTCCCCTTGCGAGATGGTCCACTTGCTTACTGGTCAATCACATCAGACCTGCTCAGAGCATGAGTCCCCTTTCCCGATCACAAAGCAGCTATCTTACTGGTTGGTTGGAAAGAAAAGAAATTAATATTGTGATTAGTTCATTAAATCAGTAATTTGGCTGAGAGCCTTACTAAATCCTTCAAAAGCTGTACAATAAATTCATTGGATATGTTCAGCTGGGGGGGGGGCACACCACATAAAAACCCACAATTATTGTAGATATTTTTGCGCTTATGGTTTTTGCTGATTGGGGGAACAGTTGCTCGTCATGGGGGGCCTGGCCCCCCTGTATCCCCCATTGGCAACAGCCTGGATATCTTACGAGGCATCTAGTCCTCTTTACTGTAGAAGCAGATGGGCTCTTCCTTAATCCTCCAAAATCCTCCTGAACATTGTGTAGATTTTGAAGGACATGGGAGGGTCAGTGTATCAAACAAGTTTGTTCGATATTGATGAACTCCAATCTAGGGCAGTGCACTTTCAAATATTTTATACCAAACAAATGATGCACATGTATGTATTGATATTTTTTTTGAGGTAGCCAAGATGCAGACTTATACAATTAAAACTACATTGTGGGTGTTATAATTCTCCATCTTTATCTCTGAATTGGAAAAATGATTGCTAATCGGACATACAGGGGACGATCGAAAATTTGAATACTCAGGATATAGCTGTAATTTCATTGGAGGAATCATTACTTTACAGAGAGTAATGCTTGCAAATTTAAGTTTTCGTCAGGAGCCATGACAATCAAATTTGGGTCAGATCAGGAACAATTCAGACACAGTGTTACAATGCATGACATTCACGAAGTGTTTAGACAACTTTTTAAAAAACATTCACGTACCATTGTATTCTGCCATGGTTGTGGGTATTCTCCTGTTACCTCTTCAAGTGGTTCCAATTTCACAGGCACAGACAAGTATTCTATCTGGTGGATATCCTGTTCAAGTTCAAGACCATTAAACGGCCTGTCATTGTGGACTTCCAGGTGTGAAAACAGATGCTTTCTATGAGTAAAAGAATCGCCGCAAGTCCCGCAAGCGAAGGATCTGACCGCAGAGTGGGACATCTTAGGTTCCTCTCTTAGTTTATGTTGATGGTGAGTGCGTTCGTGATTGCTTAGACTGGCTTTCTGAGAGAAAGCTATGCCGCAATCCCCACAGATAAATGTCTCCTTTGCCAAGTGGATCGTCTGATGGGATTTAAGTCCGCTGATGTGGAAAAAGCTTTTGCGACAAAAGTCGCAAACAAACTTCTCTCTTGTTTGCGTTGTGGTACGACCACTTCTGCGGAAGGTAGCTCCATTACTGGTGGTTGGTACAAGCTCAGAAGGCTTTGCTGCCTTATCTCTGGGGCGCAGAACCCTTCGGTGTATTTCAAGATTGTTTTGTGATGTGAGGGTTTTGCCACAAATGTCACCAGCACATGTTTTTGTATCATGCTGTGATCTTCTCTGCTTTGACACGCGACCACGTCTGGATGCTGAAGATCTTTTATGAGCGAGACTGGCCCCCTTTAAAGGCTTTACGACATCATTTTCTGCATGCTGAACACTTTGGTGTTTTAAGAGACCGGCTCTTTGTGTGTAGGATTTACCACAAGTGCCGCACGGGAATGGCTTGACATAGAAATGGACACTTTGGTGACGCCGTAAGTTTCCTTTCTGGGTGAAAGCTTTGCCGCAGGTGCTGCACACATGTGGCTTTTCATTGGTGTGGATGAGCTGATGGGTTCTCAGGTTGATTTTCTGAGCGAAGGCTATGTTACATATGCCACATATGAACCGCCTCTGTTCTGTGTGGACAACTAGATGACTCTTAAGAGCCCTTGCATGTGGAAAACATTTGTTACAAATACCACATGCGTGAGGTTTCTCACTAGGTGGAGGTGTACTTGTATCAACCTCCACTGCACCACTCTTATGTGATGTAGCCACATGCATGTCAGTGCCACTCACAGATGCTTCTTCCTTAGAATGAACCTTCATCATGTGCTGTTTCAGGTTCCCTTTTTGCGTGAAGGCTTGGTTGCAAGTGCCACAAAGAAACGGCTTCCGATCAGAGTGGGTCAGCAGGTGATTTGTCAGGTGAGTTTTCTGCGCGAAGTCTCTGTCGCAAATTTCACACACGAACGGCTTGGCGGTAGCATGTGAGAGTCGATGACATTTGAGGATACCATTTGTGGAGAATGCCTTGTTGCAGATGTTGCACACAAACGGTTTCTCTCCCGTGTGGATCCTACGGTGAACCTGTAGCTGGCTTACATAACAATATTCTCGCCCACAAAATTCGCATCTATGTTGTTGCTCTCCAGTAAGACTCTTCTGGCTGAGTTTCGGTGTTCTTGTGTTATCAGAGACCATTTGTTGGTCCTGAAAGTGGCGCAGCCTGTGGGACTTCAGAGTGCCATTTGCCCTAAAGGCCTTATCACATATGTCGCACACATACGGCTTCTCCCCAGAGTGGATCCGCAGATGATATTTTAGACCGCTAGCAGTGAAGAATCTATTGCCACAAACGTCACAAGCATGAGGTTTTACTCCACTGTGACACCTCTGATGGCACTTAAGATAATACTCATCTGCAAATGCTTTACCACAGATGTTGCAGACGAGATGCTTCTCTTTGTGATTACGGTTATGATGGAGCTTGAGACTGCTTCGCTGGACGAAGGATTTGCCGCAAATCCCACAGGCAAAGAGTCGCTCTCCCCTGTGGATTTTAAGATGACTGTTAAGAACACCTTTCTGTCTGAAGGCTTTGTTGCAGATATCGCAAGGGAACGGTCTCTCTCCAGTGTGGATGTTCAGGTGTACCATAAGTGCAACTTTTCCCACGAACCCCTTGCCACAAGTGTCACAGAAAAACAATTTTTCGTCTAAGTGGCTTTTACGGTGAGCTCGGAGCCTACATTCTGTCGTAACGGACATGCCGCAAATGTCACAGGTGAACAGTTTCAGATTACGTCCGGGGTGTTGCATCTGGACGTGCAGTGTCAGGCTGCTCTCCTGTAGGAAGGATCTATCGCAAATGTCACAAGGGAACTGCCCTCGGTGGTCATACTGGTGACGCGTCAGCTTACCTCTATGTGAGAAGGTTGCGCCACAAATTTCACAGATGAACTGTTTCTCTTCACGGTGAAGCGCCATGTGCCCGTTCAGGGAGCATCTTGTCCTAAACTTTTTACCACAAATTTCACACAAGAATGAATTGACTCCCTTGTGGGTCAAAAAGTGAATATCCAGATCACTTTTTGTCCTCCACGTCTTGCCACAAACTTCGCACAGAAATGATTTCTTATCAATGTGTGCAAACTTCAGTTGCTCCCAATCTCCCGTGACCAGAGAAGGATCTTCATAAGTGACTTGAGAAAACGTACTGTCACATGACATCTGTTCTGACAACATGGTATACTGAGAGGCATCTCTGTAAGTCACGGGAGATGATGTTTGGTCATTCAATGTCTCCTCTGAAATGAAAGTCTGAGCGGCATCTTCGTGAGCAATATGAGAAGACATAGAGCCATTCAATGTCTCTGCTGGCAACATGGTAGACTGAGAGGCAACTTCGTAAGTGACACGAAAAGACCCACAGTCATTCAAAGTCTCTGCTGACACACTGGTAGACTGAGAGGCATTTCTGTAAATGACATGAGGAGACGTACAGTCATTCAATATCTCTGCTGACATAGAAGACTGAGAGGGATCTTCATAAGTGGCATGAAAAGATGTACAGTCATCCGATGCCTTTGCTGACAATGTGGTAGACTGAGAGGTGTCAGGTAAATGAGAAAATAAACCAGTACATTCATCCAGCTTCTCTGCTGACATGGTAGACTGAGAGGCATCTTCGTAAGTGACATGAGAATATTTAGAGTTATTCAAGTTCTCTTCCGACAACATCTTAGAGTGAGACGCATCTTCATGAGCGGCATTAGGAGATGTACGGTTATCCAAATCCTCTTCCGACAATGTAGTAGACTGACAGACATCTCTGTCAGTGAAATGAGAAGATGTGGCATCATCCAATTCCTCTTCCGGCAATGTGGTAGACTGAGAGGCATCTCTGTCAGTTACATGAGAAGATGTGGAGTCATCTGAAGACGTAGGGTCATCTGATTCCTCTGCTGACAACATGGTAGACTGTTCTTATCTCACCAAGTCTAGAGGACAACTTCTACAGCTCGGCATCCATCGGTTACAGCACGCTGCAGAAACCTGTAGATTCCACGATGGGCAGAAGCAGGTTGGCCTGTTTGACTGAAAGAATTTATAAGGAGAAAGTAATGGTCAAAGTTCATATCCTCACTCAGAAACCCAACAACTGGAGAAAGGTAAATTTAGTACTGGGTTTACCATTTTTGGCCTACATGTATGGATGTATAATTATCTTTGCTAATTGTTTGCCATACCCAATGTTCTATCAGACCACAGACTTGAGCCTGCTATGCAATACCAGCAAGGCTGGTGGTATAAGATGTCTGCATCTGCAAGCTGAAGGTTGTGGGTTTGAGTCCCACCTAAGCGTATGATTTTTCTCGCAAAGCCTTGTACAACACTGTGTATCATACAGCATTTGTGGAGTAGCTTAAGTGAAGGGCGAAATCAAACATGAAATTGATTAACTGAACAAACAAAACAATTACATGTACAGTAGTTGAATAACAGCGTTGCAGGCCTGGTTACGATTGTGAAGAGACTATATTTCTCACTTTTGAATACTATTAGCGTCATTGTCAGGCCTCTATTGCAATGGAAAAACTCCCATACGGTACATAAAAACCAAACAACTTCTCTTGTTGTGAGTTTCCTTTGGTGAACCTTTAATTTTGAAGAATGATGAAAACATTTCTACAGTCATGCAAAGAGCATTTTTTTTTCGGGGGGGGGGGGGGGGGAGAAATAATGAAAGTATAATAAAATAAAAGGGAATCATTGTTCGAATAATTAGCCTTAATTTTCTTTGTATTTAAATTACGGAATTTTAAACACAACCACCTTGTTAAAGTTCTGTCCACGGATCACAAAAAAGGTGTGCGTTCTTTAAGCAAAACGAAAACAATTCACACACATCCCTATGGGAGTATGTGATTTGTTTTTGTTTTGCTGAAAGAACACAGAACTTTTTTGTGATCCGTGGACAGACCTTAAAACAGTGGTTGTGTTTAAAATTCCGTAACTTGAAAAGTAAATGAATGATTTGAATGATTCTTTTACTACAACAAAGTTTATGAATTGGGCTTTCATATCCTAGATTTAGAAAGTGCTACATGCAGAACTTCACTAAAACAATGGTCCCGACATTTGTTTGTTGTTTTTTTACTCACCCTGTATTATTAATGTCTTCTCTATATTAGCAGAGACTGCTAATGACCTATCTTAGTGTACACAGAATGAGAAGACCAGAATAAACAATTGGGAAAGGGGGGGGGGGGCGGGCACTACTAAACTTATCTCGGTGAAAGGGGGGGGGGTTTGCTCCTATGAAAAAGACAGGTAACTGGACTAAAACAATGTGATGGAATACCTTTTATCTTCTTTTTTTATAGTTTCTGCCCTGGTCGCATCAGAATCTTCACTTTCAAAAGCAGAAAAACTTGGTTGCAAGTCTTAACACAGGAAGATGCTGTTTTGGGAGAAAAAGAAAGAATTAAAAGTTCACCTGGAAACTGCAACCTCCTATATGCCAAAGTCTTAAACTTCACAACATACACCAGATATGTTATAAAGCCATTTGCACTCCAATGCAAATGTAAGGCCAAGCCAAAAAAAATAAAAAATTCTCATCTCATCTTTTTGTTTCTTTTTTCTTCTTCAATTCATACATTTCAATACAAATGTTGCGAACTTTGTTAATTAAATTGTATGTTTTAGCTATTCGCAACAATACCGTAGCTACGTGGAAAGGGTGACGGATCCTTTGGACACAATTTTGCGTGTATCTACGGGCCCGGTTCCTAGTATAAAGGGAACTAAATCACTTTTGATTTATTTGACCTACCAAACTAGTTGGAGACATTAAGAACATACAGGGATGTCGTAGATAAAGGGCAGGGTTTTGAATTTTTAAGGGAAATTTGGGGGTAAAATGACGATGACAAAGACAAAATGCAACACGAAAATAAAGACAGCGATCAACATGCGATGTACGTGATCGTGACACGCGTACACGCAAGTCACGCTACACAACACCAACCGGCCCTTAAAAGTTAAAGTAAATCACGTAGGAAAATCGTAATTTCTACCCCAAGTAACTAGTTATCAAAAAAGTGTCATTACATTGAGAGAAGTCTACTTTAGGTTAATAATGTCATTTTTTAGGAATAAAAACAATTCTTGATTTTAATTTGATCGAAACAAAACAGGGGCCCTACACTACACGATCGCCCAATCTTGTTAGTTGCAGCAAAAAAATTCTTGACTCTCCATAGACTTTGTACACAATCGAGGAAAATGCGTCAGGGCGCTTCCTCCATGGTGCAATATTCTTTCCGCAATGGCTTATCAAAATGCATAATATCATTCCAGAATATACAAATTCTACTCTATCAATGAATTCTCACCCATGACCTTCACTACAGACGTAAAGTATTTCAGATTTATGCATCGATATCATCAATGCATCAAGGTCACAAGGACATAAAATGATGAATAGGAAGGAAAAAAGACGGGTATAATATAGAGCGCCCTCTGTAGGCTAGGCGCGGCGACGCACGGAACACTGCGCAAGCCGGAAAATATTCACCCTTAAAAAGTTTTTTTTTTGCAAAGCTTCACTCGGCACCGACAGAAATAACCTTTTTTTTCGAATTGTAAAACTAGATTAAGTCGACTCAAAAATGGGATATGATACCTTGAAACAGACAAAGCGGAAGATGGCATTGAAGTATTTATGTGACGGGACTAGATAGTAGATTAAAGGGAATATACATCATTTGCTTTTGCTGTAATTTTCAGAAATGGATGGAATTGGGGGGTTGGAAATATATAGCAAATATAGTTACACTGACTTTTTTGAGGTTTTGGGTTCGAAAATGCTATAAAAACCAAGAAAAACGATCATTTCCCTGTAGTCTGGTTCCCTGACTCCATATAAGAAGAAACAGAGCAGTTTACATACATTGGGGAATTGTAAGGTCAGGGAACCAGTCTAGCTGGCTCGTACCCGTTCATAGGTTTGTAATCGATTGCAAACAAGTGCGATGGTCAATTGGGGCCAGTATTTGAAAAAAAAGCCAGTTGTTTCCAACGCTGATCGGCCGATCAGCGTTGGAAATTGATACAAAAATACCACTTTTCTTGAAAATGACAGTATACCAGGTGCCATGATTTTACAGGATGCTTTACACTGTCATTCACTAACAGTCCAGCAAGGTATTTCAAAATGATTTGGTAGTTTTATTTTTTGATGTTTGCAAATGTTGTATTTTCCCTTTAATTGTTGGCGCTCTCAATCAGTCAAAAAAATTGATTTTTTATTTTAAAGGATGAGAAATGATGGTAAATTATGAGAAATATCACATAGGATGAGACAAGATGGCAAGCGATAAGATAAGATGGCAAAAGATAAGCCAAGATGGCAAAGAATAAGCCAAGATGGTAAAGGATGAGACAAGATGGAAGGAATGAGACAACGGGTGGCAAGGGATGAGACATGATGACAAGGAATGAGACAAGATAGCAAGGGATGAGACAAGATGGCAAGGGATGAGACAAGATGGCAAGGGATAAGACAAGATAGCAAGGGATGAGACAAGATGGCAAGGGATGAGACAAGATGGCAAGGGATGAGACAAGATGACAAGGGATGAGACAAGATGGCAAGGGATGAGACAAGATGGCAAGGGATGAGACAAGATGGCAAGGGATGAGACAAGATGGCAAGGGATGAGACAAGATGGCAAGGGATGAGACAAGATGGCAAGGGATGAGACAAGATGGCAAGGGATGAGACAATATGGCAAGGGATGAGACAAGATGGCAAGGGATAAGACAAGATAGCAAGGGATGAGACAAGATGGCAAGGGATGAGACAAGATGGCAAGGGATGAGACAAGATGGCAAGGGATAAGACAAGATGGCAAGGGATGAGACAAGATGGCAATGGATGAGACAAGATGGCAAGGGATGAGACAAGATGGCAAGGGATTATACAAGATGGCAAGGGATGAGACAAGATGACAAGGGATGAGACAAGATGGCAAGGGATTATACAAGATAGCAAGGGATGAGACAAGATGACAAGGGATGAGACAAGATGGCAAGGGATTATACAAGATGGCAAGGGATGAGACAAGATTGCAGCTGATGAGACAAGATAGCAAGGGATTATACAAATGAGACAAGATGGCAAAAGGATGAGACAAGATGGCAAGGGATGAGACAAGATAGCAAAAGATGAGACAAGATGACAAGGGATGAGACAAGATGGCAAGGGATGAGACAAGATGGCAAGGGATGAGACAAGATGACAAGGGATGAGACAAGATGGCAAAGGATAAGCCAAGATGATATGGGAGTGCCAAGACAGAAGACGGTTCAATCGGTAGCAGAGGATTGGAAAGATAGCCATGGTTATGACAGTATTTGGTTACAAAACATAAAACACAAAAGAAAAGAGCACAAAAAATGGTTGTCCTATTTGTCAAGACAAAAAAAATGCCAAGATAATTATACACAGCAATATTCCACCCCTAAATACTTTTTTTTCAGCCCCTCCCCCTTATACTTATGTTTTCAAACAGCACAAAGACAGTACAACATGAAAACAACTACAATTTTTATACAAACACGTTACAAGATCAGTATTATGTATGTTACTGTTTTAATCACATTTTATTACACCTGATTTGAATGGAATAAATTTTAATAACAATTGCAAGATACCGTAAAATGGAACAGCTTTGCTGAAACCTCCAGAAACGCATGCACATCAATGGTCTACAATCCATGCCACAATTTTAAATTTAAGCACAACCCAGGAGCAAAATAATATCAACGCTTCCCTCATGTACACAAATCTATTTAAAGCCAGGTAATACAGTTTCTTTATTTCAAAAGATTCCCAGTAATTAATAACAAAAAGTAAATTGAAGCAAAGCCAGACATTTTCATATTTAGTTTGATCTCCTCTTGGCAGAAAGACCACAATTCAAAGAAAAGAAAATCTTACAAATTTATACAGATACAGTTTCTGGCAATTGTCAAAACACTGTCTATCAACAGGAAATGTTGAACTTAAATATATATTGAGCTCTCATCAGATAGACTTCTTACATCCAGCTGAATTCATGAAACATTACGTTTTCATGAAACATTGTTGTGCAACTCGGCTTACCTAGCAATTTATTGCAAAAGTTTCACAAATTTTCACGCTGAGCAACATTTCACTTACGACAGTTTCATAGGAACGCACTTATTCATATGCAAACAGCCGTTGTTATTATTATCCTCGTCCAAAAAATTTACATTATTTAAAATGTCGCGCGGCTATGCCGAAGTTTTGTGAAATTGATCATATCAGTACATTGCGTAGCTGCGCAACAAATTTGTTGCGCAAGTTCTACGCACGGTGAAAGCTATTAAGCACTTTTTCATGAACTTTACTCTTACAAAATAAGCTACACACAATGCTTTGCAACATGTGGGTTTTCTTCACAAATAGTTTTGAGGAAGAAGCAGACATCATCAACAAGTTTGGACAAGGCAGTGAGAGCAAGTGAAACTAGCGTGATATACATGTACAAATGTAGATTGGACATTGAAATTGTTGAGTCTTTGTCAACAGTGGCATATACATGTACATGTAGTAGTAATAAGCAGTTGAGTAACTTGAACTACGATGTAAGCAAATGAGTCTACCCTCCCCTCCCCTTTTGTTTTAAACCCCTCCCCTCCTCTCCCACCCTACCAACCCCCTTCAAGTCATAATTTGTAATTGACTATAGAAATGTACCAGGGCCCAATTTCATAGCACCGCTTAACAGTTAGCAGAATAGTTGTGCTTAATATAGCAGAAAATCATGCTGCTGCTTAAGCACTATTACATGCCGTGAATGTGCTAACGGCTGCGCGTGCATGGAGATTTTTATTGTTACGTCACTGATTTAAGCAAAGTTTTCTTCTGGAGTCAAGCGTGCTTTTGCTGTGCTTACTGCTTAACGGTCGAAATAGATGGCTTGGTAAGCACAAAGTCGGCTGTTAAGCAGCACTATGAATTTGGGCCCTGGAAATCAATTCTCATCTGTGGTGTGGTATTTCTGGTGGTTGCACAGACCACTTTTGCGTCTGAATGCTCTGCCACACAAATCACACACATGCGGTTTCACGGAAGAGTGAATCCTTTTGTGACTGTTCAAACCACTTTGTTGGACAAACGTTTTACCGCAGGTGTCGCAAGCAAACGGTTTCTCACCAGTGTGCAGCCTGACATGTTTGAGTAGACCACTTCGCTCAGCAAAGGCTTTACCACAGATCCCGCACGCAAATGGTTTCTCACCAGTGTGGACCCTCGTATGCGTGATCAGATTATGCTGGTGAGCAAAAGCTCTACCACAGGTCTCGCAAACGAATGGTTTCTCACCCGTATGCACCCTGTCATGCACAAGTAGCGAACATCGCTGAGAAAAACCTTTACCACAGGTCGCACAAATGAATGGTTTCTCTCCAGTATGCACCCTTTCGTGTATGCGCAGATATTGATGCTGAGGAAAGGCTTTGCCACAGGTCTCGCAAGCAAATGGCCTGTTCTCAGTGTGGGACTTTTTATGGTCTTTCAGAGTGCCTTGGTGAGAAAAGGCTTTCCCGCAGGTCTCGCAAGGAAATGGCTTCTCACCAGTGTGGACCCTCTGATGTACCAACAGTTGACCTTGCTTCAAGTAAGCTTTCCCACAGATCTCGCAAGCAAATGTTTTGTTTCCAGTGTGTACGGTTACATGAACTTTCAGAGAGTAGTGATGAGAAAACGTTTCGCCACAGGTCTCACAAACAAAACGTTTTACATCGGCGTTAGCACCCTGGTCACAGTTGAAATAGAATTTCGATGAGAAGAATTTCTCGCAGGCAGAACAATCACATGGCTTGACTTCTGCTTTCATGTTTTGTTGATGCTCAGTTGATAGTGTTGGCTGATCATCCATGTTGCTCCGAGACTCACAAGCATGTCTTGAGATTTTGGTTCTTATCCTGACGACTGCGAACCAGTATCATGTCAAGTACTGCAACCGTCTGTCTTTTCACAGCATGCTGCAGGTGATGACATCGTCGTTAGAGCTGGATGCTACTCCCATGAAGTCTGCTTCGATTGGCTCAACAATGTCCGATTCCACAATGCAAGGAAGGGGGGGGGGGGATTCTGTGTGCTGAAATAAAAATAAAATCAAGCAAATTGATTAAATTGATGATTATTTTTACAAAATGTTGGTTAAAATAATTTAAGTACTGCACAAGTATTTAAGTACCTGACTCTATAATTGGTTGAAGTTACAATCCTCGTACGATTTTCAGGTTTCATGAAGAAAAACAGATTCCTTTTCTAAATTGCTACTTTTCCACCGATACAAGTTATTAACTTTTGATCGAGACATAGACCAAAATAATTGGCCTACATTTAGATCTTGACTCATTAGAATGATTACAGTTGTATTTCCCAATGCTTTTTCGGGTCTCCTCCTGGAAAAAAATATTCTTTGTCTGAACTGTTTCTGAAAAGGTGTCATTATTTTAGCTGAGGGAAGTCTGCTTTAGTTTGGAAAGGTCATTTTTTAGTAATTAATAACAGTTTACACCCTTGACTCTCATTTAATCGAAACTAAACATGGGCCCAGGGGTCCCACACTACACTTCATGGAGCCTCATACATGTAGTTCTACTTCTAGGGTAGTCCGAAAATTTGGGACAAACCTGAATTATAAACCTGGAATTTTTACAGGGGTGCATCCCTAGACTCTCCATAGACAATGTACACAACCAAAAAGTGGCATCTGGATGCTAAATTCTTTCCAACATATTTTGAGAAATTACCTTGTCCCAGAGTATTCCTGAAAAAAGAGGATATTTTTGGCAGGTTGTGGCCCAGCTCCAATTGTCCGATTTCAGCTGGAGTTTCCCCCTCCTTCATGGAAAAAAATGTTTTTACCCGTACGGTAATCTCACTTTCCCACAACAAAAACAAAAACACACTGAATCGACTGGCGACGTCAAACAGCGCCCTCTTGTGAAGATGTCATCACACAGGCCGGCCGCGCGGGCTCTAGTACTGCCTGATTATTTTTGCTTCATCATTTCATCATTACGACTGGGATGTGTTATAACAGGACAGAAACAAGGAAACAAATGTTCTCAAAAACGAGAAGATATTCTGCAATTGAGCTTGATGAGAAATTTTTAAAGACTTTCGGGGCAAATATTATGATTCTGACAGTTGGGTGAGATCAGCAAACGGAAGAAAAAAGGGGAGGTCCACAAAGAAAAGGGGATGGGACAAACATTGATGCAGGGCATGACCAACACATCATAGGGATGAGACAAGGTGGCAGATGATGAGTCAAGATGGCAAAGATTGTTTCAAAGAATGAGACAAAATGGCAAAGATTGTAGATGGCAAGAGATGAGCCAATATGGCAAAGGATGAGACAAGATGGCAAGGAATTAGACAAGATGGCAAGGGATGAGACAAGATGGCATGAGATGAGACAAGATGGCAAGGGATGAGACAAGATGGCAAAGGATGAGACAAGATGGCAAAGGATGAGACAAGATGGCAAGGGATGAGACAAGATGGCAAAGGATGAGACAAGATGGCAAAGGATGAGACAAGATGGCAAAGGATGAAACAAGATTGCAAAGGATGAGACAAGATGGCAAAGGATGAAACAAGATGGCAAAAGATGAGACAAGATGGCAAAGGATGAAACAAGATGGCAAAAGATGAGACAAGATGGCAAAGGATGACACAAGATGGCAAGGGATGAGACAAGATGGCAAAGGATGAGACAAGATGGCAAAGGATGAAACAAGATGGCAAAAGATGAGACAAGATGGCAAAGGATGAGACAAGATGGCAAAAGATGAGACAAGATGGCAAAAGATGAGACAAAATGGCAAAGGATGAGACAAGATGGTAAGGGATAAGATGACATGAAATGAGAAAGGATGGCAAAGGATGCAACAAAATGGCAAATGATGATACAAGATGGCAAAGGATGAGCCAAAATGGCAAAGGATGAGACAGGATGACAAAAGACGGCAAGAGATACGAGACAAAATAACACGGGATGAGACAAGATGGCAAGGGATGAGACAACATGGCAAGGGATGAGATGGCAGAGGATGAGACAAGATGACCAGGGATGAGACAAGATGGCAAATGATGAGCCAAGATATGAGACATATGGCAAGGGATGAGACAAGATTGCAAGGGATAAGACAAGGTTGCAAAAGATGAGACAAGATGGCAAATGATGAGCCAGGAAGATGGCAAGGCATCAGACAAGGTGGCAAAGGGTGAGACCAGACAGCATGGGACCGCAAGACAAAAGACGGTTCAATTGATAGCAGAGGAGGGGAAAAATTGGGCTATACACAAAATATAACACAGTAAAATGCACAGAAAAAAGGTTGCCCAATTTTTCAAGACCCAAGATGCCAACATTTATCTGCACAGCAACATTCCACCCCTGACTATTGTTCAACCCTCCCCCATGTCTTGATACAGTTCAAAATACAAGGCAGTACAACTGATATGCAAAGAATGTACACATACAAAATAGTTTAAGAACAGCATTTCAAAATCACAAATGGTAAAACCATGACCACATTTTATTGTTTTAAACATCACTTTTTATAACACCAAAGTTACAAGTAAGTATCAGTGTTCTATATCTGTACTACAATTTAAATTAAATACATATAATCTCAGCACAACCTGAACCACAACAAAAATATCCTGCGGGACCTAAATTCTACAAAAGTTTACAACACTGTCTTGAAATGTATGTGCACGTACAGTATACGAAATACACAAATTACTAGTTTTAATGCCAGCTAAGACAGTTTTGTATTTCAAAAGATTCCTCATGATGAACAACACAAATAAAGATTTTTGCATTTAGCCCTCGTCTTGGCAGGAAGACTACAATTCACGGAAAAACTAATGCACCTATCAATTGTTCCCCCCCCCCCCCCCGGCTGCCCCACCCAAGACGTGGGGATTACCACTTCTGAAATGACAAAATCCCCACCCCTCGGGCAAAATTTAAGTGACAATCCCCGACCATGCCCCGACATACATACGTGGGGCGCACTAATGATTGCCTTTCCATGTAGAACGCCAATGTTAACAAGGTAATTTGAGTGACCCAAATCCCCACCCTGGGGCATGAAAAACGTGTCCAAATCCCGACATCGGACCTGGGGCAGCGCATGGGGGGGGGGGGGGGGGGAATATTTGATAGGCGCATAATAAATACAGATACAATTTCCGGCAATACTAATAATGCAAATGGCAAGACACTGTCTATAGACAGGCTATTGTAAACTGCAATGTTCTTGAGTTCTCATTTGATAGATTCCATACATCAAGCAACAAGGTTCTAATCTTAGCTGCTCACAATTAGCATCATCACAATTTGTTTTTAAAGGGAATGTACATCATCGGCTGTTGCTGTTATTTTCAGAAATGAACTATTTGAGGGGTTAGTATAATAGATCAAATATTGTTTCACTGACATGCTTGAAATTTTGTGTTCGAAAATGCTGGAAAAACCAAGAAAAACAAAAATGTTCAAGTAGTCTGGTTCCCTGACTCCACTAAAGATAAAATGGATCAATTTATAGATGCCAGGAAATTGTAAGGTTAGGGGATCCAGTCTAGCTGGCCTGCACCTGTTCATGAACATGTAACCAATAGCAAACAAAATTTGGACTGAAAAAAGGGTAAATTTGGAGCAGAAGTCGAAAAATAGTTAGGTTTTCCCAACGGTGGTCGACCGACCACCGTTGGAAATGTATACAAAAATACAATTTTCTTGAAAATGACTTCACACCAGGTGCCATAATTTGACAGGTTGCTTTAGACTGTCGTTTACCAACATCCTAGTAAGGTATTTCGTAAAAACTTGGTAGTTTTATTTTTCGATGTTTGCAAATGTTGTATATTCCCTTTAAGGAAGGAGTGACATCAGTATCCTCTGATAGGGCACTGGGCGCAAGCAAAACATCGCGTGATCTAGATCGGACACCCAAACTCTTGAACGAGTGTTTACCAACGGTGGCATAATGCAGTTGAGTTGTTCATGTATGCAAAGCGGTTTACCCTACCCCCCTCCCCTTTGCTGTAAACACCTCCCCTCCCAGAGTGATTTAGCCACAATGCTGAATGAAGAGGTCGTGACAACCTCGCAAGCTACATCCTGCTTAATTAATAGACTCTGAAAGGTAACTATTTATTTTTTTATATAACACTCAAGTAAATCCTTGTCATTTGATTGGAGGATTGTATGTCACGCGGCATTCATTAATCGTACCATTGCATGGCCTTTGTCATTACCGTGCATTTTTGGTTCCATTCACCGTGCATTTTCATCCAATCCCTTTTGATCTATTGCACGCTGCGCGCACGTTAAGACGCCAGCGGCAGGGCGCCCTACGATCTTTGCGCTATATGAGTTATCAAGTACAAAACTTGCCTTTGAACTTGAAGTTGATGCAGTTGCCTTGATTTTTTTTCCCATTATTTTCAGAGCTTACAATGTTTATTTCATTACTGTCAATGATTTGAATTTTAAACCTTCGTTAGCCTTGAACCGGCTGAAAACAAGTTGTGAATATGATACAATTTTGTGACTTTTGTTTGTTCTTAAAGTTTTATCCTCCAATCGAATGACAAAGATCTACTTGGATGTTATATAAAACAAATAATGAATGGTTTGCATTCGTTCAATGGTGAGAATATTTTCATTCATTGAAAGATGGAATGTTCCATTCAACTCGGCTTCGTCTCGTTGAATGGAACATTCAATCTTTCAACTCATGAAAATATTCTCACCATTGCACTCAAAACATTCATTATTTGTATACTATGTCCACATGCTGCTACCTCTCCTACTCTCACTTAACCCTTGGTCATGATTCGTCCTTTGACAGCAAATTCCAACAGGAATTATCATTTCTCCCCCCGCTGTGGGTTTTCTGGTGATTAAATAGAGCATTTTTGTGTCTGAATGCTCTGCCACATAAGTCACACACATGTGGTTTCTTGGAGATGTGGACCTTTTTGTGGCTGCTCAAACCACTATGTTGGGCAAACGTTTTACCGCAGGTCGCGCACTCAAACGGTTTCTCACCAGTGTGCAGTCTGCTATGAGTGCGTAGACCACTTCGTTCAGAAAACGCTTTACCGCAAGTCGCACAAGCAAAGGGTTTCTCACCGGTGTGGACCTTCGTGTGTGTGTTTAGAGTGTATTGGTGAGAAAAGGCTTTACCACAGGTCTCGCAAACAAATGGTTTCTCACCGGTATGCACTTTGTCATGCACAATTAGAGATCCACGCTGCGAAAATGCTTTGCCGCAGGTCGCACAAATGAACGGTTTCTCGCCAGTATGCACCCTTTCATGTATGCGCAGATATGCTCGCTGAAAAAAGGCTTTGCCACAGGTCTCACATGCAAATGGTTTGTGTCCAAGGTGTAATGTTTGATGTCTGTTCAGAGAATGCTGGTGAGGAAAGGCTTTGCCACAGGTCTCACATACAAATGGTCTGTTTCCAGTGTGTAATGTCTGATGACTGTTCAAAGAACACTGGTGAGAAAAGGCTTTACCACAGGTCTCGCACGCAAATGGCTTCTCACCAGTGTGGACCCTCTGATGTATCAATAGATATTTTTGCCAGACAAAGGCTTTACCACAGGTGTCACATGCAAATGGCTTTCCAACAGTGTGGATCCTCTGATGTGTCAATAGATCTCTTTGCCGGGAAAAGGCTTTACCACAGGTCTCACACGCAGGTGGCTTCTCACAGGCCTGCTTCTCACCAGTGTGGATCCTCTGATGTTTTAATAGATAGCTTTGCTGGGAAAAGGCTTTGCCGCAGGTCTCACACGCAAATGGCTTCTCACCTGTATGGATCCTCTGATGTATCAATACATTGCTTTGCCGGGAAAAGGCTTTGCCACAGGTCTCACATGCAAATGGCTTCTCACCAGTGTGGATCCTCTGATGTGTTAATTGATCGCTTTGCCGGGCAAAGGCTTTGCCACAGGTCTCACATGCAAATCGCTTCTCACCAGTGTGGACCCTCTGATGTATCACTAGATATCTTTGCCGGGCAAAGACTTTGCCACAGGTCTCACATGAAAATGGCTTCTCACCAGTGTGGATCCTCTCATGTGTCAATAGATCGCTTTGCCGGGCAAAGGCTTTACCACAGGTCTCACACGCAAGAGGCTGTTTACAGGCCTGCTCCTCATCAGTGTGGATCCTCTGATGTGTCAATTGATGGCTTTCCCGTGAAAAGGCTTTGCCACAGGTCTCACACGCAAGAGGCTTTTCATCACAGGCCTGCTTCTCACCAGTGTGGATCCTCTGATGTGTCAATAGATCGCTTTGCTGGGAAAAGGCTTTACCGTAGGTCTCACACGCAACTAGCTTCTCATCACTGTGGATCCTCTGATGTATCAGTAGATAGCTTTGCCAGGAAACGGCTTTACCACAGGTCTCACATACAAATGGCTTCTCACCAGTGTGGATCCTCTGATGTGTCAATTGATCGCTTTGCCGGGAAAAGGCTTTTCCACAGGTCTCACAAGCAGACGGTTTGTTTCCAGTGTGTAAGGTTACATGACTGTTTGGAGAGCATTGCTGAGTAAAGGCTTTACCACAGGTCTCACAAACAAAGGGTTTCACCTCAGTGTGGACACCTTGGTCGAAACTAGGATACAATTTTGATGAGAATTTCTCACAGACCAAACAGTAAAATGCCTTGACGTCTGTATTCATGTTTTGTTGATGCTCAGTTGATAGTGTTGGCTGATCATCCATGTTGCTCCGAGAATAACAAGCACATCTCAAGTTTTTTTTTTGTAATCCTGACGGGTCAAGTAGTGCAACCATCCATCTTTTCACAGCATGCCATAGATGATGACATTGTTATAGACCTGGATGTTACTCTTGTAAAGTCTCCCTTGATTGGCTCAGAAATGTCAGATTCCAGAATTAAATCATGGGAGATTCTGTTCCCTGAAACAAAACAAAAACACACAAGCAACAAATTTATTAAATTGATTTAAGTGTAGAATGCTGCTTAAAATGATTATGTATAAACCGACCCTATTTTTTTTGTTGAAGTTGCATTTCCCATGTTATTTCCTGGTTTCATTTAGAAAATTAACATTCCTTTAAAGGGAATATACATCATTTGCTTTTGCTGTAATTTTCAGAAATGGATGGAATTGGGGGGTTGGAAATATATAGCAAATATAGTTACACTGACTTTTTTGAGTTTTGGGGTTCGAAAATGCTATAAAAACCAAGAAAAACAATCATTCTCCTGTAGTCTGGTTCCCTGACTCCATTTAAGAAGAAACAGAGCAGTTTACATATATTGGGGAATTGTAAGGTCAGGGAACCAGTCTAGCTGGCTTGTACCCGTTCATAGGTGTGTAATCGATTGCAAACAAGTGCGATGGTCAACTGGGGCCAGTATTTGAAAAAAGCCAGTTTTTTTCCAACGCTGATCGGCCGATCAGCGTTGGAAATTGGTACAAAAATACAACTTTTCTTGAAAATGACAGTATACCAGGTGTCATGATTTTACAGGATGCTTTACACTGTCATTCACTAACAGTCCAGCAAGGTATTTCAAAATGATTTGGTAGTTTTATTTTTTGATGTTTGCAAATGTTGTATTTTCCCTTTAATAAAATTCCAAATTTTCTACCAATGCAAAAGTGATTAACTTTTGAATGAGACATTGACTGAAACAATCGGCCCACAATTAGTTACTGAACAATTACGGAACATTCCCCATGCTATTTTTCGGGTCCCATATTTATACATATGTCGCGGAACAAAAAATAAAATGATTTTGAGTGTATTTACGCGAGGACCGCCCTAGGCGTTGTTTACAACGCCACGTTCACAGGTCTAAGCCTCAGCACACCCCCCCCCCCCCAGCACTAACCTCTCCAGATCCGCCCTCGACATTTAAAACAAAATGTTGCCATTTTCCAGTTGTGCGTAGGTCCCTAGGCTATATATAATCCAGTCGATAAATTTCGACTGGTTAAGGGACCTAGTTTGTGGGAACCTGGATTAGGCCTGGGAAAGAATGTTGCAACTTGACGCCACTTCAGTGGTTGTGTACAAAGTCTATGGAAAGTCAAAAAAATATCAAAAAAATAAGTACTTCTCAACAAAATCGGGAATGTTTCTCAGTCCCGGCACATGTCTTATCATCATACATCATTTTTTTTCAATGACTGGTGACCTGCTGTCAAGTGCTGATATGATGGTCAGGTTGCAAGTTATCCTATGCAACATTCTTTTCTAGGCCTGTAATTAATGTAATTTCTTGAATATTGTGCCCCAGATCTAATCGTCATATATAATTTGGACTTTCTCCGTCCTTAGTGAAAAAAACACCGATATCTTTACCTGATCTCCCAAACAACGAACAAGCACTTGAAGCAACTTGCTTCCAATTTTTCCAGACATAAATAGATCAACAGCGCCCTCTTGTGGTGATGATATGCCATTCTACTTCCTACATTCTACTGCTTTTTAGTCATACATACTTTTTTTTTAATAATGTTCGAATATTTTGGGGGCAAATATTACAATTCTAACGGAGTATGGGGATCAAAAACTTGGTTAAGAATACAATTTCATGGACAAAATTGAGAGAACAGAATGACACAAGACGGCAAGGGATGAGACAAGGTAACAAAGGATGAGATGAGGTGACAAGAAATTACTTCTAGAATTAGAAGTAACAAGAAATGATACAAGCTGGCAAGGGATATGGAGAGAAATAGGAGACGAGATGGGCAGATGGCAGGGGATGAGACAAGATGGCAGGGGTGAGACAAGAGGGCAGGGAATGGATGAGACAAGATGGCAAAGGATGAGACAAGATGGCAAAGCATGAGACATCAATGGCAAGGGATGAGACAAGATGGCAAAGGATGAGACAAGATGGCAGGGGATATGACAAGATGATAAGGAATGAGACAAGATATCAAGTGATGAGACAAGATGGCAAGGGATGAAAAAAGATGGCAAGGGATGAGACAAGATGGCAAAGGATGAGAAAAGATGGAAAGAGATGAGACAAGATGGCAAGGGATAAGACAAGATGGCAAGGGATGAGACAAGATAGCAAGAGATGAGACAAGATGGCAGAAGATAAGACAAGATGGCAAGGGATGAGACAGATTTTCATATGGAATGAAACCAAATGACATGGGACAAGACTAGACAAGACAGAAACATGGCTAAACCAGAAAGTGTTTGATACCAAAAAAAAAAGGGTTTATTCTTTCAAAGTGTCTGCATATGATACAACAAAAGGTACAAAGGTTCAAGCTAGCTGTACATGACTAATGCTTTATAAAAGTCCATCCAATTACTCTAGTATACATGATTGGCATTAAAAAAAACAAGTTCATATATTTATGCAAACGAGTATAAACAAGGTCAGCAAATTCATTAAAAAAATACAAAAATTTGATCAGGTAAAAGCAAACAATATATATAAACTACAGTCACCAGAGTTTTTCACTGATGTCTGTTAGAAGTTGGATAGAGCGAGCTGCCAAAAGACAGTCAGATAAAAACTTGCTGGCAAAATCCGATCAGGAAATTATCTGAAGGAATTAAGTTTGAAGCTGATTGTTTGATTAAACACACTAACAGCAGCAACATGGACGTTCATTCATGAAATAAGTTTTATCAAATTACATTTCCCAATTCTTTAACATAAATATTCCAATTTTATTACAATAAAAGGCTATCCAACATCCACATGTATACATAACATTACCTTTTAGTATGAAATTTGCTATAAAAATTCCATGAAATAAAACAATAACTTTTGGACAACTGAATCTGCATATATGCCGTTATTAGAGTAACTGGAAGCTTTCAGGGGAAAAAAATATGCCGCTATTTACAGAGATATACTATAAAAGTGCAAAGCCCAAGTCAGAGAAAATTAAATTTGTTTTAATATTCTTTCAGCATTTCTGAGTAATAATTTAATTTCTACATAGTGGAAGAACCATTTAAATAATCACGGACAGAGAATGTCTCATTTACATACATGTACATTTAAATATTAAATTTCCTTGTTCAGTCCAGAAGACATGGGCTATGAGAGAACTTATTAAGCAGTTTTCCACCCAAGATCAAATTGGGTTTGATCAGATATTGTATTAAATAAGATACTGCAATAAGTTTTCAGATATAGTGCAACTGTGATTTACAAAAATTGTGCGATTTTAAATAATTTTTGTCTGCTGGATTGTATATTCCATACTGCAATGAGAGGAAGGTTCCCCCCTAAAAAAATTTAAAAAAAAAAAGTAACAAATTAACAAAATTCTAGTATGAACAAATGACAGAATGTGGGGAAATCACATTTCCAGGGGCAAATTCAAATTTCAGATAAGCAACCAAGTACTCTCTTTTGAATAATTTCCAATAAAGTAATCTTGATCTCGACTGAAAAAAAAAAAATCCCGAGTGTTCATCAAAGATTAACACCAATGGGCCTTATTCACGAGTTGGCCATTTTTGTCGAGTTCCCTGAATGTATTTCATTAATTGTTAACTGTTGAATGGAATGGCGCCAGACTATTTATGCAGGCACAATGCAGCCTTATTTTACTGTCATTTTTATTTTAAATATGGCTTTAAACATTAGGGAATGTTTAATTACAAATTTTAAATTTGAAGCAGACTAGAATTTATTGTAAATTAACTTCCTTTTATTTCTCTTTGCAAGTTCAAAAATGTACGATTTTAGCTGACTTTCAATTCAAAATGGCCTACTTGTGAAAAAGGCCCATAGCGCAAACTTGAGTGTTAATAGCATAAAAAGGTCCTTTTGGAAAAAAATTAACACTGCAAATACAGACCATACCGAGCCTCTGTTTTGTTGACTCATTCTGGCAAGAGTCTACCTGAAAAAGCTGATGAGCAGTCAACCTGAAAAGGCTGATAAGCAACATTGCTCAGAACTTTAACTGAGAAAGAAATTATTACTTTTTTTTCTCTTCATTGCTTTGTTAACTCCCTTGACTGCCCATTCATTGGTTGATTGTGGAAGCACTTGATTGGGCAGACCTTTGTCTCAGCAGCAGGGGCCAATTTCACGGCACTGCTAAGCACAAAAATTTGCTTAGCACAAAAAAAGTCTGGCTTAAAAAAGCAGTTTATCAGCCAAAACTCCATGTTATGTATATTGCTTGTGATTGGTATTCAGCTGTTGTTTGCTTAGCATGAAAATCACATGGAGTTTTGGCTGGTAACCTGCTTTTATAAGCCAGACTTTTTTTGTGCTAAGCAAATTTTTGTGCTTAACAGCGCCGTGAAATTGGGCCCAGATCTCATAGCTGTGCAGTTAAGATCTGTTGGGTTTGGAATGCAGGATGGAACCATGCATGCTCTGTATCAACACCACCTGGCCTTTGCACTCATTTGTCAACCAAATTTGGATCTTTCTACTGATTTGCTGTCAGCACCGTTTTACTTCACGAGTGTCTATTATTACCGCCTTTTGCAATTTTCGTCTACATGATTAACCAGAATTTAATCAATTACGATGAAAAAACTTGCCGATTCTATTAAAAAAAACAATACCGAAACCAACGATGTTAAGCATCCACAAACGGTTGTCTATAAATAAATCAGAGGTTCGTCACTAACGGCTCACAGAAAACACGGATTAGGACTGGTTTCCAAAATTGTGTACAACGACCCTCAAGTCAGACGTCAGGATCAAGCCAGGAGGGTAGGAGTTGTCCAGTTAGATCATCCTTATGCAAAGCACCCAGCTTGTCTCGGTAGCACGGTTTGGCTCATTGTATGAAATCGGTGGAGTCCTGGTCTTGAAGTTGCACCAACATCTGCTTCAAGTCGGCAAAGGATGGTCTCTTCTCTGGTTTCTGTAAGCAAGCATTGGAAAACACAAATTGTTTAAGGTAAATTGTAAATTGAGGATCAAACAGACTCTTCTTGGATAGAGGGGGAGAGGGGGAGGGGAGAGCCTGCGAATTTGGACAACCTGGAAGGCCTCGCTGAAATGGAGTCGGTTGAATTGAGAAGGACTCCATCTGTAATTCATGAGTTGTTCTCAAGTCAATCAAAAGTCAAATCACAAGTCAGTTTGACAAGTAGCAAGTGGTTAACAATGACAAAAAAATTGTACTTGTCACGGCTTGTTTGACTAGCTTGTTACTTGACTTTAGAGTTGATGACTTGCTAATGGCTAGTGATGGCTCGATTACAATTTTGCTTTGTCTCTCGCACTAAATGATGAAGCAAAGAATCCTTCTTCGCCCCTTCTTCACCTCTACAGGTACCCAACACCTCCCATTTGAACCCCCCAGGACAAAGTACTTATAGGATGAACTCCCATGAACTCCCCTCCGTATCACCACCTCACGATCTGAAATCGCTCTGAGAAATACACGGCATCATAACTCTTTAAGGACTCTGCCCACGAAAAGTAGATGGCACCATTTGGCCAACTCAGAGAATATAAATTGGCCATATGTTGTGTCCTTGGGCAAGCCACGTCACCCCAACTTGCCTCTCTCCACCCAGGAGTACAAATGGGTACTGGCATTAGCTGGGGAGTAACCTGCAGTAGACTGGCATCCCATCCAGGGGGAATAAAAAATACTCGGACGTTTCACACCAGGGAAACCGGAGAGAAACGCTGGCCCGATGGGCCGTATTGGCTCGTGACAGACTTTTAAAAGCTTTACCTCATGCCAGCAGCGGTACATGATGTTGTACATTGGCCGAGGGCACTTCTCCGGGATATCCATGCGGTAATGGTGGCGCGTCACCTGGTCCACGACCTGTACGTTGTTCATGGTAGGGTAGGGTAGCTTCCCTCCTGAGAAGATCTCCCATAGCAAGATTCCTTGAAGAAAGAGAAAAAAAAGGGGTGGTGCATTTCTCAGAAGGTGTCATCAGAGTGCGCACAAACAGAATACTGACACTTGGAAGATCTATGCCGTTTCTGTGATGCATTTATGGTTAGATCCATTTTTCGAATGTGTTATCTTAAAGGAGTGATTGGGTCTATCCTTTTTTTTGGGGGGGGGGGACTACAATGCAAAGAACAAAAATGAGAAATGCCTCATGCTAATTCAGAAAACTATTCCAAAGGAGACGAACATAGCACAACCGTTGTGCTTCTCTATGAAGTTCGGGGTGGTGAAATAGACGAGTATGACACAGCCTGATTGATGACTACAGTCGACCCTTAGGCCAAAAAAACAAACTAATCGGTCTCTGGTCAGCGCGCGCGTCGATTTTAATCATGCGCGTCAACCTTTTTTGTCTTTCTTCAAATTAACACGGAAGCCGCACCTCCTCAATTTTTTGTACCAAGGAGCACCAAGGAATGGGGAAATTGCACCAAGGCAAATGATAAAGGGCACCAAGGCAAATTATGGAGGACACCAATGTATAATGAGGACACAAAAAAGCAAAATAGTACCCACCTTGTCTGTACAATTCAAGCTTGAAAAAAAAAAAAACGCGTCGCCACATCAATTCCGGAACTTCGGTCTGACCAGAGACCGATTACTTTTTTTTGGGCCTTACTAATACAAATTTTGCTACAACAAATTCTGGTTATAGTGAACATGAAGCCTCAGTCCCAACTGTGAATTCATGTGCACCGACATGAATGGTACAGACATACACAAATCTGATATAGCAAGCTATTCGGCTAGGTCTGGCTGGGTTTGTATTAATTGAACCGTAACCCTGCCAGATGCAACACAGCGCATCAGGTGGAAAAGCACTAGTGCACTTTGATGCATTCAGCTACCAACACCAGTGCATGAATGGCCAGCTTGGAAACAATGAGAGCTAAGCCCCATTGAACAATGCCACAGTTGTATCCTGCTGCGCGCGGTGACCACTGACTCTGAGGCAGTGTGGCCTTGAGACTTTTCCCCTGATGGATCTTGCTACATTTAGCAAGCTTGTCACTTAGTCAAGTGTTGCATGTTGCTACGTTTGGCAGGGTTCCAGCAAACATACCCTGGAGGGTTAGGGTTAACGGGGGTTGACTGTATTTGCCTTACCGAAAGCCCACACGTCCGACTTGCTACTGAACTTGGTGAAGTGCAGGACTTCCGGTGGTGCCCATTTGATAGGAAACTTGGTGCCAGTGCTGGTGTACTCATCATCCAGAACATACCTTCAACAGGAAGGAAGTGCTACCATGGTTAGTCTTTGTTTGATTGTTTTTTGGGTTTGTTTTACGAATCGTTGGAGACAACTTCATGGAAACGTTTTCCGACAGGAAAAAAACATTGACACTAAAGAGTAAATCAATTTACTTGTCAGCAGAAACATAAACTTCGTAAACTCAGACCAAAAATGCTTTCAGACCATTTCCAACCATTGTTACTTAAAGTTTTCAAGGAAGTGTTTTTATTCTAAGAAAATCGCTGGTAAACCGGACTTATGAGCCATATAGTTTACACCAGATAGCCTTTTCAGTAAACATGTAATATTAAATGTAGTTCCTTATTGTCAAAACAGTAAGACAGGATATATATATATATACTTTTCTTACCTTGTAAGTCCAAAGTCTGCTACTTTTACTAGATTTCTTTCTCCTACCAAGCAATTCCGTGCTGCCTGTAAATAAAAATTAAAAATAGTCAGACGGTTCAACTCCATGTTCAAGTCAGTGCTCTCTTACGAGTCTCAACATCTGCTACAAAGACGCTTCACTTCCAAACATATTGCTGGACATGACGTGTATGATGAGTGCATGAGGGTTATGGGCTCCGTGCGCCAACAAAAGGGGGCGCCCTTTTACCTAGCAACACCGTCCCATTGGCGGGACACGTACATTTTGCTGGTTGACGCGCGCACACTGTTCCTTGTGTGTGACGCGCGTACACAAGGGGATTGGTACTATGTACACGCAGTGGCCGCGCTTCGCGGCAAAATATTGCAGTCGGGCAAGATGGCATTGTTCGGTCACCCCCAACTGTACTTTCTTTGCCGGTGAAGGGGTACTTGTGAACGGAGCGGATAGTGTGCCACACTCAGCATTTATGAATATAGACTTGGTGTGCAAAAAAGTACCCCCTCAGTGGTTCCAAAGGGAGAGTTGGTGGGAACTACTGTTAGGGACAATCAAATGCGTTGCTGACAGCAGCTGACGCTCACATGGAGACACTATCAGGGCTGCCAACTCTCACGCATTGAGCGCGGGACTCGCACATTTCAGGTTGCTCTCACGCACTCACGTGCACTCGAGATTTCTCACGCCCAAAAAAATAAGCAAATTAAACTCCAAAATGATGTTTTAATGATGATCTTTTGCTAAAAAAAAAATGGTTAAAGTGGTCAGAAATTGCCTCAGATCGCACCAGAGTGTGTAGAATCCGAAATGTTTTGGGGCCCATCAGCACTCGCCCTGAACCCACACCGTTAGGGCATCACCCTTCGCGCAGCGCTCGCATTTAGCATATGATTAGTTCTGATTAAGCTCCATCGCCAAATTCTTACACTCAGCACTTACTCAAAGTTGGCAGCCCTGCGCAATGGGTTTGTGCACGTTCAGAATACAAGGCATTGTGCGTGCTCTGTGTCGCACACGCAGAAACCAGTCCGTCACAAAGCGCCATGCAATGTTTGAGCACCGAGTCCATACTGTAGATTGTCGCGCTTTTGAAATTAGTACGCCTGGAGGATTCTGAATGATCTTAGATGGTTAGGAATTCAAACTTATTTCATTCTAGCTTTCTTACCAGATCTCTGTGAATGAATTTCTTCTGTTCTAGATAGGCTAGAGCTGAGCATATTTGTATGGCCATGAAACAGAGGACGTTGGGTTTGTCCAGTAGCTCCTGGTGCCTCCGTATGTACGACAGAAGACAGCCTGCATGAAAGATCAGCGTTTACCACAAATCAACTTCAATTCCGCGCCAAATTTTTGTATTATAATATTACACAAGTAAGAGAGATTAAAACTTACCTTTAGACATAAACTCTGTTATAATACAGATAGGGTTCTTGCACACACCATACAGCTGCACCAAATTCTCATGCTGGAGTTGCCTATTTGGACATAAAAATAGTAAGAACAAATTTGTAAAGATGACAATGAATGAGAAATAATCATCCCATCGCATTTTATTTCACGGATCTGTTTTTATCATGTTTTGTCATCACCTCATTTCATTTGAATCATTGCTCATTATTATTCATTTTCATCCAGCCGATACGAGCCCAATTTCACGCATCTGGTAACCACAGGATTCTGAGCTTAGGATCACCATTCTGTGCTAACCACACTGGCAGTAAGCACAGAATGGCACTACTTAAACAGTTAACAGCTTTTGTCACAGCATGTATATGCATACAGAGTTGGATTTTTTTTTATGTAACTGATTTTTAAGCACATTTGTCCTCTGAGTTTAGCATGCTTACCGCTTACTGTTTTATTAAAATTGACGCTCTGTTCCTACTTGAAAGTTGTGCGCTAATCAGTGCCATGAAATTGGGGAAAGGTATAAACTTAACATGTAACAGCATGGACAACTTGATTGAAACTGCTTGAAGTGATACAAATCCATGCATCAAACTTACATGCAAAATAAAAAAGTAAAGTGCGTGGGTGGTTGGGGAAAGGGGGGAGTGGGGGGGGGGGGCTGGACACGAACTCATTGAGGGTGTTGTTTAAAGCATATGAAAGTTGACACTGTCGGACAATAAGTGGTGAAATTCATTGTGGCATACATACACTTGACAACAGACACAAAATTTTGCCGACAGAACGACAAAGTTGCCAACGAAAACACATTATTCAATTTTGTCACCAAAAGGACGCCCCTCTAGCGACGCCCGTCCACAAAACATACCCAACTTATTCTTGGCTGGTACAGATATGAGGACTGAGTATTGGGGAGTAATTTTTTTTCATCTTACGTCATGACTTTGGCCTCGTCGATGAAGTCGTCCTCGGACATGGCGTTCTCTCGCATGATCTTGACGGCCACAAAGTGGTTGTTCTTCTTGATCTTGGCCAGCTTGACCACCCCAAACTGACCGCTGCCCAGCTCGTGTAGAATGCTCAACTCCTTCCAGGTAATTTCTAGGGTGCCTGAGCCCAGACCCGCTGTGGTCGGGGGAATGTGGCCTGGTGGATTCCTAAGTCTTGTTATCAAACCTTCATGGAGGGAGACAGAGAGATGAACGGTCATTCGGAAAAAAGGCTGTCAATCTACCGATGAGACACAAGTCTCCAGAATCTTTACACAATGTAGCACCAACATCTGCATAATGCGATGTCAAACTAATTATAATAAAAAATGAAGAGCAAATTAGGGAGACATTTTCATGTCTCCCTAATGTCACAGCCCCCCTTTAGAGGCACAATTTTATTGTCGCAATTAAGTTATATTTGTTGCTCGTGGTCTAATCAGTAAACCGAAATTCGTGGAAAAGGACAAGGGAATATTGGGTTAGGGCACATTTAAGTTTGAAAAAGTTTGTGCACAAGTCTATGGGGATGTCTCCCAAATGTCCAATCCAGGGTAATAATTATTATTATTATTATTTTGCTAGGAACTTGATTGTGTGACATGGCCCTAAGGCCATGTCCAAGTTACATGGCTACGTCCAGCAGTAACACACTAATCTATTGCGCAAATGGCTACAGCTTCTCCCATAGGTGCATGTGTCATCACAAGCCAAAGCCAGATAATTCGGGCGCAGCTTTAAGTTTGCAGGATACAGTCCAAAGTATATACCAGACGTCACTTACCTCCGCTGTTAAGTCGGTGGTACTCGATGAGTTCCGGTATTGAGTTGAAGCAGTGCTTATCAGAGACGTAGTACTGGTTGCCCGCGGTGGGTTTGATGTGATAGTGGCTGACATTGTCATCCTGACCGTGCCTGGATGGACAAGGGATACAATTGCGTCCAGATGGCGAAAAGGGATAATAATAATAATAAACCATTCTTATAAAGCGCATTTTACACGGGGTCCCAATGCGCTGAACAATTAACAGAGGAAAACACTAACATTATATTTCATTTGCAGTGAACAGATGGGTTTTAAGATTAGCTTTGAAAACGTCCAGGGTTGGGGCTTCCTTGATGTGATTGGGTAGTTTGTTCCAGAGGGTTGGGGCTGCAGATGAAAACGCTCGCTGACCGTATGACCTTGTCGATGTTGAGGAGCAGGCGAGCAGGGATTGTGAGCTTGATCGAAGATTTCTACGGGGTTCATATTTATGGATTAATTGCTGGAGGTAAGTAGGGGCGAGACGATGGAGACATTTGTATGTTAGGAGAAGGGTTTTGTAGATTATTCTCCTCTTGACTGGGAGCCAGTGCAGATTACGCAGAATAGGTGATATGGGTTGATGGGGCTTCGAGAGGGTGACTAGTCTTGCAGCTGAGTTTTGGATGCGTTGGAGTTTGGCGATTTGTGAGTCTGGTAGCCCTTGAAGTAAACTGTTGCAAAAATCTAGGCGACAAGTAATAAACGCATGAGCAAGCTTTTCTGTGGTGTGCGGGTCGAGGAATTTGCGGATCTGTCCGATTTTATGAAGGGCAAATGATGCAGACCGACAGATGCTATTGATGTGCGTGTCCATTTGTAGATTAGGTTGCATTGTAACACCTAGGTTTCTTACCAAAAAGAACTCGGCTTCATTTGACCCGCACAACAATCACATTCATCTGGTAGCATGACTAACATTAACCCTCCTGCTATTTAAACAGTCACAGACAGTCAAAAGTCACTTCCACTTCCCCAGGTATACTTTTAACGAAGGCTAGTCACCAGCAGTCGGATCCTAAGTCAAACAAGCACTGTGACTAGTCGAACTGGGTCAACAGACAAAGCAGGCAAGTTGTGGTCACAGCTGTTTTATCGCTCACTCGGAGTCAAAAGCATAGCTGTATCAAGGTACTTAAACAGTCCCAGCCAGTCAATCCTGCTTTATGTAGGCTGGGAATTCGTACCTGTTAAAAGCATTCACTTGTTTTTGATTTGACTGAAAGGACTACTTGGCACAGAATTATGTTTGCATAGATTAATTTATAAAATAAAATCTTATCAAACATAACATAAGGTTCCTTGAAATGAAGAAAAAAAAGTTCCATATACAACCAATCAAAAGTAAGAATTTGTTTAAAAGAAATTTCTGTTGGTAGTAAAATGTCCGAGACTTACATTATAGCTTTGGTGAGGACAGAGAGTGTGTAGAGCCCCTTGGTGCTGGAGTTTCTGACCATGAAGCATCCGTCCTTGCCTTCTCCCTTCAGCTCCTGTTCGGTGCGCTGGCGATTCCACTTACCCGTGAACCACCTAGAAATAGAGAAGAGGGACAATAAAAAAGAGGTGGTTTTCCGCTATCAATTTTTGTAATGTGTGGTCCATACAGCCAGGTCCGCATGGAAGTTTTTTTGGTCGAAATTACTGGTCTTGTCTTTGAAACTAACTGTTCAGTAAGCATTTGTTCCTACCTAGATCAGCAATTCTGACAATGCAGTGCTAACACTATCATTAACCCTAACCTTCCCAAATCCTCCAAAGTCCTCTTTGCAAAAGGGAGGGTTTTGCAGGATTGAGGCTACAAGGCAAAAATGTGTTGCTGACTTCGAAGGGCGCACTGTGTCAAGGTCTTTGGCCGGACCTTGTGTTGTTTATGCTCAGCCTTGCATAAATTTAGGCCTATATTATACTTGAAATCCTCCACACTGCTCCTGGTTGTCACTGGCTCTGCCTCAACATACTGACAGTGATTGCCAGAGGATTTTGCAGGATTGAGGCAGTGGTCACCCCTCCAAGGACCATATTCAAGAAATAACAGAGGATTTTGCAGGATTGAGGGTATATGCTATTTTTACTTGGAGGCAGTTGGAGGATTATGCAGGATTGAGGTTACATCCTAGCAAAAATGCCTAGGCGGGAGGATGTTAGGGTTAATTAACCCTCCGAAAATGGAGCTGGAGCATACTTTAATGTTGGTGCAAAAAAATAATTGTCACAAAAATTATACATGTACAGGGTGTATCAGAAAAAAAAAAAAACAACCCAGATGTAAATGTAAATTATAAAAAAAATCTAATAAATATTTTCAAATAAGTTAAAGGTCATGTGAAACACCAATGTGTCCTCTTTCCAATGATAGCTTGATTGTGTGTCTGTGGCCACGGATGACTGAGCATTCATTGTTATTCTGTCAAGGGTCAAAACCTGCACTGGGCCAAGTTTGTGCAAAAGGGTAACTGGTATTCTGGGCGTGTGGAACGGCTTAATTTAAAGAAAGAAGACATCCTTTTCTTCTTTTATTCAATTTTGAGCAGTAATTTATCCACTCTCATTGTTGAAGTTCACCCCTCATGGCCCAATGCCTTCAACGTGGCTACCACCTCTTTCCACACAAAGCTCTGCACCATGACTAGCCCATTTCAACCTTTGCATAACAAACCAGCTAGCAATTTTAGCCAGGTAAAACTAGCCCCCAGTACAGGTTTTGACCCGTCACAGAATAACAACGAATGCTCAGTCATCTGTTGCCACAGACACAAAATCTAGGTATCATTGGAAAGAGGACACATTGGTGTTTCACATGTTTAACTTATTTGAAAATATTAATTAGATTTTGTGTAATTTACATTTACATCTGGGTGTCTTTTTTATACACACTGTATATCTATAAATTACCAATCTAGTTGAACAAGCAGAAATTGACAACGAATTGATGACAACATAAAACAATATCCAGTGTTGAAGCATGTAAATCCCTCTCAATAATACCAGAGTCCGGGTTAAATACTCACTCATATTTTTCTAAGCCAGATGCAAATTTGCTCTTCTCTTCGACATAGTTGCTGGGTATGTAGCCTACTTGTCTATGAACAAAAAACAATACGTATTCAGATTTAGTAATAACCATGAAAAAAAATGCAGATTGAAGCTTTGCAAATTACAGGACACTTGAACTAATCTCCTGCAATAAGCAGTCATTCTGTGAGCCACAATGACTAACGTGATGATGCTGATAAAAGTGCCGTGCTGAAAATAGACTTGTAAAGGGTGAGTCAAAGAAAAGGAAACCCAAATGGCGACTCCTATCTTTTAAAAGAAGTTCTGCATGTAGCGCGTTCAAGATCTAAGAATGAAAGCAATTAAGAAGCTTTCTTGTAGTAAAAGAATCATTCAAATCACTCATGTACTGTTTGAAATTATGGAATTTTAAACACAAAGACAGTTTTTTAACCTTGTCTATGGATCATAAATAGTAAGGTGATATTGCAGCAAAAACGAAAACTATTCACATATAAGAAAAAACACTAGAACACTCTCATAACCATGATAACTGGCACTTATCAGAACATTTATTTAAAAACCTGCTGCTTCCAATGTTAAAACAACGTGCTTTATAATGTCAAAGAGTTTATTGCCCTGCCTTGTACTTGGCTACCCCGAGACTTATGGGATTATTCTGATATCATTTTCAGGATACGTCATTGTTTCATTTTTACTGAAATATCACGTACCTTAATGTGATCAGTGAACAAGGTTAAAAAACCTGTGTTTTTGTTTCAAAATTCCATAACTTCAAAAGAACATGAGTGATTTGAATGATTCTTTTACTAAAAGAAAGCTTATTAATGGGGATTTCACATCCTATGGTAGATCTTGAACGCGCTACATGCAGAACTTGTTTTAAAAATAGGGGTTGCCATTGGGTGTCCTTTTTTAAAAACTCACCCTGTATGGAACCGGTATCTCCTGTAACAACAAATAATATTTTGGAAGGCTACCGTACCATGGGCTGGAAATTGAGCTGTGAGCCCAATTCATTGTTTCATAACAAATGAAACGTACAAGGGGAGGAAAGAAACAGGTTGATTACCCGCGTTTATTCCTGGCTTTCCACCAGTATTCTCTGGAGTTATCAATGACGGAGTACTCTTCACCTCGGACCAGTGAAATGTCAACGTCCTCCATGGGCTCATAGTCAAACTTGGCAATGACTATCAAGTCCTCTTTCTGCATTTATGATCAAACGGGGAAAAACGCTGGTTATTAATCAATGGGCTCCGTGCACAAGTACCCCATCAATGGTTACAAATGGAGAGTTGGGGGGGGGGGGGGGACAACTGGTGACAGTAGAATGCACTGCCGATGACACCCGACGCTCATGCGAAGACACTGCGGCTTTGTGCACACTCAAGAACAAATCAGTCGTGCGTACTTTGGGGATTGTTAGACTTACATTAGCTTAAGGTTTAAGTGTTGACTAATGGGTTAACCCTAACCCCCTAGGCCCTTGTTGCTTACAACCATCCTCAATCCTCCAAAATCCTCCAAAATTTTTCAACTCCGCCTAAATTTTTCAAAATTGTCAGACAGTCCTGCCTCAAAATGCATTCATCCTCAATCCTCCAAAATCCTCCTCATCCCAAAACTTTGCACTCGTGTTTAAATGAAGGATAACCAACGCCAAATCCTTCAAAATCATCAGACAGTCCTGCCTCAAAATGCATTCATCCTCAATCCTCCAAAATCCTCTTGTGCTTCATTCACCATTCATCCTAAATCCTCCAAAATCCTCATGTGCTTCAATCACCATTCATCCTCAATCCTCCAGAATCCTCATTTGATTACAATCACCATTCATCCTCAATCCTCTAGAATCCTCCAAAACCGCCAGGAGGATTTTGGAGGAGTGAGGTGGGTTAGGGTTAATTAATGTTCAGCATTTAAATTTATATTCAGGAACCGGACACAGCAATCTGTCCAAGTTCAAATAACATTAATTCTGGTGTGTTTTTTTTTATACCACGGTCCTAGTTATATTCCATCGAGGAAGTTTTCTGGAGGGAAAAAAAACCACCCAAGTATAAATTAACAGACTGAACAGAGGAAGTTCCAAATTCTGACCTTCTTTCCTCAAAGGTGATCCCACTTCCTCCTGATTGCCAGGAGAAGCGTTATTAAAATTACACAACTATCCCTGATTGCGGTTCTCGGGTGCATTGCAGCTAACAGGAAAAGCTGTCCCAACTGTGATCTGACCACAGTAACCACAGCATGTTGCTATTTTTGGTCCAGGGATAATAGAAAACTCATTGATGAACCCATTACCACCTGTGCTACATTACATAATATTACATTCATTCCCCGATGAATACATAATATAATAGAGTACTTGGGGGGGGGGGGGGTGAGCGTAACAGGGAGTAACGCTATCAGCAGCGATGAGATTGTCAATTTCAAAAAAAGAAATCTGAAATTGGAAGAAAGGTTTGAAAGATGCATTTCTTTCTATACTAATAATGTCTTTCTCTCAGATTCAAAAAGTCTAATTTCAGACAAAAGTCAGAGAAAATCTCATGCCTGTCACAGGCAGGTTGGTTTAGGGCAGCAGAGGAGCAAAAGGGTTGAATGGTTCTGTAGGATGAGCGATAGACTCCTGTTCAAAACCAGATTGAGAATATACTGGCATCTGAACGGAAACGAATATTTGTTTGATACATTACCACAAGTTGAGGCTGGCTTTCAATGGCTGCGACAGATTCTGATTGTTGATATCATTGTTGATATCAATACTCTGCATTTGTAAAATCAGAGCAATAGCATTTTTTGGGGGGGGGGGGTTTCGAAGAATACAAAAGCTGAAGAATCTTCGCAAGGCACCGATGAAACAGGGTTGACAAAAGAAAAGCGTCTTGTCCTGGATTGGCAAAAAAGAGTCAAAGCTGTTACCTTGGGAATTTCCGGAGGCGGTTTGGGAAGCGGGATGTTTAACCGATTCTGCTCCTGTCGGTAAGTCGGTGACTGTGACGGTGACGGTGGCTGTGGGTAAGTGGGTGATTTTGACGGTGTCTGTCGGTAAGGCGTTGACCGTGACGGTGACAGTGACCGCGCTGAGACGGAGGTGGCAGGGTTGGCAAGGTGGTGGTTGTGACTGGCTGGGGTTGTGTACCCTCGCGGCTTATGGGCGACCTGGCCATTGTAGGGACCCTGTTGCCTATGGGTGGAGGGGGGAAGACTGCTGGTGCTGGGTGCCTGTGGGAGGTGTGGCATGGTACGGTACATAAATGACAACACTACATGTGGTTGAGGGTAAAACCTAAGGAATCATTTGCATCTGATCAGTGTTTTAGTCGCGTCCATCACCACAAATCCTAACAAGTGTATCACAAGATGGTCCTCGAACCATGCGTCTCGCCTGCTTTCGCGATTATCTTTGCAGAGTGACTAATCAGCATGAAGGGTGCCATGGTGCACCTATTATGACCTAAGTTTGGTACCAATTGGACTTCAACTTTTCAAATGAGACCAATTTGACATGTTCAGCCTATTTTACAACTTGACCTTAGATGACCTTAGACACTAGTATGTGACCTTTGACATCATTATCATATGAAGGTTGCCATGTTGCATCTATGACCTAAGTTTGGTTCCAATCGGACTTCAACTTTTGAAATGAGACCAATTTTATGAATTAGTGAGACATAGTGATTGCAAGGTCTCTTTCCTGAACAAAGTTCAGGCGAGACAACAAGTCAATCACAAGTCATGCCTGTGTTACAGTTGATCCCATGTTATTTTGTGACCTGACTCGTTAAATGGACTCATGAGTTTGTCTTGTGAAAGGACAACCTCTAAATCTCAAGCAAGATAAAAACTACAATATTTCAGTTTCTGTTCAGTAGATTCAAGACTTTTGATGAAACAGTGATTTATTGGCCCTTGCTATAGCACAGTAAACTCAGAAGTGGAATTGTCCCCAGATTAGAATGTATGTCATTTAGGACCAGTTTCATCTTTAACATTAACACATTAAAGCTAAAGGAATTCATTTGAGAGGAATGTGTATGATCAAGGCCATGTTTGATTCAGTTCAAAAGGAAAGACCAACCTACAGTGCACAAATGTGCATATTAGAGTTTGACAAAAATAAAATTTGGCTTTCCATGACCTCAGTACACAGTGAGTTACAGTGTATTTCTTTTTAAAAAAATCCAAATTATCAAAAAGTTTTGTTACAAGACGCTAATGCTACTGAACCCAGAGGCCGATTTCCTGGTACTACTGAGCACAAAAAGTTGCTAAAGCCCAGCGCATACCCTTCCGATTTTACCAGTTCACTAGATCACTGGGCCATTATAAAGAGGTGCGCGCTGAAAATTCAGACCAATCTGACCGTATGGCGACCGGATGAAATCAAACATGTTTGATTTTTTTAGCATCCGATTTCACCGGATTCCATTTCAATGGACGCAACATTTATGTTAACCAATCAGATTCACAAAGGAAGTCACATGATTGTCATCATGTGACTGGTCATCATGTGACTGATAATCATGTGACCAATTATAGGCATGTGTGCGGTTAGCGTTGCAGTCTAACCAAAGTGGTGAAAAAGCCGTACCAGTGACGGGGTGATCCAGTGAACCGGTAAAATCAGAAAGGTGTTAAGCATTCAAAAATGTCTGCAATTGGGGGAAGACAGTTGAAGCTCATGAATATCATTTGGCAATGTGGGGGGAAAGCAAATCAGAAAATTTGTCGTACTATTCTCGGCGTGGGGGTCGGTGGGAGCTGTGCCACTCTGTGCTTGAATGAATCCTTACAGCCTGGTGCCCCGACGTGCTTCTGCTCGCAGCAAGTCCATGTCTTGGTGTTGTGGATGCCAGAGTGGAACCGGTTCTGCAACGTGATGTTGTTTTTGCAAGCTGCACGGTGGAGATGGAAATATGTAGTCAAACTGCATGGTCTTAAAATAGATTTATAATCAATCTGTGATTAGAAGCAGCATGCCATTACTACAATAAATAAGTACGCATGTTATGTATCATTACAAAAGTGCTGGAATTTAAAAAAAAAAATTCATTACTGAAGGTGCTAATGGTGAAGATGACATTACTGTTGACATTGTTATGTACAGTACATTCAGTCAAATCTACAATCTATGAACATAAACATGGCAACTTACCTATTTGTAAATCACTTAACCATTCTTTCTGTTCTTGTTGTGAGCTAGCAAAGAAGTATAATGTGTAGTCTTCATAAGAAATCTGTGGACAAATTGAATACGTTAATTCAGTTTACAACGCTTTTTAGTCATTGTCTGTACAAGCATGTCTGAGCACCTTTATCCGTATGTAATTTGCTTAGGCCAACAAAAAAATACCTATGCTTCCGGTTACCTGACCAACTCTCGTTTTTGACCGCGACCCTAAACATTTTATTGGCAAATCCAAAAAAAACCCAAAATGAATGATTGAATAAATAAAAAAAAAATCTTGTCTTTTCTGTCTTCACAAAATTCCTCTCAACAACCCTTAAATTGCATCAAAAATGCTTGTATTTATTTGTTTTCTAACTTACATTTGCTATTTTTTTCAAAAGAAACCTCTGTTGTTTTTACAAATTCACTTCGCGATTACTACTTCGCAATTCGATGTCGCGGTGACGATAAACATGTGAGTAATGCTAGCTCAATGACTGGTTCCCACTGCGTTGCGCAGGGAACATATGGTGCGCACGACCTGAATTTTCCATTATTTTTAAAGAATTATTGAATGTAAATATATTGACAATAATTAGGGTAGGTTTTATTCACTTTTTGTGGCCATATGTTTTGGATAGCTTTCGTAGTACAATGGAAATAGTTCAGGCTAAAAGTTCGCATATAATTGAATACCCCGTTTAATCAGCATGACAAAAATTGACCAAAAAAAATAAATTTCCGACTGACCGACCCTAGTTTTGAAAGGCATGTAATCGGAAGCAGAAGTGTTTTTTTTTATTGGCCTTAGATGTAAGCCTTTCCAGGAAAGGACATAAATGTATGCTCCTTTTTTCTGAGCAACGGATGCTCGATTTTATGTACAACTGTATATTCATGTACAGGTACATGTGGGGTTATGAAGCACAGAAAAGCAGACAGTATATTTCACACTCCATAAACGACTATTGTTGATGCCCTCTAACATGGCGCAACCCCTGACGTGGTGCACTTTGATTTTTCGCCTCTCGCACTTTCCTTAACAGCAAAAATTTCACATGAAATTTCACAGTAAGTGAACTTTCATCAAGCTCTAAACATTCCCATAAATCATGAGTTTAGCACAGCAATTAATTTTGGCGTGATTTCCCCATTTCATTTTGAAGTGCACAGTGAACCCTTTAAAAATGCGCCCAAAAATAAGAAATAGGCCTAATATTCTGACAAACTGGAAGTTCGGTATGTTAGAATTAATGGTTTATCAAAATTTTTCAATTTTGTCAACACTGCATGAGGAAATTTGGGGGAAACGTTGAAGTGTGCCATGTTTATAGGGAACACCACTATATCATCATAAAAAGGAAATTGATGTTTTCACACTAGAACATCCTGGAAAAGCAGACAAACTCACGAACAGCCAGCTTTGTTTTACAACAGTGCATCTAGCTTCCTTGTTATTCTCAGGTAAGTTGAAAAATTGAGCAATACATTGTACTGTGCTTTACAAGGATATTTTTTTACGGTTTACCTCAAAGTAGCGGTCAGTACACAGGGGGGGGGGGGAACTAAGGAATAAACAACGTAAGGTATGGGCCTTATGCACGAGTTGGCCATTTTTGTCGAGTGCCTGAATATATTTCATTTAATTGTTAACTGTTGAATGGGATGGCGACAGACTCTTTATGCAGGCACAATGCAGCCTTATTTTACTGTCATTTTTTTGTATTATGCTTTAAACATTAGGGAATGTTTGATTACAAATATTAAATTATTTTTTCTTTTATCTTCATAGGTTCCAAAAGTTAAGATTTTACCTCACTTTCAATTCAATATGGCCGACTCATGCATAAGGCCCATGTGGACCATTCTTTAAATTTAAGAATGACTTCAAATGACTTTTTATTTGCTGGGTAGGTTGTTAGCTATTCACGCACTCCTATTGGACAACTGCCTTAAAACCCTAACCACCCCAACCCTTTAAATTCCAACTGCAGGTTTTGGAGTGAGTACTGCACTAGTTCACCGATGATGTTTAACATAGGGTCCGGCATATCACCATAATCAGAGTCCAACAGTTTGGGTGTTGAGTTTACCATAGTGTGCATTAGTATGGGAACCAGGTATCATACTGAGGTAAAACGCTGGTACCGGGGTACCCATAAAAGAAACCTAACCCCAAAATTCAAATCCCACCAGTTGTCTGAAGGGACGGTGTAAACTGCAACTTTCACGATGAGGATCATCCGTCGTGTGTTAAAATGTAGGCCTACATAAACTTGAAATCTATTTTTGTTTTTTATCTAGCCTGGTTTCCAGTTTGAAAATTCCCACGAATGGCATTCAAAACCTTTCTTTCTCACTGTCTAAAAAGTTACTAATTATTCATTAATAAATAGTTACGTTAAAGTTGGTTACGAGTACTTGATCCTATAATCTAGAACTCGTTCCTGACATCAGCGGTCAAGTACTCAACTACCCCGTTCCTATGCAAACCCCCACTTACATTGTACTGTAAACTTGAAATATCCTAGGCACTGAACAATAACAGCCGATATAATACATGTAATGTATGTATTTATCAGTATAGTACCTCATTGCATTACAGTTAATGTACTGGAACGTGTACTTCAAGTACAGAAACTGAAATTACAAAAATACTTGCTGGTTTTGGAAAACAAAGCTAACACAAATAACTACATGAACTTACCGGTATTGTCATAAATCCGGCACTCTTATAGTCAAGTGGTGTGAAAACATATACCTTAAATGTATTTACTTTTTACATGTATATGAAGGAAATGACAAATAAAATAAGGAAGTACCATACATTGTATGCACACGTACATGTACATGTACACTGTACACACAGTTTGTGCGTATTCGTTCTCATTCAATTAATTCTCATGTCATGTTCTTTTTTCCAATTTAGGATCTAATTCCTCTCCAAAAAACGAAAGCACTGTAATTAAAATGAAATTGTCTGTGCCATCAAAAGTCTGTGTTGCAGAGTTATTATCATCAAAGAGGGTGCAATGAGCAGGGGAGGTTTTGAGGGACCAAAAGGTGTTTCTCATCAGGGCCCCTATTTGATGGCGCTGCTAAACACAGAATTCTTACGATTATCATTCTGTGCTTACAGAACTAGTAAATTAATTCTCTGCTAAGTAAACATGTTAAGAAATGTATGTATTCACACCAGCTCAATTTCCTTGCTTACCCATGAAATACGCTAACCGTAAGCGCGAAATATTCTGCTACAGTTAGCAGGGTATTGTTTTTTTTGCTTACAGTAAGCAGAGCCGTGAAATCAGGCCAAGTCGTGGCACATTTGTATTGCTCCAGATTTGGGGCATTGATGACAAGATGGCAGGTTATTCCAGTAAAACGGGATAAAAGAGTTTAACAATGTGTAAGCCTTACTTTTGGCATGTGGTACGAAAACTGAACAGACCATCTGTGTGTCAGTGTTCTTGTTTGAGGTTTCTTGGTGAGACAAACTTGCTGTCCATACAAACTTGCAATGCGTGCTTCCTAACGTCCTAGCCATTACTTTGGGATAAATAACTTAGTTCTACAGAATACTATGAGTGTTGTGCACACTTATAATGCTAAAGTATTTCATACTACAGTTTAGTAGTAGTAGTATGTTGTAGCTTTAGGTGAGGTCAGGGTTAATTTACAGAAAAGAAAGGTTCTTATTTTAAGAGCTGCAACCCTCTGGTATGATTTCTGGTCTGATGTCTCATTCGGAATCACCTTTGTATCGCAAGAAGAATAGCAACCAAAACCTTTTTTCTGGGTAAAATCCGAAAAAAATAACAAGAGGGTATCTTTGAGATGGGTTGGGGCAAATTTTGGGAATACAGTAAAAACAAGAAGTTTTTATGGCCTACCTGAATACCATAGGGTTTCTCTAAGGCAGTATCATCCACTTCCTCCACAACTTTGATGTCACTGAAGTTTATCCGACCCTTCTCTTTGCCTTGTTTCTAAAGAGCATAAAAAAGAGAAGCATTTGTAGAAACAGACTCAAAGAATCAAGCACTGTACAGAAAAAGGGCTAATAAGTGATTTTACGTTGGGCTAAGAGTGTGCATCAGAACCGTGTACCCAGGTACCCGACCGCTGATGTTAGGAACCGGTTGTTAGGAATGGGATCGAGTACCCCTGACCAACTTTACAAATTACTTAGCTGCTTCTCAGACAATGAGAAAGAAAGGCTTTGAATGACATTTGTGAGATTTTCAAAATGAAAAGCAGGCAAAATTGAAAATCAAAACAGATTTCACGTTTGGGGTTGGGTTTTCTTTTACCGGTATACCCGTGTTTATAGGTTCCTGTACTGCCCGTAATTGTACACCCTTGGGCTTGAAATTTCAGGGGGAAAAGTGCGAGACTATGATTAGTGGCTTAAAAAAAATCTACAAGATCTGAAAGAATTTTTCAAGACAAAATAAGAGCAAACAGAGGAAAGGAGGAGTGACTTCCTACATACACATGAAGGTTGCATTAGACTACAGTATTTGACGCCGAAGGTATTGTGGCCTAATCACAGAGAAAGGAACACAGTGCATTTTTTACTGAAGTTGTAGTATATGAAGTTCAACCCTAACCTTTGCAACTCCATTAAAATCCATCCCCCCATTTTGGTAGGCAAGCCATGAGTACCAAGTCCATCAAAATCCACCTATAGAGTAGTGGTGGTCTTCAGTGGATTTGGTCCTTAAGCATTTTGTGAAGCAGGATCAGTTTGAAAATTTGAAGAAAAGGTTTGAAAATTTGAAGAAAGGTTTGAAAGATAACACTTCTGTACATAAGCAAAGTCAAAATTTCCCATATTCAAAAAGTCTGAGGCAATGGAACAGTAAAAACCCAAATGCACGTAGCGAAAATCTTACAATAAAGGCAAACCAATTCCATAAACTGACCTCAGAAGTTCCCTCGTAGTAGGCAATGCAATCCCTCGTCAGAACGAATAGTCTATTCCTGAAGTTCACAGGAGCCAGTTTCCGCTTGTTCTGCGATCGTTTCAGCATCATTCCTACGCGACATACCTCTTTGATCTCGTCGGCCATGTTTTTCCCAGTAATGTCCTTGGTTGTTCGTTTTTGTTTTCAAATTGACTGTTTCTTGAGTATGTGCTGAAAGACTCAACTACACATGCCTACAGGTGCATTCAAAGCAATATGCAAAACTATGTAAACTGCATGTGTGCATCTATGTACTTCAGTGCAACTATACGGCAACACATGCATGCATGTTTACATGCAAGAATCAACGTGAAACCTGAATTTAGTGACCTCAAAACACCTTTTGAGTTTTACAGTGTACTGTGTTCGGTAATCACATACGTGTCCATTGTCCATTATCCATGTGCAATGATGTCATCTTTTGAGTCGAACAATAGCCGTGCTGTTTATAGATTATGCGGACCGAACACATTTGTGCAAAATCAGTGACTGTGAATTAACACACATGCAGGAACCGGGTACTGTTGTTCAACCAGGAACAGTTCTCCAACAGATTGTACACGCATATTCCCCCGAGGCTAGACAGTGACAACTGAAGTCCGTGTGATTGTGTAATTCATTATGAAATGCCATCCAACTGAGCAATAGTGGTCAAGGTTCAGCAAGGTGACTGCTCCGAGATTCTAGGAACTCCCCTTCCAGTGTCGAGATTATTATTTCCTTTTGCCAAACGACCTGCAAAAATACAAATTTAAAATAACACCATTATATGTTTTCAACCATCGCTTCCAGTCAACTCTGAGGGTATTGTACCAATCATCAGCTTAAAATACACAGTTGCTAAGGAAAAGTCTCAAATACTTTGCACAAATTTTGCAATTCATGTACTGTACATAATGATTTGCAATCATTGTAAAGGAACTAAACCTGGATGGTATGTTTACAAGTTCTTGGTACCATAGGATCATAAAATGATGAACTCTGGTCTCTGGAAATCATTAACTTACAAGTCCATGTAAATGGGAAACATAAATACCAACTTTCATGTCCACTGCATATCTGCCTACATAGGAAAAACTGTAAAAAATGTTTGTCAGGGTCGAAAGTTGAAACGTCTGGCCATGTAACTTTTTTTGAGGTTGATGCAATCTGCAAACAGTTTGCAATAGTTTTTTCTTCTTTTTTTTCATTTATGAATACATGTATGTGAACAGCTGACGTACATAAAAAATATAATAAAGTAAACAAACAAAACTATATTAGAGACAAATGAACCGTCCTTCCTATGTAAATTATTAAGCAACATTAAAAGATGTTACTCAAATTAAACTTGTTCAACTGTTATTACATGAAGTACCATCATGATTGTATTTGTACTCCAAGAATTGATAAATACATACTGTTGTACACAATGTGTGTTATCAGATTACTGCAAATGCTGTTGGCAAGCCTGGTAACATTGGCATAACATTGACCCTAACTCCCTAGGCATTTTTGCTAGGATGTAACCTAAATCCTGCAAAATCTTCCAATTGCCTCCACATAATATTATAATGTAAATCTTACAGAATTGAAACTCCAAATTCGGCCATTGAACTTGTTGTATTTCCAAATATATGCAAATGTTGTGCCCATTCTTGAAAATCACGCATTCTCGAGAATGGGCATGCACATTCTCGAGAATGGGCGCGCATTCTAAAGAATGAGCGCCCATTCTTAAGAACGAGCACGCGTTCTTAAGAATGAGCGCTCATTCTTAAGATTGGGTGGGAATATCACGTGCACAATTTATGAATTTTGCCCAATCTTAACAAACATTGCACGACATAATTATGTTAAATGAATTGTATAGCGGTTAAAAGGGAAACAATTCATATAAAGAGGAAAGAAAATGTGCTATGCTTCTGTACTCGTATAACTACGATAATTTGAATCAAATTAAACCCGTTATTATTGCTTTTTTTCTGCCCACTATGGGAAGTTTTGTAATAACGGAGGACTGGGAACTAGTCTGGGAAGTGCTTTACTTAGGCTAGACAAGTTACAAGTCCCTGCATGTATCATATGCGTGCCACGAAAAAAAAACGATGTCCAGAAGCTGCCAAAATTGCTCTTTTGACTAGATAGAATCCAGCTCTGCGACGTTATGGTGGGATGTGAACAATAAATTGGTGGCAATTTAAATGGGAAATAGCATTAGCACTATGGGATGTCGCAGTATTCATTCTCATTCTTCACATTCTTCATTCTTACGTTCCCCCCCCCCCCCCCCCCCCCCGCTTTTATTATCCCAAAAATCAGAATTCTTTGCACTAGTATTATTATGTCTCTTATATTTTCCCGGCCCCCCCCCATATTAATATACGCCTTTACTTATCATATCCACTCTACTTTTCAGCGCCTTGCGTTGCAACAGTATAATTATTGAGAATCAGTGAACGAGGATTCAGCTAGACTTGCCAAGCGCAGCCGGTGCTCGGCATCGACAAGACCGTTATCTTGTCGCGCATTCTCGAGAATGTGCGCTCAATCTGGAAGAGTTATTTTTTGCCAAGATTGAGCAAGGATCCAGTTGCACATTCTCAAGAATGTGCATGCCCATTCTCGAGAATGCGTGATTTTCAAGAATGGGCACAACACAAACAACCATGACGCTGATTCAAACAAACTGTTGTGTAATTCTCCTTTCAGTGATACAAAACATGATATTTCCTTTGTTAAAAAATGAAATTCGCTGGACTCCCTAGTAGACAACTGTAGGTTAATATTATCATATATTTAAAATCATTTAGATACATTCCAGAATAAAAGGTCATTCTTTTACATGTAAAACAATTTGTGTACTCTTGAAAAGTTTAAATTGAAGTTTTTAAACAAAACATGGCAGTTGCAATTTATCCAATATTTTGTTAAAAAGTTTGAGAAAGGTTCATACAGATCAGGAAATAGCACCTTATTTTTTTACGATTTTGTATTTATGTCATTCCAGTCAGTTTGCATGGTGAAGCAGCTTTTGATAGCTTTTTATTTCTTATATCATTTTTCAATATTTAACAAATTCTTCAGCTGGATTGAAGGTTAATCACATCTGCTGAACATGCAGTCCAAAGTCCAAGACATAAAGTCAATAGACTGATAATTCATGTATGTGCACAGTGGGTGGGGCTCAGTCACTGATCCATTAGGCCCTGCCCACGGACTTATCAGCTGTGATTGGTCAAAGCATGTGCACAGTGGGCGGGGCTAAGTCACAGATCCATTAGGCCCCAGCCACTGACTTGTAAGCTAAGTAAGATTTGAGGCTTTGCATGGTGAAGATACTAAATACTTGACTTGTAAGCTGTGATTGGTCAAAGCATGTGCACAGTGGGCGGGGCTAAATCACTGATTCATTAGGCCACGACTTGTCAGCTGTGATTGGTCTAAACATCATGAGGTGGGGCTTAATTCTAGTAACAGTGGGCCCCCAACTTAATGTTTCATCAATCATGGAGGAAGGAACACATAAATTGATCTGCCGCCATAGCGAAAAAAAATTACAACAAATAGGGGCCTATATCCGTGGGCAACGTGTTTACCCAAAAAAAATTGCAGATCCACACTTTTGTCGTAAACACTTTCCGTATGAGATTCCTGTGTGAAGACTTACGCATGTGCATGCGCATGCACGACCCACATAGCAACTGTGTTGCATACAACTTACAAGCAAGTGCAGCGCGAGAGTCTTCAGTTCATACTGAGGATGTTAACGACAAAACTCAAAAGCGTGGATCTGCAATTTATTTTCGGTTTAACATGTCGCCCACGGACATATATACTTTTTACTACACCAAGCATCTTCGTAATTCTGAACACAAGGAATAAGAAATTTTCCTCCATCAGGTAAAAATATACAGCCGCGTGTACAATGTCATGAATGTACATATCCATGACGTTGTCATTGCGTGTTTGGCATGTGCATGTGTGAACATGGTCGGTGAAAACAGAAAAGTGAAGTGAGCCTTCTTATTTTTACTTTTCTTAACAGAAATTCAAACACTAACAGTGCTGACAGTGACACCCTTGTATTGTCTTACTTACGTGCAAATACTTTCTTGAACTGTTGGCGACTGATACCGCTTCTGAGTGCCCATTATTTCGAGGAAATAACAAGTAGTTTTACCAGGAAATTATGCCAGTCTCCACGCGCGCGTATATCTCATTGCAAGCTAAAGTTTTTCAGGAAGTACATGGATAACTCTTTAAGTTGCGCAAAATTCACAGACAGAAGGCAAAAGTTCTAAAAAACAAAACTCCTACAATTATTCATTTATGAACAAAAACAACCTTTTAAACAAACTTCTTTATTTGTCACGTATTATAGACTTTTATGTTAGAAGTACGAAAAAAATCCCAGAAATCTAAGCTTTTTGCCCATTCAACTTTTCAAAATAAATGTACGAGGCCAAGGCGATAATAATTCTCAGTAATCTAGGTTTTAGTATGGTACCCCAAAACCTCGTTTTTACACTGTTTCTCACAATGTTGCGAAGGCTGGTCTCTGAACTTCTTCACGGCACAATGAAAACGCGTACAAAATTCCACAGTATCGATAAATGTCGGCTTTCTTCGCTTCTACTTCAACCTTTCTTGCTCATTGTTTCGCCAGAAAAAATCAGGAGATAGGTAATGTACTTGGTGGGGAAAAATAGGTCAATTACTCGAAATGTAAGAATTTTAGCAAGTGGAAAAACCTTGCCGGCCGCGGAGGACTTTCATTCGAACTACGACTAGTGAGGGCGGTGTTTACTTTTTATGGTCATGACATCGACAAAAGGCGATAGAGGAGATGCAGTTGATTATCATAAATTATTTACATGTATCATGCATGTATGTTGTTAAATTGGTTGAGTAATCAAAGAAATGTTTGATCAAGTAGAAAATCCTCTTATTTTCAGTTACCTTTGGATCATAGATTACTTCAACAAATCAGTCATGTCAGTTAAAACTTACATTTGTTCTTATTCCTCCATCATGTCCATGGTGTTACTTGAGTAACAACTTCTCTTTTCCTTCGCAGGATGCTAATGCTATGAACAACTAAAGCGACAAAATGGCTGAATCCCAAAACGTTAGTTCCTTGCCTCTGCCGCCAGTGCAATACATAAACAATTACACTGATGAGCGGGTGAAAAATGGCACAGCGCCCGGACCCCCTGTACCAGTCAGTGAAAACTACAACATGTTTGGGGCTGTGTTTACCCCAGACGACGTCATCATCAGGTCTCTGGAATCGCAGAATCTGCGTCGTCTCCACCCGAAGGTCTTCGATCATAGAAAAGAGTTGAAGAAGATCAACCATTCCATCCTCTTCAATTTTCTGGACATGCTGGACGTGATGGTCGCAGCTCCGGGGAGCAAGAAACGGGAGGAGAAAATTGACGACATCAAGCTGTTGTTCATCCACATGCATCACCTGATCAACGAGTTCCGGCCGCACCAGGCCAGAGAGACGCTGCGGGTCATGATGGAGGTGCAGAAGAGACAGCGGCTGGAGACGGCCGAACGCTTCCAGAAACACCTGGAGAAAGTGACGGAAATACTGCAGAGCTGCTTCGGGTCCTTGCCGGACAACATGGGACACATCGACAGCAAGATCGCCGCAAGGATGGAACCCCAAGCTGAGGAGAGTGTGATAATGACTGAGGTGGATTCCAAGGAGAAACAGGAAGAAACTAACGGACAGAAGGAGCTAGAGGCTTCCTTTTATCACAAGGACAAGTTGATGTGTAATCTTGTAGACTCAATATAATTTTTTTGTGGGTGTAAATACTTGAATAAAAGTCCAGTATTGTGCAGACAAGGGAAATACGCTCATTGGAAAACAAGTGAACTGAATTCAATCGTGGTCCTTCACTTGGAGAAGCATTGAACAGTTGTACATTTTAAAGTAGAATGAATTAATAATTATTACCTAGTACATGTTTATGATTTTTTAAACTAGTCACAGCACTCTCCTTTTCAGGAACGATAGAAACAGTACCTTTACAGGAAAGAGTTCCATACATTAAACCTGGACATCACTTGACACCCTGTGCACAAACCCTATGAGACTGGTCTAAGAAATTCCAAGTGTTTTCTCAGTAAATGCTTCAGTATGTTCCCTTCTAAATTTAACTTTTTAGGACATGTTATCGCTTTCTGATGGCTGATAGGTCACTGCAGGAAAAAAATTAGTGATGTCCATGTATGGAATTCTTCCCCTGTTGCAATGTATTGCTAGAATCATTCTAGGTGCTCCCAGCCTTTAAAGATGCATTGTACCATGATCATTACCATTGCGTACATGTTTTCTTATTAAAGTAGTCTGAAGAAAAATTATTATGAACATGTTTGTACTTCACTACCAACCATAGATATCTAAATATCAGCGAACAACACAATCTTGATCAAATATTTTGAGTGACCCGCCACTTGCTTTGTTTCTAAATACAGCAGTGGCCCTTGCATATCTTTTCTGTTTTGTCATTCAAATGAACTTTAAATGTTCTATTTAGCACTTGCTGAATTCATCCAAGTGTCAAATTATAAATTTATAAAACAAATCTTTGTGGAAATGTATTATTTTTCATGCACCATTATCATTTTCATGCTAAAATGAAAATTTGTCTTGAGTGCATGTTATTCCACTTTGATGTGCTTGATTAAAAGACCCCCTGTAACGTCATGAAAATGATTGTTCTGCAAGTTTTATGCATTTCTGTGTCTTTATTGTCCTTTTTTTCTCCAATCTGTGAAGTGAGTGCATTATTAAGTGTGTACACATGCATATCAAGTTTATATGATAGAGAGTGTGCACAAAGCGCCCTCAATGTGGATGAGTCTTTGTTGTTCAGTAACGCATATGAGTAGACACTTTTTACCTTCTCTGTCAATGAATTTGAATAACAATACTTGTCCACTGTAAAGTGCTTTGTGCAAGCTTTCTATCCAATACTACCCCCAAATCAAAGCATTAAAAGTCTCTCTGGTTTTGAATAATAATAATAGTGAAACTCGTTGTCCCTATAAAAACTATATGGAATTTGTAATCTTCACATATCAGCAGTACGCACAGTGTGACAACTGTAGCTATTTATTTGGGATTTTTTTAAGTATTAAAAAAAAATCATTTGCCATCAACTACAAGATCCGTTGGAGGGGTATTGCCCTTTAAACCACTCTAAACATTGCAATGCCCTTTAATTCGCACTGGTACCTGCACTCCAATACGTGTAAGAGAACCAAATATCATAGTTGGGGCCTGTCTACAGCATTTTCAAGATGGCAGCCTCCATCGTTTAAAAAACGTGGATCATTTCGTAAGTCAAAATCCTCGTAAAAGGGCATAAAAATGATAGAGGATCTTCTCCCTCCATCACCGAATTGGTACTGCAGTCAAGCGAGTGACTCGAGTGAGGATGGATTGCTTGCATATGCCACAAGAAGTGCGATCTTTCTACTCGATGCTCGAACCAATCCGCCGAGTTACGCGGGGTGCTTGACCGGGCATTCGGGCCGAGTGGCAGCCGTTAAATTCGGCAGGGAGACCCACGACAGACACCTGTGTGCTACGGCGGGCGATGATGGTTGTGTAAAAGTGTGGGATGTACGAAACAAGGTGGTTGTGAACGAGCATCAGTGTCATAATGAGGTGAGTCATCCCAAAATTATCAAAATGTTTGTTTAAAAAAAAATATTGGAAATTTGATAAAATTCAGAGGAAAGAATGTTACATCCTGACGCTAATTTTTTTTGAAAGATTCCCATATCTGGCCATCACTTTTCACCCTGTGCACAAACCCTATGGGACTGGTCTTAAAATTTCTAAGTGTTTTCTCAGTAAAAATTCAAAATTTGTAACTGCTTAACTAATTTTGACTTTTTAGGACATATTAATATATTATCACTTTCTGGTGGCTGATACTGGTGATAGGTCATTTAAGTGAAAAATAAGTGACGGCCAGATATGGGAATCTTTCCAATTTTTTTGTCACATAATTATTATCTCAATGAAGGTTCGTCATTGCAAATATGTTGAAAAGACATGAATCTGGGACTGAGAAACATTTCCAAAGTTGTTAGAAAATACTTTGAAAAGCACTCGACTCTCTGTTGTGCACAACCAAAGAAGTGGGGTCTGGATAGTACATTCTTAATTCTTTCTAATTCAGAATTATTGGTGCCTTGGGTGTATTGTATCTTCATGCACTAATTTGTACTAATGCATTTAGCATGATGACAGAAGTTGTGTCACTTCTTGCCTTGATGTTTTCTGTATCACGATATTAACGTTATTTGGTTTTTGTGTAGAATAAAGTCACAACAGTCCAATGGTGTGCCTCAACACTGCCAAACAGTCAAGTCATTTCAGGCGATGAGAAGGGCACCCTCGTCTGGTGGAATCATGTCAGTGGCAAGAGTAAGGAATTTACACCAGAAAAACGACACATCTACTGTCTGGCAAGCTGTCCTCACGATGGGACATTTGTAGCTGTTGGGTGAGCCTTGTTTAATATTTCACAGCTTTGTCTACCACTTTGGTACAACAACATTCAAGATTGGAGTAATGTTGCCCATGAAGTTAGTATTGAATTGTAAGAAGCATGGATCCAGATCTGTTGGACTGGCATTCATTTTCTTGTTTCAAAACTAAACTTTTGTTAAAAATCAAAATCCAATTACTAACTTTAACTTGTTACTCAGCTTCTAATTTTTCATTGTCATTACCGTACAAACAGCTACAAGACAGGTCTTGTGCTGATCGTAGACATCAGCGGCAAAGGACAGATCATCCACAGGCTGAGGGGTCATGATGAAGAGGTCCATTCTGTCTGCTGGTCTCCAATACTTGGGGAGGACATTCAGCTCAAGAAACCAACATCGGATGGAGAAACCACCCATACCCAAGGGGTCTCCCCACAGATGCTTCCTGATGGCTCCCTCCCGTCAACCTCATCAACTCCTCCATCTACTCTGAGAGAGCAAGGATGTCTGCTCATTTCAGGGAGCCGAGATCGCACTGTCAGAGTTTGGAACACCACTCAGGGGAAGGCGGTGCTGACCCTGGGGCTTCCCCCGCGGGGAGGGGCGCACCGGACAAGAGACAGGGGTGACGACGGGGGAAAGGCGAGGGTGTGGGTGGGTCTCTGCTGGCCGTCTGACAAACCAAGGGAATTCATTTCAAGTTCTTATGGGTGAGTCAGTGGTACATGCAAAAGAAACATTGTAGGTTTTAGTGAGGAATTTGCAGTGTAGAAAATTAAAGTTTGCAATTCAACAATTCAAGCTATTAGAAGTAGTACTCTGAAGTTTCTATGGTCTGGGTAAAATCTAGACAGTGTCAATTCAACTTGGTTTGCGTTATGCCAGCATGGATCTGAACATTAACGATTTACTTATTCTGAATTGCGTACCCTTTAGTATAATTTTTTTTTGCGTATCAAAACCTCAGTTGAGATGCCACTGAAATGTATCAGTACGGAGGGGCTTCAGGAAGAACAGTGGACAACTCTAAATTAAAAAAAAGAGAAATCAATCTTGAAATATTTTTATCTAAAGTGACAGGTTTTTGCGAATTAAATTTGTTTTGTTTTTGCAGAGGAGATGTTATATTGTGGGACTTGTGCAAACCAGGAAAGCAGAAATGGGAATACTGTGGCATGGATGATGCTGTGTCTCATAGCAGAGTTGTTTTCAACATAACACGCTCTGCACAATCTCCGGATATGTTCATCACTACATCAATGGACAGACAGGTGGTTTTTTTATGTACATTGTACTTACACCAGGCATGGATTAACCCTTACTCCTACAATCAACCATTGTAAAAAAGCAGCGTAATATACTTTCTGCTTAAACTTTCAAGAATCAAGTGCCATGTCAATGGATAGATGCTTGGCTTTACCTCTCTCAACCTTTCAAAAATTCTTCAAAACCTCCTTGATCATTTTTAGGATCAGGGATTAAGAACATAATCTCCTGGGTTTTTCCCCATCATGAATAACAAGCACTGAATCATTGTGGCAGTTATTCCCTTTGTTAACACATTCTGTTTTATAGCTAGGATTTCTTAATCAATAGTGAATCTTTCACCTTTAGAGATGTTTCAAAAAAAAATTTCGGAAGAGAAAATTTACCTGAACTTTGATGTGTCTTGCTCAGATTATATGCTGGAACATGAAGACGCTCAAGGCCGTCTGGTCCATCCCCACCCTAGGGGGATTTGTCTATAGTCTGTCAGCATGCCCGATGGATCCAGGCTGCCTGGCCCTAGGGGTGGGGGACAACATGATCAGGGTGTGGAACACATCATCCCCAGGGAGGGGCAAGACTGTCGGCGTCCTGTGGCAGGGAATCAAGTCCAAAGTCACAGCGGTGGGTTTGAATACTTCTGTTGAAGCGGGTTGTTTAGCCTGCTAAGCTCGGATTATATTTGCTGAACAAAAACTGGTTACCAGTTAAAATACTATGTGATGTGTATTGCTTTGGACTGGTTCTCCGCAGATTTTTGCTCAGCGCAAATGTTTCCTAAGCAGTACTTTTTGTTGTTGTCATTTTCCAGCTATCTTGGCACCCAGAGAGGGACAACTGCCTGGCATATGGCACAGACGATGGACGCGTAGGCATCTACAATACCTTCACACAAGGGTAGGTCAATCTGGCCAGTGGAATTGTTGTAAATGTTTTTAAAATGCCTTCTTTTGACTTTGGAAATAGAAATCATGCTCAGTTATTTCAGATACACAAGGTCTTAGGGTTATGGACAATTTCCCGGTCAAATCCCTTCCAGATGGGAGGCTGGCTTTGACGGCTCATGCTTCCCTTCCCTTTGCCGGGTGTTTTCGCTGTCGGTCTTAAAACCCCTCCAAATCAAAAAGGATGTTTTACTCACCTGCATGTGTTTCTACTAGTGTTTGTAGGCCAGGCTAGTAAACAAACTGATCACTGTAGTGCATCATGTGTACCTAAAAATGTATAATTATTTATTGTTCTTCTTTGTTTGAATTCTAGTAAAGGGCCTAACCTGTCCAGCACATTCCACAAGAAGACAGTCTACTCCCTCAGCTGGGGCCCACAGTGTCCTGCCAAAGGTACAATGTCTATTTTGAGACCATCTTCAGGAATAACTTCCAACTTATTAGTTGTAGAAGCTTTGAGTTAAAATATCTTTGCACCCAAACACGAACAAATGCTCTATCAGATGTTATTTTTATTGAAACACTGACCAAAAGACTCCATTAAACATTCTTCTGTGGTTTTGTTCCCAGAGGGAGTATCTGGCTATTGCCTGTACAGCTGTGGTGGTGATGGCATCATATACCAACATGACCCAAGCAAGCTGGGGGAGGATGCCACAAACCTCAACAGCCTCATACGCTCAGCCAATCAAATTACTGTATGTACTGACTTTTTTTTTGCAGGATATATGCATCATAAGGCTGTCTCCCACTGATTTGTAATTTGTGTCGTCAATACAAATTGTGAATAATTTCTTTCAGTGGGAAAAAAACTGGGATTTTATCTCTTCAAATTTCACAGGACTCAGAATAATTTAGATTTTTGAATGTTACATAGACAAAGGGCTTTAACTTAAAGAAATACCATGCAGAACTTGCTCGCTTATTGTTGAACATGTTTCTTTATGAATTTATTGGGAATATTTCAGTCAGGAATTTTAAGCTTTTTCTTCAGCATGCATTTTAAGAATTTCAATGTGTAATGCAATGCATAACCTCGATTGTGATTTTTTTTTTGATGATGTTGTTTTTGTTTTTCAGTACATGCTGCCTCTTCGCACCGAGGTATCTTGGAGAGATGATGGTCGCGCTGTCGCTATTGGCAACGAGGATGGGTGTGTATTCTAAAGTTCATTGCATCATGTGACTTGTGTTACATAATTGGTACAGCATTCTGTTGCCAGGGGGTGGGGCTGAACTGTTTAGTGCACATATTTTGTACCATTTGGTAAAGTATCAGCTAAGACAAGGAAAAACTTCTTTCTACCTGTCTTGCAGATCTGTTGAGGTCGTGGCATATCCCAGTCTCTTGCTGTTGTGTACTATCAGAGTCCACCACAAGCTCATCAACTGCCTCAAGTGGTATCCAGCTCACAGCCAATCAGGGGACAGTGCTCAGCTTTCCAACCAATCAGCAGGCGTGTTAGAAGATGGCTTGGTTGGCACCGGCCAATCAGGGAAGAGATGGTGGCTGGCCTCGGGCTCCAATGAACCACAAGTGCAAGTACACGATCTGGCATCTGTACTCGGTAAATCAGAAAAAGCACTGTAAAATAATCTTTTAAAAAATGTAAAGAATCTTTCATAAGTTCTTTTTGTTGGATGTTCCTGTTGACTACAGTAAATTCCCACAGATGTTCACCCATTGCGCTTTGTTGTACTGAGCCAGGGAAGTGTAACTTTTAATTTTGATAACAACTGCAATTTTTTTCTGTGTTACTAGGAGGAACTGAGCCAGTTCAGTTGAAGACACCCATCACTGGATCCTTCCGTACTCTGAATGGCCATACACTGAGGATCACAGCGTTGTCATGGAGTCCCCATGGCAATGGACGCCTGGTGTCTGCTTCTTACGACGGCACCGCTCAGGTCAGTGTATGCTTAATTTTCTTTGAAGGGATGAAAGGGATGATAAATAAATGTTAAAAAAGACTAGTTTTAGACTAGATTAAATGTTACCAGTGTGGTGAGCAGTATTTAAAAGATGGTTAATTGTGAGTTGAGGCGTTGTTTAGTGAAGAGTACAACTTCACAGAAGTAAGTGAATATGATATGTGAAGTGGCTATCTCTAAAAGAGAAGTGCTTTTGAAATGAATCAGAGGTGTTAATTTAATGTTTCTCTTAGTAAGTTTTCATACTGAAACTTTGAACTTGCTTGAGCAAGTTTTGTCGGTGTTTACATGATGTACAATAAGGTTCCATTAGTGATACATGTTGCTTCTCTGTGCATGGGTTGTAACAGAGTCAATCACACGTCAGGTAACAAGCTACAGTTCATATGAATATCCGGTAATTTGTGATGACCTGTGACCGACTCAGTTACAATTTTGCTCTGCGCAACACTGTGAAGCTTGTTAGACTTTGCGCTGGTCATTTGTTTTGTCCCTCTCGTTTCCCAAAAGGTGTGGGATGTGCTGAAGGGAGAGCCCATTGCCAATTTCCGGAGTCACTTCGGTCGCCTGTTCTCAGTCCTGTGGAGTATCCTAGACCCTGATGTCATCTTCTCAGGTGGAGAAGACTTCTGTCTGTTGAAATGGAGGGTGTCTCAAGTTCAGCACACCAGACCGCCCACCCGTAAGCATAACATATTAACATATACAGTTGTTTATGTTGTTGACATATACACTTACTTGAAATATAATGTATATTTCACTGAAAGTTCTAAATCAGCTTACTTTCTTGTTGAAACATTGTAAAATTGTTAAAATATATTTTTTTGGTGGAATACTCTTATCATATATGTGATGCCATCAAGCTACATGAGTCGTTTGTCGGGAATTTTCATTTGGAGATACAGGCCAAAATAGGGCCGCTTCATCACATCACTTCAACACATCTCTTGGTGTTCCAACTTCCATAATTTTTGAACTAAAGATGGTATCAGCATGCAGTTTTCACAGCAGTAATGCTAAGATTGTGCTCTTTTCAAATCTGTAATTAAAAAAATTTGACCGGGGTCGACAAACATTTAGCTTGATCGCATCACATATGTAGACTTGTGTTAAAGTGCTAAACCTATATAGTGCCAAATAGCATGTAGTGTAACAAGTATATTGAACATTTTAAGAATTATTTTGTCTCCATATATATATGTCAAGTAACCAGCAGTCAAATGTGTTTCTGAAACAAGTGTTTCAAAAACCTACAGCTATTTTTTAGAATTAATGGTATTTTGTTTAAAATTGATTAGATAACTCAGTAAACGTTCTGAATGGCTATTGCAGACAAAAGGAATACAGCGGCAGTAATGCACCGCAGCGGGAAGAGCAAAACGGCGTCATCTGCGAAGAACAAGAAGAAAGCAAAATCAATCAAGGACACATCCAGTGTAGGCAGCACGCCTCCAATGTCCTCCACCCCAGAGCCAGCAATGAATAAAGATGCCCCACCCATCCCTGAGGGACCTCCCCCTGACGGATCCATTCTGGACACACCAGTAGATGTGTCGGAACTGCAGCGGCTTCTGGAGGAAAAGAGACTTGAGATGCTGCAACTGGCGTCGACCGAGGCCCCAGCAAATGAAGAGCAGACAGTGACTGTGACGAACAAGGAGACTCTCGTGGAAGAGGCAGTTCTGGAACAGGATGCCAGAGAAGTTGATAAAACTGGGGGGAAAGGAGGGGGAGGAGACAAAGAAGTGGGCGTGGTAACTGAAGCCCAGGCAACAGATGCCCCTGATGTCACATATAAGAAAGGTGCAGTATTTATCAATATGATTGAGTCTTAATACATTATCATGAAGTTATCCACATCTAGCTGTGGCACACATTACAAATTTTAGTAGAAGTCATGTCCTCGAAGGTCATTACGAGTTCTGAAGTCATCATAAGTAGTTGACAAACTGTTTTCAATTAGCCATGATTGTTCATCCCCTGTCACTTGGACCTTACTTGTAATTTGACTTTAGATGGACTTAACTTCAAATCTGGCAAGGTTTAGTTCCAATATTTCAGGCTGTTGGGAAAGGAATTTAAGAAGATCTTCACAGTTTTGTACAAACTATATTTTTGATCAAAATGCAAGAAAAATGCCCCAATTTAACAGGTGAAAGGAACTGTAAAATAAACTGTTTTTACAAAATCAAATTGCAGATGGCCGTCGGAAGAAGAAACACAAGTCCTTATTTCCTCTCAGTCGGAGTCAGGATAACAGAGGCAAGTTGTATCATCTGGAGGACTGCGTCACTCTTGCACAGCATAAATACGGTAAAAATTTTGATAAGATTTTTTATTAGTATTAAAGTAATTTTTGATATTTCCCCAATCTGTTTACCATTACACTGTGCTAAATGTTTCCAAACCTACAAGTATGTCGTATTGGAATTGTGTAAAAAAAAACAGAATAATAACGGTGTCTGAGCAACATTGCTACTGGTTCCTTGTCTAATTAAAACCCATCTAATTAAAACGTAGAAAATCATTTTAATCTTTTTGTTCATTTTATTTGCAGTGTACTATGTACATAACATTTAATTCCTCGACAGGTACAGATAAGGTTGCCGGACCACCGACTACATCCCATCCAGCTGTGGGAGATCAAGTCTTTTCAGCAGGGGCCATGGAGGCTGGACCATCTGCTAGACTCCATCCAGGAGTGGGAGATGGCGTCCACCTTGGCCTGTTTGCTGACAGGAGGGCGGCCTATGCCATGTTCAGAGAGGAAGGTTTGTACAAGATGATAGCTCTATTTGTGATCTTCCATTTGTGATCTTCCAATTTTAATTCCATTAATCTTTTTGTAAAACCAACAGGAAAAAAATGAAATTAGTAAAGTCTGAAAACCTTATGATTTCTCTTGTTCATTTTTTCCCCAGGCACATATCACAATGAAGCCGGTAACCGAGACCAGAGCCAGCATCTGGACATGTGGAAGGGGAATTTAGCTGGCGCCCTAGCTCGCGCCACAGAATGCAATCAACTCAGTAGCTTTCTTGTTGCCATGGCGCCTTTAGGTAAAAGAAATTAATTGTCATATATGTTAAAACAAAATGGTTGAAGTTTAGGGTAAAGTTGTCCATTTAAGGACTGAAATAAATCTTAAAAAATAACCCTCCCACACTCACACGCATCCCTGTTTACATCATGTTACAATTCCGTCCACTTCCAACCTATCCCAATACTGTTCCATACAATAAACTGGCACTTTTGTGGTTGTGTTCAATTTAACAAAAAATCAGTTTGCATTTTTGTTCTTTTTTTTCTCTTTTTCTTGGGAAAATCAGGAAACTGCATGAGACTCATTAGGCATTGCAAAATACAACCAGTTGGTTGTTTTAGTGGTGAGAACCTGAACGTTTGATTCAGATGTGGCAAAAAAAATCAAGCAGGTGACCACAACTTTATTTAGTATAAGAGTGGCATTTACATTAACTTTTTACAAGGTGGATATGATGTTTGGCTGGAGACTACTGAGGCTTATGCCAGACAGCTGGAACGAAGCGAAGACTACACAGGGGCTGCTACCTACTACCTGGCATGCCACAAGATACACAAGGCAATCGCTGTGCTGCGAGACAACAGACTGTTCAGGTAAGCATTAATGGCAATTTCACTGTGTCACCATTATAGTTAATCAGATGGTTTATTGTGGGAGTCAGTTTTGTGCAGTGGTACTTTTTTGCCACCTTTCGCCTGTGTGACCCCGATTCAAATCTTGTACAGAATGACATTAAAATTTGGTTTTCGGTCCTTACATGACTCTGTGTGCTTTCTGCAGATTTGATATCTGAGGATTTGCTCTCAATTCTACAAATCAACATATCTTAAGTATCCTCTTGTTGAGGGGTTCTTTAGGCCTACAAACTGGGGAGTCAGGTTGGTGTAGCGGTACTTTCCTCGCCTTCCACCGCTGTGACCCGGGTTCGAATCCAGCCTGGGCCAACATGTTGATTGGGTTTTTAGTCCCTACCTGATTCGGTGTGTTTTCCCCATAATATACTTCAAGGGATTTCCTCCCACCTCTAAACTGTAATTTTTTCTTATTGTCTCCTCTCTAACTTCTTCAGACTGGCGAGCTTCAGTGCCTAGGGTGCTTTTGAGGACTCCTTGGTTTCATTACCAGAAATAAATAACAACGATGGTCATTTTGAAAAAAACAACACTGCCAAGAGCAGTTTTGAGGAATCATCGGTTTTACATCCAGAAATGGTTTCTGAGTCAAGTCATGTCTTATTGGTTCATCACAAAGAAGCATGCTGGCAAAGTCTTAACCAGAGACAGGCTATTTTTTTATTTCAGAAAAAAAAATTATGAAGTCAGCAAGCAAAGTTATCAAGTCATGTTCTTCAGTGTCTAAAGTTTGGAATGTTAAATCGGTGTCTGGTTGTCAATCTTTCTTGTTGCATATCTTATTTTCACAGAGAAGTAGTAGCTTTGGCATCTGTGAGGCTATCACCATTCGATCCTGCCTTCACTGAGGTCTACAAAGCCTGGGCTAGTCACTTGGAAGCTGAAGGAAGCTATGGCCAGGCTGCAAAGTGGTAAGAGCCAGGCTAAGGGCGTGTCCTAATCACTTGACTACGACTTGCAATTACACTTGCACCTATGGAAGCAAACTTTTTGTTAAGTTGTGTCCGAATTGCAATTGGCTACGGCTAGATTATACACACACTTATGGAAACGGCTTTACTTTACATAAAAAGTGGAGAGCTTCATTTTATCATCTCAATCTGTTTTTTTTTTTTCTGTTCAGTTATCTGACAATCAACCAACCGGCTGATGCGGTGATGCTTCTGGCCAGAAAGAGTGACATCCCGTCTCTCGCTGCTGCTCTGCGTGTGTCGTGCATCACTGACCAAGGGAGCCTGACTAGTGGCCTGATGGTCCGATATTTGCATGAATGTCTCATGGCCAGTGATTGGCTAGAAGCGCAGGGGCTGTTAGCCAATCACAGAAGTGTTTTGGTAAGATCACAACTAGTACTAATTTGAAAGTTCACTTTTTACATTTTAAAAAAGGCGTCTGGCTGACTTGATAAAGCTGGTTAAATTGTTTTGTTTGTTGTTGTTGTTTTTAACAGTCTGGTAGCCTTGTCGCAGCTGTGCATGAAGTCATTGTCACCACACTAACATACCAGAAGCTCATACCAGACGATCTGTTTACTGAGGCAAAGACCAATACATGCATACAAGAGGTGTTCCAAGATGAGACGCACAGTAAGTATTTGAAGAGATTGGTTCCAAAAATGCAATAAACGCCATTTTCCTTTTAGAATCCTGGCCTCTTCTGGTTGCCCAAAGTCAGTTTCGATGGCTGTTTTCGTAGTTAAACACAATTTAAGAAATCTGCAAAATTAAGGCGGCCTGACGTTCCGATCTTTACAAAATTTTCTTCAGAGGCAAAATGACAGAGGTACAAGAAACAAACATGTGTGTCCTTGCATGTTTAGAAAGTCAGATTGCCTTAATTTTTTTGATAATTTGTATATTGCTGCAGTCAGAAAGCCGTTTGCAGCAGTCTTATTCACTTTCACAATTTATTAATACGATAAAGTGAAAATCTAGTTTAGAATCAGCTGTTATAATGTGTCTGGTCTATAAGTTTTCATAACCGTGCCACTGTTTTACTTTTTGTTCAAATGTATTAATCGCATTTTGGATATGAACTCTGCACTGTTCAAATGTGCAAGACATGAATTTGGTTGAAATATGCAGTATGAACACTTGTCAAACACAATTGGGTGCGACTGTACACATGCAAATGTGTGTGCACGAGATAATCTCCTGTACATTTTATTTATATTTTGTAGTTATAGACGGCTTGTCTGAATGGGCCACCCCTCTTTCCAACCAAGCTACGCTCCTCGTATCTGCTGTGCGACAGTGGTTCCTGCGATGTGGTTTGGATCAAACGGATACAGATTTTGTGCATTGCCTTTATGACGAAGTCCGTAATGTTCAACAACGAAACACCCAACATTTGCCAACAAAACAGGTATGAAACCAGGGGACAACTTTCAGATTTCATGTTAAACAGTTACATTTGGTAAGCACTTACAATATTTACTGAGTAAAAAGAGATCACTTACCAAAATGTCGTGAGACATATTCTACTTGTGAGTGGTTTATGTTCAAGTAAATGTTATTCATCAATTTAGATATTTCTGATTGTTCAATTGTTCAATTTGAGAAAATGGCATTTCAAAATCCTGCAGTTGTGTTACAGTGAATGCACAGTTAAGTCATAAAAACGGGATGAAATAGGTTTTAAAGATGTTGACAGAACAAAAAAAATTGGAGAACAACAATTGGAGAAAGGTAGCACAGGACCTACAGCTTAAGATTCGCCTGAAAACAAAAAATCAACAACCCCTTTAAATTTTGGTTTTGGTCCACTGTACTGTAAAATGGTAATTTCTGCCTTGAAGCTCAATTTCGTGGTGACAGGTCACATATACTCGCTACGGCAATTTGCACAATCACAGTGACTAACTGCTGGTTACTTTTTTTTGGTTTGATATTTCAGCTCCTCATCGAGATAGCATTTGAGTTGACCCTGGGTCAGCTGTTGTGCCTCATCCCCGGTGTTTCCGATGAGGCAGTTCCTCATTGGCTGCTAGCCGTCCTCATGTGCCATGATGTTGCAGACATGGACATTGCGCGAGGGGTGCTGGCGTTGGTGCTGCCTGACGGTAAGGCCTGGTTCGCAGGTCTTGTCTTAGAAATGTGAAAGTTCCAGAATAATTTTGTCTAGACTTCCCAATCGTGTGTGTATTCCTTTGACTAGACTAATTGTCTCCTTGCGTTACCTGAGTAAAAAATCAACAATTTCTGACCTAAGTATATGATCCTTGCAATTTATATGATAACATTAGCTGTGAACACTTTACAACTATTTACTGCAGAAGTTTTTAATGTTTTAAATGGGTTTTCCCAATGGTGATGAAAATTGTTTTAATGTTTGCTTTTTGTATAGTGATAAACCAAAGAAAACAAGTTTCCAGTTACAGGGTTTTGTTTGCCTTACTAATAAAGAATTCCTCTCATTTGTTAAAAAAAACTGAGTGGATTGAATCCAGTTTAAATGTTTCAAAACCAACACTACTTTTTTTTGTCTGTGTCAGGTATTCAATCAATCCAGACGCTACAACAGAGTCCTACTGTCAGCAGTCTGCGTGCACACTATCTCTTCACTGTGCTGTATCACCTGTGGTGGGAGGTTGGGAACTATACATCACTCTCGGAAAATACTAGACAATTGAGCAAAGACAATCCATCAAGAGACTGCCAACTAGGAATGGATACAAACAATGACGTAACCGCCCTGTCTGCTTGTAAAGAATCACTGAAATCACATTCAGATACAGGTGACGTCACTGTATCATCAGAGGTGGTGACTGAAGGTGATTTGGGATTGGCAAAAAATTCTGGTCAAGCTACTGCAGACTCTGGGCTGATAAATGGAACATTGCAAGCTACATCCAACCACAATGATCTATGCACAGAGGGGACAGAGAACCCAAACCAGAGTGTGAATTTGTGCACTGCCAGTGCTGACGGCGAAATCGGTTCTCAGATTTCGCCACCTTCGCATCTACTAGGCAGTGGCCAAACGTTCAGTGCAACGAGCACATCATTAGAAGACACACTGTGTTCAAAACTGATTTTGATTTCTCAGTGTCTGCTCTCGGAGCCCCACGCCAAACTGAGGAGCCTGAGGGGCAGACTTAGATGTATCCAGACGGCGGTTGGGAAACTGGTGGCCCAGCACGCCAGGAAAGAACAGGAGGGGGTGCCTGCTGCTTGCCAGGACCAGGAGGGCTCTGCATGCAGGTCCAACCGTGAGGCTGATTTTGACACTAGTGCCCATGAGAAGAACGGTTCATCAGACCCAGTTGCCAGCCCTGGTCATGCGGCCGTGCCAAAGGAACATTCTGTGGCTCTCTGTAAACCCGACTCGAACAAAATTGTTACTGATAACACAAGCAGTGGTGGAATAGATGGAGACTCATCACTGTCCCTCAAACCCAAAGAGGCAGACACCATTGCCTCATCTGGTGAGGCAGGAGGGACCTCAGATGAAGCCCTCGCAACCACAGCAAAACAGCTCCAGACAAACTTGAAAAGTTCTTCGGTAGAAACTCCTTCGGCAGTGGAGGTCATGTCAGAAGTCTGTCTGCCCAGTGACTGGGAAGAAATGATGGCCGACATCAAGTATTCGCATCCCGCCGTGACGTACGCTGTGCTGTTGCAGGAGCAACAACGCCTAATGGAGGAAGTGGATAAACTTGGCAATGTTACCAAGATTCAACAATGTTTATATTACAAGGTAAATTTTATGTCTTGAATAGCCTGTAATTGATAAATGTGTCTTCAACTTCGGCAAACAAATTGAGGAAACTAGATCTCATGTACAAAATACGGTGTTAAATCTTAACTTTTTGGGTGGCTGCAAGATTTAACACCGTATTTGATTTTGGTCAAATTTGATTTTTAACCTGTCATGACACTTTTGTAAAGATTTCCGAGAGACTTTCCGGCTTCAAGAAATGTTTCACGTTTTCACACCAGACTTTCAAGTGCTGTAACGTAACTGCCGTGGTGAACAATACAATAATCCTACATGTTAAGTTGTGTTGCCTAAAAATGTAATAAATGCCGAAGATTTGTGAGAATTTAAAGCTAACTTTTGGTGTCATTGATGAACAGGATCAGAGTCCATTCCCCGACACAATGGAATCTGCCATGGTACTCCTGCACGTCTGTCGTGCAGCACGCCGCAAGATGAAAGTCTCCGAGACGGATCAGACTAAGCTACAGAAACTTGAAAAGGAAGCCGCGATGTGGGGACTGAAGCACAGCTGGCTGACCGATCAAAGGAAGTTGTTCAGTAAGAAACTCGCCAAATTGGATTACTGACTGAAATAATCGTACCTGCAAGTTTGAAGTTTGACAAATAAGGCAAGCCTCCTTAAGCTAGTCCAAGAGTGCACAAAGTTCTACTCAATTGATTCAGCATGGCTATTCACTTGAAATCTTTTCATGCATGTGGCCTAATAATAATGTGGTGATTATGTAGCGCTTTACACCTAAGGTTTCAAAGCCCTTCACAATTATTATCCCTGTTCTGCAGCAGCTCGAGATCAGTGCAATCTGGGCCCAATTTGACGGCGCTGCTAAGCACAAAAATTTGCTTAGCACAAAAATAGTCTGGCTTATAAAAGCTGGTTACCAGCCAAAACTCCACGTGATGTATATTGCTCGTGATTAGTATTCAGATGTTGTTTGGTTAGCATGAAAATTACATGGAGTTTTGGCTGATAACCTGCTTTTATATACCAGACTTTTTTATGCTAAGCAAGTTTTTGTGCTTAGCAGTGCCGTGAAATTGGGCCCTGGTCTCTACCTTCACAGGTATCCATTTACACTCCTGGTTGGAGACAGGCAATTGTGGTACAGAGTCTTGCCCAAGAACACAACCACCATTTTCCCTGTAAGGGGTTCGAACTTACGTACCACAGCACGAGTTGAACACCGTAACCATTGGGCCACAGCACCTACAAAATGGGCCAGACGTAGCCCATTCATTGGCATTACAGGGTAATCTTATTCAAACTGTTTGGTCAAGGTGGGACTTGCTCCCCCCCCCCCACCAAAAATATTCTGCCCCCCAAAAAATCAGTTGCAGATGCAAGCTAGTGAAAGTACACGTTTTAAGTCTCTCATCAGCAACAAGGCCGATTTACTGCATGAAGAAGTTTGGAAATACCCGATTTTCTTTTTCAAAAGACAAGATTCAGAACCACATTACACACAGCATTAAACTGATATAAAACGTAGCATGATGCTTCTTTATTTGTATTCAAATCTAATGCCAGTGAATCTAATAGCACAAGTTACACTGGACACCATGATTTAAACTTTTGTTAGATAAAGAAGAATTTATTTTGAAAACATTTAAAGAAAATTTACAGAAAATTTTTTGAAAACAAGAACAAGAAAAGACATCTTTTTCATTTGTTTCTTCATCAGTAACCTCACAATAGTAAATCAAGGTTTCACAAGTATGTAATGTAGAAAAACAATGTCGGAACTTTTATCAAAATAAATGGTAATGTTTAACAACACATTCTTTATTCTACTTTTTGGCATAATTATTACCTGTGTTTTCACGCATTTTTTTTATGAATGCAAAATGGAACTTTTCCCATTATTTTTTTATATTACAGAATATACAATGACATTTTCAAGACTTGAGTTTATTTGTATACTCGGTGACTATCAAAGAATGTATAGGTTCCATAATTTATATTCTTTTCATAAATAAAAGTTGTTGATAAAGCGGTCATCATGATTTATCAATAAGATTTGTTTTTGTCTTATAGTTATTAGAAAGGTACATATAATCTTAAATGACTTCTTGGTTTAGAGCTGAAAATTGAGGTAAAAAAGCAACAAGAATAGACTTATGTTCAATAAAGAGCCAAAATATATATTTTTAAAGTGTCAACGGCAACTGGGTACAGTGTAAGCTTCGTTTCGCGAACTATCATTAGAAACTGTAGCAAATTTCACAACAACAAAATATCCTTGACTTGGTCAAACGGGGCTGCAAATTATAAGCAACCGAACCAGGACCCGATTTTCATACAATTTCTTAAAAGAAAAGTTTGCAAAACGCAGGATTGGAAATTCATAGTAGAAAGGTTTAAAACCAGCCAAAAAAATCACGCAATATGTATAACTTGTGTCTGTTTATTAGACAAGTTTCTTGTTGAGCACATCAATTATTTTATGCACCTTTATCTGCTTATTTCTTATACACATTTCATCATTCAAATTTTCTTAAGAAATAAAACATTCTGTGTAAGCTTTGGTATATCCTGTTCTCACAGAGACATTAAATGCTAGTAGTACATGTCTTTTAAAAGGGGAAATGCATGTCAGCTATGTACATCGGTGAGATAAAAATAAAACCATTATTCAATCATGAACTGAGTAAGCACTTTTAGATATGTTGGTGTCAAAATCAAACTAACTCTGACAAAATCTTGAACCCGAACACTGCCACCAACAGATAGCCTGACCAATTTCATAGCTCCCAATTTCTCAGACATTTTGGTTTAAAGAACCCGAGCCTCAATTGACTTGGGGGAACACAAAACTTGTAGCAAACTTAAGTAAATCCCAAAGGAAAACTCCTGCATGGCTACTTATTCAGCAAAATGATCGAGCACTGACAGGTTATGATCCATTCATGACCTGCATCCGATTTCATGAAACAGTGCGTAACTTACGCAACAAAATTATTGCGCAGCTATGCAATAAACTTGCAATCGATTTCACAAAACTTGGCGTAGCTGCGCAATGTTTTAAATAATCTGAACATCTTGGACCAGGATAACAGCATTTACGAGGGCAATTTGTGTATAATTTTGTTCGCTCACGATGCAGTCGTTGAATTACCTCTGCCCATCATTTTGAATGTAGGTTTGTCTGAATCATACCGCAACTCTAAAAATGTTGCCGTAAGTAAAATAGCAATTCATTTACTTCAAACACAGCTAGCTGTGAGTGTATTGTATCAACCATGATATGTTGTGTAATGCCAGGCTCCACGACGATCACGACTTGTTGCTAAAATAGGTCATTTTCAGTCGCTATGCCACAACTTACGCCACATAAAATGATTGCGCAAGTAACGCCATAATCAGTTGCGCATTTGTGGACTTGCTCACTATGAAACTTTCGTGAAATTGTCATAGCTGAAATGTTGCGCAGCATGAAATGTTGTGCAACTTACGCCATAAATTGTGGCGCAAGTGGACTTACGCCTTTGCGTAAAGTTTCGTGAAATCGGCTGCTGGCCTGGCAAAGGGGTCAGTTTTACAATTTTGTCAAATTTAATTTACAATTTATACCAGTACTGAAACCGTCCAAGGGCCAATGTATCTGAGCACAGAAAATATTTGCTTAGCAGAAATGGGTTACCAGCTAAAATGCTGTGGGATTGGAATTTGCTTGTAACTGGTTCTCGGCTAGCTTTCGCTAAAGTACTTAAATCTGCTATTAAAGCAATATTTCTGTTTGGCAATTCCACGGAATTCAGCCCAGGAGTTGGAATTAAGGTTGCCTAGGTGGCCAATATGTTAATTTATAACAACATAACTCCTGAACTTTATCCGGTGGCCTCATGCTCACTTCTTGCATCAGTCAAATTTTTTTCGTTGCTCAACTTGATTAACCGATAACCTGATTGTCCCTCATTGCATATACAGTGAATCGGTTGGTACTCTGCTCTTATCCAATCTTTTTTTCCACCCACTGGATTCGATTTTGAACGAGTCTGTCCATTTTTGTTTTACCTGTCGCTCCAGGAAAGCTTGGATTCCTGCAGGATTTGATGTCATAAGTACTGGTCAATGTACTACAGAGACAGAAAAAAGACAGAAGGGGAAAAGCTGATGAGCAGGAGGAATTTGAAAACTGCATGATTGTCATCAATCTTATAATGCCGAGTTGTAAACAAATTAAAACTGCTTTTTAATCTCTTTTTAGAAGTGTCAGTGTGGGTTGAACGCTGGCAGTAATAGCACTGAAATGTCTTTCAGTATTTAGTGAGTTGTCCGCTACCAAAAAGAAATGGATTTCCAGTGTACCAACCGATTCTGTTCTGCCAGATACGTAGATGTACATTTTACTTAACAAGTAGATGATCAGCCTAAGACAATGCTAAATAGAAGTGTAAATTGTATCAGCAGAATTGACATATCTTCAGAACTAAACACACAATCAACTTATGAATATAGGGACATATCTTCAGAACTAAACACACAATCAACTTATGAATATAGGTTTAGATAACAAGTTTATTTTGTAAGGACCAAGCTTAGGTACACAAGGACGTTTTAAAAAGCAACTTTTGGAACTTCGGTGGAAGAAAATACCAACTTGGGACAGTATATGGGAATCCCCCTCAAAACAGTGTAAGGAATAAACATTCGCTGGTCATTTTCTTCCTGGATTGCGTCATGTACCAGTTTCCTGTAAATCTGCCTTGTGTGACACATCCCTAATCAAGTACAAGACTTCCATGAGGGATGTGTCTGTCCTAATGTCCACCTAAGCAGGCTCATATAGTAAGGCTTGCTGCGATTAAGGGTCAAAGCTTGGCCCTCCTCCAGAGTAGTTGCCAGTAATCTCCGCCCCACTGAAGTCAAAGCCAGGATTCTGCCACAAGTCAAAATGGTATTTTCAACATTAACAAACATAAACTGCACATGCCACTATTGATGAGTTTTTTTTCTTCAATAAGTTGACCCAACTATCCAAGATATTTTTTTTTAATGTCGAAGAATTATAACACCAACTTACTAATAAATGCTTGGGTCACTGAAGGAAATGGATTTTCTGCTTTGGAGTAGAATATCAAGAAAAACAAGTGCGTTCTAGCTGTAAGCTGTTTAGATTCAGCAAACTTTTGGGGTGGGGTTGGGGGTGGGGTGGGGTTGGGGGTGGGGGGGGGGTTAGGGGTTGGGGATGGTATTGGTTTTTCCTTTTCTGGGGGGAGGGGGGTATAAACTTGTTGGTTCTACTGTACCTCATGTTGGAATCTTTGCAGGGTGAGTTTCTTCTCCATCTGGTCGTAGGTGAAGGGGTCGGCCGTGTACTGGTCTTTCAGCAAGCTGCGCCAGCAGTTCTCGGCTGACCGCCGGGACTTGGTCAGGACTATCTGGACTAGTTTGTTGTCCACTGTGCAATAACAAAGTAATTAAAAAAAAAGACTGGTTGACGACAATGCCTCAAGGGTAAAATTCCATTTGTTCAACTACATTGGGCCTGATTTGTTTAATGGTATAAAAATTGATTTTTTTTTGCTTGAAGAAAATAAGAGTTTTAACTCCACTAAGGTAGATCGTCAATTTGAGTTCACGCGAGAGGGGACATTGAGGGCATCTATCCTTACCAAGTGTCCAGGTGCACTCATCTGATATAACAGCTTCGTGGAGTTCACCCTGGAAGCAAAAAAACCCCAAAACACACAGAAACTGCAATATAATCAGCATTTGGTTAAAGGACCCATGACATGTCATTTACTTGGGAACATAAAACATTCTACTCCTCTTAAATGTATCAAAACCATTTGACACCTCTTTTTGGTTAATCTTTAAAAGTGCACTTCTTTAAACACTTTTAACAAATTCCATGCACTTGTTTGCTGTGATGTCATTTCAGGAAGACACTGTTCAGTTTAGGGGTTTTCTGTTTAAAGTGTGAGACCAAAATGTGCTCATTGAAAACACTTGTGAACAAAACTTTGGTCATTGGCCTTCTGTCATCATATACTGAAACAACAATGAATCACCAAAGAAAAGAAAATTCACAAGAGCAAAATATTCTAAATTCTGGCAAATTTTGGTGCTGAAATAGCTGTAACATTGCATGGGACCTTTGACAGCTCTTCAATATGTCCAATTCACATTTCTGCACACTTTCAAAATAGCTCAGTACAACTCCCTGTTTCGAGTATGTTAGGCCCCGACTATAGCAGGGGACCCAACTATAGTTGGAACAGTCTCTTACAATAGTTGGCGTGATCCCAACCATAGTAAGAACTTCCTCAATTATAGTTGGGACTGTTCCAACTATAGTTGGGACTATTGTTATAGTTAGGGTGCAACACCTACACACCTTAAAGACAACTTCGCCTCTGACTGTGCAGCTCAGCTGTTTGGGGGCAAAGGTCACCGTCACCATCTTGCCCTTTGTACCCTCCGGCACGGTCACCTCGATGAACACTTCCTCCATAGTCTGGTACCACTGACCCCAGGGGGTCTGGCAGGGAACGATGCCGCTCTTCTCATCAAAGTGTGCCATGGTGATGCACCATCTTCGTGTGTCTGTGGGAAACGTTCTGGTCAACTGATGCTGAATTCAAACAACAAATGGGAGCAACGAAGAAGAAAAATAATTTAAGGTTAACCCTAACACAGTCCTGAATCCTCACATTTCAATAGGATTTTGGACACTTACTAGGGAGGTAGGGTAGTAAGTTACAAAACATTTAGTCTCAGAAACCCAAAGACAGGGGTCAAACTGAGCAAAAGCTACAACTTAAACCATTTTTTAGAGTCAATCTGGAAAGCCTATACATTGGGGCGGAGTGACGACAGTTTTTGTCAGTTGCTATGTGTTACCATTCAGCACTCCAGACTCAAGAAGCATAAAGTTTCAAAAACATAGGTCTGGGAGCTAGATAAGCCAATGTAAAAAATTCCTGAAGGTCCGCGCCCACCTGCCAACCCCCCCCCCCCCCCACCCAGCCCCCCCCCCCATTTTTGATAAGCTAGATCCGCCCCTGTTGTTCCAATGTAAACAAACAATAATATATGGATTGGTGATCACTTTTCCTCAATTGGTGAGTGCAACAATCCATCCAACAAAATCAATGCCTGCCTTACAAAAAAACGTCAGTAAATCACAAAAAAATGTTTAAAATTATGTGAAATTTTGATGATCGGCTCACTTCTGAACGCTATACTATAGTAATTAGTATCAGTTTGTTTACTTCAGCGCACTTACATGACTTGCAAGTTGCATGGATATCCAAAAGTGCAAAGCGCGGGTAAATGCATTGCGCCCTCAAGTGTTGCAGCTTTCTTCGCCGTATTTTCGTATCAGTTCTGATTGGTCAAATATAATAATAATAACATCGTTATTATGGTAAAAGACATCATACAAATCCATTTTAATAATTTTTATTTAACATAAATAGACTAATGGATTTGTAAAAAGAAAAAATTGCCTGTTTATAAAAATATTGTTCGTATAATTTAACTACTTTCGGAGATGTACTCACTTTAGTAATTTATTAGAACATCCAATCAGGAGACGTGTAGCATTTAGCATTGCACATGTGAATGCTTTATTGGCAGCAGTCGGAGGTGCTAGCGCTAGCTGACAGGTGAAGTTTCGCACAAACCACAAAGATGTCGGAACAAGTACCGAAACAATCTACGGTATGTAATTGTTTTTCAAGTTATGGATTAATAACTATTTACTTTTTGTCTTGACACATGACTTTCTTTTGTTTATTTTCTTCAAAAAGGTTTTTTCTTAGGCCGAAGTCAAGACAAACCTCACGCAACCGCCACCGACAACAATAACGCACGTCACGACGATCGTCGACTCGGGCACGACGAACAAACTACACAGTCATGACAGTGACATCATCAATAATAAGCAATGATCGAGTGTACACATGGTACACAGATTATCAAAAGCCTCACGTTGACTATCCTATAAACATTATACACAAGGGAAAGAATCGTTCAACCTTACGCCACTTTTTATGTATAGGAAACATTTCCAATTTTGTTTGGAAAAATTTGGAAATTTTTCTTGACTGTCCTGTCCATCAATCATCATCATGTCCATAGACTTTGTTAAAATGAAGTTTGTACACAACCGCTGAAGTGGCGTCAGGTTACAACATTCTTTCATAAACGGGTTCAACATGTACAATGGGCTAGAATAGGCTACCCCTCAATCTTTGCTAATTGGTAGTCCGAGTAAACTTGGACCCAACTTATCGCCTTGTTAACATTCGGACGTGGTCCGGCGACAGTAGGGTCCAAACAAATGGGCTGCCATCGCGAGACACAATTCTGCCGTCGACCCCAAAACCCAACATTGCCCAACAAAAACATCACATTTCACCCTCAAAACGGCCTCTTAATATACATCACCCCATGCAAATTTGTCTTATGAATAGTTATATTTTCTTGTTTACCTGCAGGATGTCAAGGACAAATCAAATGACCAGATCCTCGTCAAAGTGAGAGGACAAGTAAGTATGATGAAGTAACAATGTGTGTACTTAAAAAGATCAACAAAAAGTGAAATACTGACTGTAATTTTCATTTGGAAATTTGGTTTTCTTTTAGTTCAAACAGAACTTGAAAGGATGGCACAAAAGTGAGAAAAACTCAAGTGAAATTTGCTAGTTGTATTTGTTTGTCTTTATTTGTTTCTGACATTCTCTTATCAAGACTTGTAAACCCTTCAAGTTCTCCCTCCCCACCTTGGCATGATTACTGTGAACTCTGAACATTCTAAGGAAAGGTGATAATAATAAATAATTATAGTGGCTTCTTATAAAGTGCTAAGGTCTGTCATGCAGTGACGCTCATGGTGCTATACCAGTTGTTACAAAACTTGTAAATGTTTAAATCAAACTTAGAGTTTGAAAGAGCTAGAGGAGGAAGTGTGACAGAGAAAAACGAGTAGACTGTTCCAGAGAGTGGGGCCTGCGTGAGAAAAAAAGCTGCGGTCACCCCAAGAGTGTGATCGATTGATGCGTTACTTTTAATTGATAAATTGATTACAACTTTGGTAATTGGGCGTTGTTTCTTCGTTGTTCTTTCTTTCTTTTTTTGGTGCATTTCTAGGACAATTCCATCATACAGTTTAAAATCAAGAAGGGAACGCCCTTCAGGAAACTGATGTGCGCATACTGCGAGAAGCAGGTAGGTTTGTCATTGAAAGCAAAATGATCACAACTTACGTCAATTAAAACGAAAGAGAGCTGACTTTGAACCGAGTGTATCATAACTGGGCAATTCCACCGTCACTCACGTCACATTTATATGCCATGAGGCTACTTTGACCTCTCACTGCCTCAAAAGTATTTGATCAAGCTGAATCCAACCAGCCATACAACAACCTTGGGGTAAGGGGTACTCAAAAATGGAGAGAAAAATTCAATCCATTCATTCAATTTTTGAAAACATGTGTTTTGTTGTATGGAAAATTGTCCTGCAATTTTGTTGTTAAAGTCTCCTAAAACTGTAGTCTGCAACACAGAAGTAGCATTATGTTACCTTTCATTCAACCCATAGCTGTATATAAAATCCATTTTGTATCAAATCAGTGTGTATTTTAGATGCAAGGGACATTAGATTACAGGGAGGTACCGTCACTCACGTTACGTCACTCACGTTACTTCCTCTTCATGGTTTCTAACATGGAATATTATCTGAGTTTGATGAACTGCAACATAATGAAACTCTTTTCTTATAATATGTGAACCTTTCTCTCTGCCTTAAACACAAAAACTCTCAATAACAGTCACATTTTTGCATGTTAAAACAAGGTGCCAAAATGACTACCAAAAATCCATGATTTTAGCCAAAGAAAACCCCAGTTTTTTGGACCCAAAATCACACTTAACTACATGCCATCTCACTGACACACCACTCAAATGAACGATCTTGTTGTCCCCTTTAATATGACACCACATTTGATGTTGTGATGCTTGTAGTTTGCAAGATTTCGTACAGTTTCCACTTTACAGCTGTGTCCACATTTGCGTGGAATTGCCCAACTCAGGCATTTTTCTTAATGGTTGCTCGTGCATTCAATATGTTTTCCTGTGGTATCGCTTTGCAGGGAGTGCAACTGGACATCATGAGGTTTAGATTTGATGGCGTTGCGATTGGACACAATGACACCCCACGCTCGGTAAGCTTTCTGAGTTTTTTTTAAATTGAAACCTAAATTGTTATTCGTTTGTATGTCACACATTTTGCCATGGAGGATCAGAACTTCACCAAAAGTATGTTTCATTAACCCTAACCCCCTAGGCCCTCTTGGCTAGGAACCATCCTCAATCCTGCAAAATCCTCCAATTTCCACCATGTGAAAATTGGATTCAGCCTCAGTCCTCCAAAATCACCAGTTATTTCTTGAATTTGTTCAGTGGAGGCTTGACCATTGCCTCAATCCTTCAAAATCTTCCAACAATCACTGTTAATGAGTTGATGCAGTGCCGATGACATTCAGAAGCAATGTGGATGATATTGATCATTATGCAGGGCTCAGTTATCCATAGCTGAGCATAAACAATGAAGGGTAGGGCCTATGAACTTGACACAATGCATCCTCCCAAACCAACTGACCCTTTTTTGCCGTTCGTCCTCAATCCTCCAAAATTCTCCAAAACCGCCCGGATCACTTTCCCTCTGCATTTGGTGGTCTTCATCTCTTGGCGTTGTATAAGTCAACACTTGTGGAAATTATCCTACAAGCAAATGAATCTCCAAACTAACTGTCAGGAATTCCTCAAAAGTGCCTGTGGATTTCTCAGTTGTGCCTTCCATAGCGGGCAAGCCAGAAGAATCCTTATAGAGAGAGGGCAATTAAAGGTAGTTTTCAGCTTTAAAGGTGGCAGAAAAGTCAAGGTTTTTATTTTATATCGTCGGTGACACCACCATTTTTGTTTTCACGAAGTTACACTCATCTTTATTTCACCAGTTTGAAGGCTTTTTATTAACATTTTCTGTAATTCTACAAGAATAGGTATTGATTACATTCCTGTCAAACATTTTAAAATGCTTAAATCCAAATAGTATTTCCGTAACAGTGTGAAAACAAAAATCGTTCCGCCAGTGTCCGATGTGCGCGCACACACTTGAGTGTTACTTCGTGAAACCAACCTTTGTCATTTTGCAGTTTTCACGCAGTATCACTGAAGTGGAATTGGGTGTTACTTCAGTGACGGTATGAATAAAAAAAATCAGTCCTGCATGCTGAACTGAGTGGAGCTCGAACCTGGTTCACAGTTGTAGAGAGCAAGGACAGATCAACCTGACTCATAATCCAATCTCTTTTGCTTCTTATTAATGTAAAATTTTCTCTCTCTACCTTCAGATCGATATTGAGGATGATGACACAATAGAAGCATACATGCCACAAACAGGCGGGCAGTGGTCGAGACACTGAAACACTCAAATTCACCCTCTGGATTATCATGGAACAGCAACCTCACAACCCTCCGGAATAACAACACCCTCTTCCAAAAAATGAATAATGGTTCCAGTATTGTGCACAGTCTAACATCACCATGGTTCTCTAGTTCTCGGTTTTTTGTTTCCAATACTCAAAACTCACATTCACTACACAGGCGGGGAATCCTAATTTGGGATATTAATGATACAACATTGGTCATAAAATGACTTCCTAGGGTCGGAATGCTGGCATCTGTGCTCGTTTCTATTGACTTCTATTGAAAGAGTCATTATTGAACCCATGTATCTTTAAAGCCATCTTTGTTTGGTACCCTGTATTCAGAGCAATCACTCTATTGGATTCCTTCTTTTTTTTTAAGTGCCAGCCTATTTTGATTCAGATGAATTCATTGTCTCCCCTCTCCTGCATGTAGAAACTGTTGTATCAACCTTGACGTTAAAGGTCCATGGATTTCATAGTGGAAAATTTGTGACCAAAAAAAATCCAACTCTTGATCCACCATTTTTGTATTGCCACCTTTTTTGATAGTACAAAACACTTTGGTTGTATAACTGCGTGAAATTCCTAGCTTTTGAGCTTGGGCAAGTATTGGGGTTTTTACTAGTCGGTTGAAACTTAAGCAAAGCTAAAAAAAAATTCTGATTTTTTTCCCCCCAAATTCCTGTCATTTGATGCTTCTTTTTGCTCAAAATAACACCCCGAAAAAGTAAGACTGGTGAACGTCTTTTCATTAAATGATTGATTCCTGTCACTGAGCGAGGGAAAATGGTTGATTTTTAAAAAATTGTTTAATTATTCTGAAGTAATATGTTTGGTTTATTCCCTCAGAAGTATCAGTTGCTAAAATAATTTGATGCCAAATTGAGACACGATAGGACTTGGGATTTGGCATAATTTTGGAGAAAAAAATCCAAAGGATCATTGGGTGTACATGTGTAAATAAGTATCGTATTGTGTTCCGTAAATACATACACTGCGCATGAACATATCGTGCTTTGAATGGATGGTTGGTTATAATCGTGTAGATCTGGACAAACTTAGATTTTGCATTAAATAACTATTTATGAGCACTTCTCGTTTAATCCGGTCAAGTAAAAAAAAAATCTTAACCCTGCTTACAGGTGGAGAGTGGTTTTAAATTGTGGTAAACTGGTTTTAAATTGTGGTAAACTGGTTATCACATTTTATTTGGGTTAGTGAAACACACGGCAGGCAGCAAAACCACGATACAGCAAAACCGTTACTTGCTTGGATTATAGTTTGCCAATACGAGATCTGTTCTGCTGAACTCAGTTCAAGCATTTGTCCCTTTTTGTCAGTTTCTTGTTTGTTCACCCGGTACAACCGCGGTGATTTTTAAAAATTAGTCAAGATTTTGTCATCTGCTTCAAATTAACTATATCCACACATGCATAACCCAACATAGCACAGTTATTTACTCACGTGTATAAAAAAAAATTAAAAAAACACTGCATGTTTTCATGTTCATGTAATTTAACTTTTTTTGGTAGTTTTAAATGTGTGTAAATATCGTAGGAAATCAGCTTTGCTACTTGTACTTTGCTACTTGTACTAAGCGTTTGTCTTAAAGCTTTCTGTGTAGATTATTTGTCGGTTATCAACTTGTCAATAAGATGTTGAATGCCATTTTCAGAAAACAAAATTCTGGTTTATTTAGGGTGGTCTAGAAATTGGGAAAACGACATAATTCAGTTGAGATGTTAAATTGTATCATTACCAGCCTCATCTTTTTTGTTTTGCCAGATAAAAATGTGCAGTCTTGCATGCGTTTATGTATGAACTGAAGTGAAACTTGTTGGGAAGTATAACAATTCAGTTGGAGCAAGTAATGTGGCACATTTTTTGAGGATAGGAATTTGAGACACAGAGTATGTCATTTTTGCTTGAAACTTGGTTTGACATTGAATCTGCGAGCACTTTGTAATTGAAGGTTGAAGATCAACTCGTGTTGAAAGTCTGGGAGACTCAACTACTATAAAAAATACACTCAAAAATAACATTTTAAGCTTCTGGGCTTAGTGGTATGTTGGTAAAATCTACAAATTGGTGGGTCAAAAAATGAATGCATTTATTGTGTCTTGACCTTCAGAAAAGAAACATTCTGTTAAATTATGCTTGTTATGATAAGGTGTTGTAATTTTCTCGTCAGTTTATGATAAGCAGATTTTGCAGAAGGAAGCACAGAATTAATATCCATCCTTTGTTTATGTCGTGTAAATTAGCTTTCCCAAAACATGTTTTTCCCCCCTCAAGAAATGGCTGCGGAATCAACAGAAAGGTGCCAAAATATAGGACACTTGTTTCCCTAAATTGTAGTTGAGTTAGCAATACCCGTAATGTTAAACAGATTGTATGTTTTAGTATTTGTTTTCTTTCTATTTCAGTGAAATCAAATTTTGTTCTGTATGTCATTGTCAGTTTGTTTAATAAACCAAGTCCAAAAATAAAAGGAACGAGACTTTTTGTCCGATTTTCTTTGTAAGGCATATCTGACTCATGCCTCATGAATTATGGTATGTCTATAATTTGGGTTGTATTGATCACTTTTTGGGGGGGAGGGAATTTTCTTGTATTTTTTGTTTTGTTGACATTCATCACTGGTGTAATTTCACGTAAATTCAAGTCTTCGTCTCTATATTTTATTATCAAGAGAGGGCGCTATATAAAGTTTACAGTCGAGTCAAGTTGAACATAAACATCGGGTGAGTAACGTGATGGGCGACGTTTTCTTGTGTTATTTTAGTTTATGTGTGAGACTTGTGGTATGTTTTTAACCTTTGATTCTTAACCTCTGGGATAACCTGATCAATTATGTATTTTATTTTTAAATTGTTCTGTTTGATTGTGCAACTTTGTGTAAACTTAGGCCGAGGCCTAAACATGCCTAAACAAGTGACACTGGTCACTGCATTTTGTGTAATTGACCACCCGCCCACCAGTACCACCGGCTTTGCTTGTGCACAAATCTATGGGGAATTGTGAAAATTGCCCGAAGTGATTTCTTACGGAGTAATTGCAGAATTCCTTGCCACGCTGAAATTACCCCCTAGAAATAAATGGCTTTCGCAGTCGGAAAATGTCCAAAGTACGTGTCAGGAAGTGGATACGCGGATACGACGGGGTGGATTTGAGCGGTGGAATCCTTCTTCTTGTTTTACCTTTTGTGTATTTGTTGTGTTAACCCGACCAACAATTCAGACATACCTAACATTATCTTTGCAGGTCTGATTATAAGTTTTGAGCAGGTTACGCTCATGTAAAACTTGAGGATATAGGCACTGTTTAATGTAGCAACCTTCTGATGCGCGGAGAATGGATGAAACTCACAGGGTGTCCTTGGCCTTCCATGACCTGACAGAAATACCTCAGAATGCGATCAGCAAGTATGCTGCCAAAGCTGAGGTGCTGGATCTAAGCCACAATCAGATCAGGTAGCCAATCAAGTTTCAGATTCAGATATAAGCCCCGCCCACCTTTGGTCTGTGTACATTTCTCACAGTGGTTGTGACTGAGTTGGACCAAGCAACTGTGGTTACCTGACCACAAGTCATGATCTAATTGATGGGCACAGTCAAGCCCCGCCCACCTTTGGTCCATTTACATTTCTCACAGTGCCTGTGACTGAGTTGGAAGCTTCTGTGGTTACCAGACCAAAAGTCATGATCTAATTGGTCAGTGGGCACTGTCAAGCCCCGCCCACCCTTGGCTTGTGCATATTTCTCACAGTGCTTGAGTTGGACCAAGCTTCTGTGGTCATCTGACTAAAAGTCAAGATCTCATTGGTCAATGCGCTCTGTCTGAAAGACAGGCGAGAAGGGTCAATTTGAATAATTTGAGCACACAATCATGTGGGTAGCCCTCGCTGACAACTGCCCCTGTTTGTTGAACTTGAATATGATGAGCTTGAGTAAACTGTGCTCTTATTAAACAACATCTTGACTAATTCCTGGGGCATTTCCCAATACTGATCTCTTGGACAGAGATTTCCTGCTCATGCATTTGAAAATGATTGAACTGAAACTGAAAAAAAAAAACCACCTTTTTATTTTTTTTATTTTACAGTGACCTGCGTTGCTTGGAGTCCTTCAGCAAAATCCACACACTGATCCTAGACAACAACCACCTGAAATCCCATGTGAAATTCCCAACGCTGCCCCAAGTCACAACGCTCTGGGTCAACCGGAATCGCATCTCCAACCTGACGGTGTTTATAGAGACGGTGTCCAATGCCTTCCCCGACCTGCAGTATCTGAGCATGATGAACAATCCAGCAGCACCCAGCTTCTTCAATGGGGGCAGCTACGAGCAGTATCTGGACTATAGGTAAGCAGTTCCGGGTGTTATAGTCCAGTCCATCAGAAGTTCTCACAAGTTCTCACAAGTTCTCAGAAGTCCTCACAAGTCTACACAAGTCCACACAAGTCCACACAATTCCTCAAATGTCCATCACAATTAATTCTTCAAGTCCTCACAAGTCCACACAAGTCCACACAATTCCTCAAATGTCCATCACAATTAATTCTTCAAGTCCTCACAAGTCCTCACAAGTCCACACAATTCCACACAATTCCTCAAATGTCCATCACAATTAATTCTTCAAGTCCTCACATGTCCACACAAGTCCACACAAGTCTTCTCAAGTCCTCATGTGTCCACACAAGTCATCACAATTCCTCGCAAGTTGGGCATTGGTAGTTTGGCATTATCGGGGGAGGGGGGGGGGGCCCTTCATTTTCTGGAGGGTGGCATTCAAAGGATTTTTAACCAAAAAACAGCTAAGTTTTGCCTTCCCCAATTCTAAGTAATTTCAAGTAAATCTCATATTTTCATTGATGTGCAGGCATTACGTGATCAGTCAGTTGCCTAAGCTGACCATGCTGGACGATAAAGAGATTCCAGAGACTGAGCGTCAGGAAGCAGAGAGGATATACAAGCACCAGATGAAAAGGAAATCATCCAAGAACAGACGAGTAAATGTCAAAAATGTTATTGAAGTCCTCTCAATTTAATCTTATGTCAGTGACGAGTCATTCAGTCCTCAAATCATCCATGACAAAAGCTTCAAAAGCTACTTGTATGGGATTCAAACCTCAAGCCAAGACCTCCTCTTTTCTCATGTAAATTGTTAAGCAAAACATAAGAACTTTCTGGGGTCGGCAGTGGGTGTAATCAGTAACCTCTGATGAAGTTTTGTGACTACATGTAGTCTAGTAACTGCTTTTTAATGAACAACAAAAATCAAGTGTAGGCTTGTCTAGTCCAGCTGGACAGCTTCAGTTGGCTAGTCTTAATTGGATAGTCTCAGCTTGATAGTTGAGGACATTATACTCGGTGATTCCTCCATGGTCAGAGGACAGTCGCTGGCCTTTTAGGTCCAGCCAAAAAAAAGCCCTGACACTTTTCTTGTTTTTCTTTTTTTGACAGAGGTCTAGTCAGAGTAAGAGGAAAAGCCGTGGATCCAACAGTCATCTGTCCACAGAGGGCAGCGTTGACCTGCCTTCTCTGGAGGAACTCAGCAACAGTACGGCCAAGAGGTGATGGAGTCGTTATAGAGAGCCCAAATATTCCCATCAGAAATCTGACAGTTTCTACTGCAATCCTGCAGATTGGATTTATTTCAAGCAAGATCGAGCATGAACAATGAATAACCGTTACCGGTACCCTTCTTATCAATGCACATGCATAATGGACCATTCCAGATTGGGCCAGAAGCCCCACCCACTTTGTATATGGGGAACATCACATGCATCTCCCCATTTATACCACACTGCATGTTCCAGCATGGTCTGTGATTGGTCAACACTTCATGGGGCGGGGCTTAACAGGCAAACTGTTGGTGACTATTTGTACCTTGTCACATGTGGGCAACATCACATGCATACTCCCATTACCACACTGCATGTTCCAGTGCATTTGCTGTGATTGGTCAACACTTCATGGGGTGGGGCTTAACAAGCAAACTGTTGGTGATAGTTTGTACATGTACCTTGTCAATCACATTGTCCAATGGCTGCAGTTTCCTCTAATCTCGCCACTGGTTCCCACTGTAGTGAATTATGAATGAAAGCCATTGAGGACCAATGGTGAAACCCTGCCTTATAATCTGGTAGTCAAATAGTCAATAAAGGTGGCCATAGTTGGCACTACACTGCAACAGATTTAACATTTCTGTCTTTTTTTTCAGGGGCTTTCAAACAAAAACAGTATTAAGAGAGGCTGAAGGCATAGCACAAAATTACATTATTTCAATTTAGATTGATTTTTTAAGTATATCATTTGTTTTAAAGCAATTTTCTTTAAAGCAATTTTAATGTATGTGAAATTTTATTTATTTTAATGGTGGGCCAGGGGGAGGTAGTGGGCATTTTAACGGGTTTATATTCCAGGACTTTCCGTAGAAATAAATAGCTTCCAACAATATACATTTTGAAACAAATTAAAAAATAAAGTAATATTTTTATCATGGTTTTTTAGAATCTTTTGAATTTGAAAACGGATCATTTTGTTGTTGATGACCACGATGTTCATAGTGCAGAGAACAATGTTGGCATCAGAAATCTGAGAAAATGCTAATGATTGCCTTTTTAACATTACAGAAAAAAAACATTTAATGTATTGAAACCAAGTGTTAATATTGTATAGTTGCAGATTAGTACAATTACATATATATATTTTAATGCTTAAAAAATCTTTCGAACTTTATACTTACATTTGATGTACGATACAACTTTGTGGCTGATAATGGGACAATCTTCCCCACTGCTTATTTTTAATACATTTTCTTAATTATGCTGCCAATTTTATACCTTGAAATGTGTAACTTAAATTTACTCTTCCAGTTTTTGCATGCAATATGTTCTATTGTCAATTTGCGAATAAAAAAAGGGCACACTAAAAAGACTGAAGAAGTTATTTGATCAGTATAACTTCTTTGATGACAATAAACAGACAACACAGCGTAAAATGTTTTGCAAAATTTACTGCTCATTTATTTACACTTGCAGATGTCTACACGCCATCTCCATTTGCGAAACGAAGTACGGAAAGGATGCTTTGCATTTACAATGGCAGAATGCCTTCTAAAATAAAAAAAAATAAAAAAATATTTCTACAAGAGAAAAAAGTGAGAGACTTGGTGAATAGGCTCTATCCGAATCCCAAAGGAAAAAAAAACTTTTCTTGAAAAGGCAATTCATCCAAAATCCACCCTGTTCAGCAACTTGACGGCACATCCATGGTTCCTCAAATATCAAGGGACATCAATAGCCCTCATAAATTGATTTGTGGCTGGGCGTACCTTCCTCACACCTGCACAATCTTTAAAAAACAGGTGGATTTTTAAGAATTTAGAAGGGTAATTGGTGAATTGTGACGGAAGTACTGCTTTAGCTTTTGTTTAATATAATCCACATTTTGTTAAAGCAAGATAATTAGGCGTTCACATACGCTTATGCACACACTGGTGTACATTTATGATATTCGATTTTTGGGACACCGTGTGCAACTATTTTGCTCCTGCCAATATCTGCCAGATTCAAACTGTTCAAAGGGGAACAGTACCCTCTGTAGTTAATGATCAACCAGCATATCTTGATGTCATATATACAAATATATGCATGGTATGAATTTATTATAAACATGGACTGCCGACCCCACATGAATGCTTCATCTGCACTGTAGGCTGGAAATTGGTTACAGTGGAAAAACGCCATGTTTAGGTTGAAAATAAGCACTTATCTCTGCTCCCAGCGTCACACAATTTTCAAAATTGTGCCCACTTAGGCTCTTCGTACATTGAGTTACATTTTCGAGACAGATACGTTAAAAAGATTTTCACACAAAATGTGGACAAAAAGAAGCGATCTGAATACATCCTTACGTCAACTGCTCATGAACAACCAAAAAAAACAACCAAGTTGATATGTACTATAATGGACAGTCGTATATATGGATGGCTTTGTCGTCTGAGACCGATACTATCTTGGATCCGTTCCCGTTGTACTTAGCCTGCCATACCTATGAAGCAATGAAGAGAGACAACAATAATTACATGGGAAGATTTTCAGCACTGGGGGTTTTGAGTTTACACCATTTTAAGCGTGTTAGTTTGCCAGAAAAAGTGTGCAAGTAGAATATTTAAATTGTCTGTCGCGATGTTTTGACTTTATTCAAGATAAAGTGTATGTATTTCCTGAAGTGCATACAGATACAAACAATATACCGAGACGTAAATGAAACTCAAACTGGTAATAATTTGAGTCGGTAAAGTTAAATGTTAAACAGGTGATTTGATATAACAAAAATAAAACAATAAAACAAATAAAACTTGCAAGGAAAATTTGTGAACAGTGACAAAAAACCATCTGCAACATCTTAAATGTCTTGGCCAGAAAGAGAGTTTTTGTCAGTTGATTAAACAGCAGCTGATACCAGAACAAATATAGGTTCTTTCCTACTTTGTAGTAATCAAATGAATAACTACTTCTGACTCTTAGTAAAAGGGAAATGGGATATTTTGTAGAATTGGTAAAAGAGAAACTATAATAGTATGTACCTGGTCATAGTGATCATAGAATGTAGCCACGCACTGCCTCGCCCCTGCATCCCAAACCTTCACGGTGTTGTCAGAAGAGCTTTGGAAAGGAATGAAACATGGTCACCATTTTTTTTTAGATATGATAAAATGTTTTCTTTAGTAAGTCGGAACCATAATGTCTGAAATGAGAGGCACATTCCAAATTCGCAACTTGTTCCTTACCTTGAGACGAAGTGGGTGTTGTCGGGACAGAAGTGGACACTCACAACCCAAGAACTGTGGCCTGATAAGGTACCGGCTAGGTTGGCATGTTGTCTAGAGAAAGTGAATGAACAAACACACACACACAAATAGAAATTGAAATCATGTTATGCTCAGTCTTTGTTTTGAGATAATGGAAAGATGTAGGCTCTAGTGATTCATATACAAGACAAAGGAACTTTCCCTGAAAACATCGATGTCAACATCAACGATTAATTTTGCTGCATTTTGATAACTAGGAGTTTAGCTGTTGAGATCCTGAGTCCATCAAAGTCCCCCAACTGCTCACTATGGAGGTATCCTGAATCCATCAAAATCCTGCAGTACTGCTAGGCTAACTGTTCTGAATCCATCACAATCCCCCAACTTTTTCAATATGGAGGTATCCTGAATCCGCCAAAATCCTCCAAAACAGGGGTGTGGATTTTGATGGATTCAGGTACATTAGGCTTAATGAAGTTAATTTCTTTTCTTTTTTCTCCATGTGATGTGTAATACTTACACGTCGTAAACTTTAAGATGACCGTCGTCTGAGGCAGTGGCCAGTAGTTGTGAATCCGGGGAAAAACACAGGGATCTGATCGGCATGGCGTGACCTGAACGCAAAAACAAAATTGAAACACTTGATTAAAACCTATTCAGATTTTTGTTCATTTAAAGAACACACATTCGTGTCTTCAGAATTTATACTTCCAGATCGCACAAATTCTGGAAAACAATGTAAATAATCATTTACTTAAACATTGTTACTGAAAGTTTTAAAGTTTATTGTCCAAAATATAAGTCAATTTTTTGACAATTCTATCGTCTGGTTTGAAGGTAATTCTTTCTGTTGAGCTAGAGGGCAATAATGCTATATAAAACGTGCCAAGCTTTTTTTTTTTTTTTACTTTTTCCATTATTTTTTCAAGATTCATAATTATGGGATAAACTTATACTTGCCTTCTAATGTGTGAAGCAGTTTGCTTGTCTGAAGGTCAAATAAATTGACGATGCCATCAATAGCCCCACTGGCTATGTACTTGCCATCTGGGCTCTATACAATAGGAAAAGTCAAGTACAAAAACCCTGTATTGCTACAACAGTTTCTATAAAACTGAGCAGTTATAAAACTGCCATCTCACATAGAATAATGTACTTCTGTTAACGTAGCTCATGGTGATGAGTAAAGTGGGAAATTAGATTTATAAAACAGAAGACTTTCATCACTCTCTTACTAGATCAAATCTGTTGTTGGCTGAATTCAGTGCATATTTCATAATAACTAAAACATTTAAGAAGTTGAGAAAAAAAAATCCAGTAAAAAGAAAAAGATGACTCACAAAGGCAATACTGAGGATAAATTTGCCCCTGGTGTCTAGCGAAGCTTCTTTCTTCCCGCTTTCCACGCCGAACATGTTGACTTTCCCTGTGTGACTCCCGGTGGCAAGGAAACGACCGTCCGGCGAGAACATGATCGTCCAGGCATCCTCCGGTCCGGCATCCAGACTCCTCATCTGCTTGCCGACCTCCAGGTCCCATAGACGGATGTTGCTATCCAATGAGCTGGAGGCAGCAACTAGTATTGAAAGGTCAAAGGTTAAGGAAGATATTGATTTTTCATCCCTTGCTCTGTTTAGATCCCCTTCAAAACTTCAATGGTTGCCTTGAAAAAATGCCGTGTTTACTGCATGGATGGTACTGCAAGAGTGAGCCAGTGAGCATTTTTTACTTGTGACATTCAAGAAATCAGCCAAAATCCTTTGCTATGCACTTTACACCCAGGGAGGAAAATATTTCCCATGTAATAGTGCCAGTGTTCCATGGCCAGTATCTATCAGAAGTCTTGGGTTTTGTTGGGCATTGTTGAATTTTTATTCAAGGATACTTGTTCCCGTCGGATTGATGTCCACTGACACCAGGCCTAGCTGGTGGCCCTCTAGCGTCCACTTCAGCTTCAGTTCATCGTTCGTCCTGAAAATAAAAGACAAAGGATTGAGCAAACTGTTTTAGGCATAATGTGTCAAAGAGAATCGAGAAGCATCATTCTTACCACTGTGTAGTGAAAAATGATAAAAGGGAATATTATAGCTGCTAACTAGATAACATCGGTCTCAAAACTTTTAGGATTAACTTTCGGAGCATTGCCACAATATAAATGAAAGTTCTGACAGAAGAGACAAGGTTATATTCACTGAAACAATCTTGTTTGTAATCAAGAGCAGTTTTAGGCAGTCCCTTCCTTTACAACCTTTAAGATAGCAGGCTACAACCGGTTTTACTTGGAAAGAAGAAGGTGAAGTTCAAGGAAAGTGAATTTTAGCTTCTAAGAAAACAATCTCCCTGTGATAATGTAGGTCTAGAAAGATCACTCTAGAGTCGATGCATCCTTTACCATTGCCAGACTTTGACCAGGTCGTCCACTGAGCCCGTCACGATGTTCTCCGTGCCATCTTTGTCACTCTTCACCCACGCACAGCTCCAGATGCTGTCAGAGTGGGCCTGCTCTTGCTTAAACAGAATGCTGTACTGTGGGGTGAACAATAATGAGTTAAGTAAATATAAATATAAATTGCTTTTTGAAATTGCCTTGTTAGGTGACAATGTTGTTTGAGCAAAAGTCCCTGAGGACGTCAATGACAGTGAAAACTTAGGTCTACCTCACTTCCTAAAGTTTTGAACATGATGAACCCTACTCCTAGAACTATGAGGCTCCACGTACGTAGTGGAGCCTCATAGGTTCAGAAGCCCGCAAAATTGTTGTCAGCACAAAACACTAATTAGGTACAAAAACGTCCATCCCAACCAGGCCGTTTTCCACAGAACCGCTGCACAGTTTGCCCCTAAACTCCATACAATACCTCATGACATACTCACGTTATGTGCACCCAACAAACATCGGTGGATTCTGTCTGTTTTTCGGCAAAAATGATGAAAAATATGTCCTTTCCGCACTGAGCCAACCTAACACTTGAAACGAGCACGCGTGCAGAATGATCGCAGTCATTTTCGGTTCGATCGCTCGGAGCGCGCCGCGGGGGGTATGGTGTAGGAGCGGAACGATAGTATGCACATGCGTACAAGTGCAAGTACGTACCCCCCGCGGCGCGCTCCGAGCGATCGAACCGAAAATGACTGCGATCATGCTGCACGCGTGCTCGTTTCAAGTGTTAGGTTGGTTCAGTGCGGAAAGGGCATATTTTTCATCATTTTTGCCGAAAAACAGACAGAATCCACCGATGTTTGTTGGGTGCACATAACGTGAGTATGTCATGAGGTATTGTATGGAGTTTAGGGGCAAACTGTGCAGCGGTTCTGTGGAAAACGGCCTGGTTGGGATGGACGTTTTTGTACTTAATTAGTGTTTTGTGCTGACAACAATTTTGCGGGCTTCTGAACCTATGAGGCTCCACTACGTGGAGCCTCATAGTTCTAGGAGTAGATGAACCCAACAAATCACTCAAAATAGTTTGACAATGACAATCAAATGGTAGGCTTACATGTACGTATAAAGCTATGATGATGTTGTATGTTTAAGTAAGTGTCAAGTGTGATAACATATTCACTTTAGCGAAATTTTAGTTTTTGAAACTTGTGGTGCACCCCCCCCCCCCCAACCGCATTGCCCCGCCCCTAGGTAGGACAAACTAAAGTTATGCATGGATGGGCACTGCTTTTGTATTCATTGCAATAACGCATCAGCATGGTATATATTTTGCAATGTAATAAAACCTTGATCCTATATTCAAATAACAGCAGACTTATTGGAAAATTCTGCTTACCATATTCAGAATTTACGTCGATTGTGTGCACTAGCAGTAGCATTTAGCAATGCATTTTTCTCCGATCGTCGAAGGTTTCCATGCGATCGCTAAATTTACAATGGTAATCAAATTCAGCTCATATCAAGACGTGGGGAACCCCCAAGTACCAGTGATATCAAAGGTCATTAACTTTTGACCCTGAAATTAATATTTTATTTTCATTTATAAAACAAATACGACAATTGTTGAAATAACAACGAAGAGTGCGAAAGGTAAAACTATCATTACTGTCGTATTTTAAATGATAGTTTAATTTATAAAATTAATTTCATAACATTACAACAAAGTGCAAAAGCCTAATCAGTTCGCCTGGCAAAAATATGTCACTTGGTGGCGCTATTTACAAATAGTGGACCACGAAAACTGAAATTTGACTGAGCCTGAGGAATCCGTGAACTTGGCCGAGATGTCGCTTGAAATAGAATCTGCGGAGTAAGTATTGATCCATTGAATTCCATTCATTACCAACATCAAGTTATTTAATAAAAATGTAAATTGAAGGTGGTTCAATTGACCTTTCAAGCGCGTACCTTGGCGGGATTCTGCAACTTTACATTGCAAACACACTACACACTACATTACCGTAAAGTACTAATAGGGCGCCCTCTTGCTGGTAACGCTTGATAAATCCTATTTTTATTGGGGGGGGGGTATGGTTGGTGAAGAGTTTACTTGTTGATATCCTGTGCAAAAACAGAATGGAAATCAACTACAAGTCATACTTTTTCGCCTTTTTTTTTACTTGTTTTATTTTTAACAAAATCCGCATTCCACATTTGAAGCAGGGACATTGTCTGTATAATCTTAGTTTTAAGTTCACAAGATGCATTTCTGTTGAGTGTGACATCACAGAGCATAATTTGACACTAATTTTAACAGTGATTAGAGGTCTGTCGTGAGGATAGATTCCTTTAATACCTACCTACCTTGTTTAGGAATTCATTGGCATATTTTCATAACTGAAATGGATTGTCTGAAATCCAACATTTCTCGACCACATTTTTGCATTTCCTTACAACATTAGAAGTTCACACTATTTGTAGAACCTAACCCTTCAAGCCTGTACTATGCGTGCTCAACACATGATCTCTGACGATGTTTCGTTCCTCATTTCAGTGTGATCCGCCTGATCCAGCAGTACCTGAAGGAGAACAACCTCCATCGCTCGCTGGCGACGCTCCAAGAAGAGTCCACGGTCTCCCTGAACACGGTGGACAGCATCGACCAGTTTGTGTCGGACATCAACAATGGGCACTGGGACACCGTGCTGCAGGCCATCCAGTCCCTCAAGCTGGCCGACAAGATGCTGATTGATCTCTATGAACAGGTAGAGATCATCTAGCCCCATAAATGTGGCTGAAATACTGAACTTCCTCCATACTGTGAGCTACATTCTGATGATAGCCACGTGTGAGGAAAAGTTGTTTTGAGGAAATCAAAATCAAGACTGTTTTTCACTAGATATTCACCATGGTAGATACTTACCTGGTTAATAACCTTAAAACAACTTTTATTTATGTGTTGCTATTAACACTGTGTGGCTCACAATACGGAGGAAGTCCAGTGTTTGAGCCACATTTACGCTGCTAATTTAAGTCTAGACACCTGACCTTATGGAATGAGGACAACAATGGACTCCCAGCCTCCAGGCGTCCACGTATTAAATGTTGTGCACCATGCCGATTCTAAATGGATGAGACCATGTTCACCCGAACTTAATTTCAGTATAGAAGACATAATTGCATTTTGAAGATTACTGAAATAACTCTAAACATTCCTGACCCTGTGTTGTACAAATTTAGCTAAAATTTGAGAAGATTTGTTGTTGGAATTGCATATTTTTGTTCTTAGGTATGCCATTTATAAACTAACAGTACAGTGTAAGACGCTTAACAACTCAATTTCCATCCTGATGTAACAATTCCTTATGGAATAGTCTCTATATACCGAGCACATTGCACAAAAGTCTTGTGGAAAACCTCCATAATGTCACTCCTATAATACCGAGTCACCAAATGCAGGGTCATTAAGGGGTGTAATCTCTTTCTTTGAAAATGGTCACAAATGACACAGAATTTGTTTTGTGGAGTCTGAAATTTTCTAGAGAGAATTGGAATTGGCGACCACAGGGAGTTGTTCCTCCAAAAAGTGGAGTTCTAACAACAGGATTGGAATTTACTCGATTGGTCTCTGACCTGAAGTTGCTCAAGCCTAGGTTGATATAGGTTCGCATGTTTCACATCACTCATTTGAGTTACTTTTCTTCACCCAACAGATTGTTCTGGAGTTGATTGAGCTGCGAGAGCTAGGAGCCGCCCGCTCCCTCCTACGCCAGACAGACCCCATGATCATGCTGAAGCAGCAGCAGCCTGATCGCTACATGCATCTGGAGAATCTCCTAGCCAGGTCCTACTTTGATCCAAGAGAGGTACGTAACTTTTGGAAACAGATTTTGGCACAAATAGGTTTGTGTGTGTATTCTGTAATTTTTTTGCAGATGAAAGTATTTTGAAATATATCCAAAATCCTTTATTTTGTAAGCATGCTTAACATAGAAAACTTATTATCAATTCTATGTTGAGTAAGCATCTAGCTTTGTGTATATATTCTGTAATTTTTTTCCAGATGAAAGTATTTTGAAATGTATCCAAAATCCTTTATTTTGTAAGCATGCTTAATATAGAAACTCATTATCCATTCTTTGTTGAGTAAGCATCTGGGAAACCTCTGATAGTTGATGTTTTTTTTCTTGTTATGATTGTATAGCTTTGTAGTTTAAGTAAGTTCCTCAAAATGAAACATGTTTGGACTTTGGAAATATTCTACTACCAGGACATTCTGTAGGGGTGAGCAGCCATACAAGCATACGAGCACCCTCCAAATCACTCAATTTGGAGTCCTGAGTTAATGCATCCTCAAATTCTCTAAATGTGGAGGTGTTGGCATGGCTGACTGCCCGAAAACTCGCACTCAAGGAGCAAGGTGTTTTTCCTGATCAAAATCATCAGATATCTTATTTAGTATCCTGCAAAATTCATTTTTGAAGAAATTTGACAGCTGAAATGTCATCAAAGCTAATTATGTATCTCTTTTCTGCCCCTCTTCTTCCTTTTCCCCCAGGCTTACCCAGACGGTAGCAGCAAGGAGCGGCGCCGGGCAGCCATCGCCCAGGCCCTGTCAGGTGAAGTCAGCGTAGTCCCACCCTCCCGTCTCCTAGCTCTCCTAGGTCAGGCCCTCAAGTGGCAGCAGCATCAGGGGCTTCTTCCGCCGGGCGTCACCATCGATCTGTTCAGAGGGAAGGCAGCGGTCAGGGATGAAGAGGAGGAGAAGTATCCAACGCAGCTCAGCAAGACAATCAAGGTCGGTAGTGACTCTTTGTATGACCAACAGAAGGGAGGGAGGGACAAACTGCAGTGTGCTCTTGTTTGCTTGCATACTATTTTTATTCTGAACATGTTCGACCCATAGCATCTTTACGTGATCGTCAGCCGTACGGCATACTCAAAGACGTCTTAGCAGAGGATTGCACTTGAATGTAGCCATGCAGCATTAATGCTGTTCAAGTGTCCGTCATCTCTCTAGTTTTTAACTGATGTAGGGCATGTCTGTCCAAATCTTTCAAAACCAATCATTTGGTAAATTGATACTTGAGTGGATTAGGGGAATGATTCCCAATTAGTCTTCACCTGTTTATTGTTTAAACCCTAGGTCCCTTACTTTCCAAAAATCCTCATCTGTATAGGAATCCAATGGCAAATTATTTGTACTTAAAACATTCAATGGCCTCGGCGTGTAAAGGAAATAGTACTTCAAATTACTCCAAAATGGACCGCCAGGTTGATTTTGGGCGGGCGCAGGTTAACTCATTTTTGGGTTTTCTTCAACAGTTTGGTCAAAAGTCCCATGTGGAGTGTGCATCCTTCTCTCTCGACGGTCAGTACCTGACAACTGGCAGTGTGGACGGCTTCATTGAAGTCTGGAACTTCACAACCGGCAAAATCCGCAAGGATCTCAAATACCAAGCGCAGGTAAGGCTTTTGGCTGAATACAATCTCGTAATGCTTTCCAATGAGTATTGATTTGGTTTATGATTAACTGCAACATTTCACCTTTTTTTTTCAACAGGACAGCTTTATGCTGATGGACGATGCTGTGTTGTGCATGTGTTTCAGCAGAGACAGTGAAATGTTGGCAACTGGGGGCCAAGACGGAAAGATTAAGGTCAGTCTGATCTCCACAGTTCTATTTCATACTAGCATGGCTTAACCCTTACTCCGGAGGTAGTTTAGAAACCTCTCTGAATTCTCCAAAAACTTATTGCACTTTTGTTCTTTCACTTTCAAAATAAAAAATTCCCTTGATTGTTTATTAGGTGTGGAAGATCACCACCGGCCAGTGCCTGAGACGATTTGAGATGGCTCACAGCAAAGGGGTTACCTCGGTCAAATTCTCCAAGGACGGTAGTCAGGTGCTCAGTGCATCCTTTGACCAAACCCTCAGGTGGGTGTCAGGGCTCCTGTCCAACTTGGATTTCTCTTCTTTTTTTCCAGGCCTGTTGAAAGAAGAACTCTGTTTCTAATTACATACATGTAGATAAAATGAAATGGGGTTTGGATTAAGGAAATACTTTTACTGTTTGTGTAGTTTTTGCTCCTTTCTCTCCCCCCCCCAATAATAAAGTTATTTCTTTATTAATCTTGCTCAATGTATTTCGAACTTGTTTTGAATTTAAGTGTGTAACATTTATGTTTAAGCCAATTTCAGCTGTATTTTGATTAGTTTTGTTTTATTCATACTTCATCAAAAACACAATTCCATAAATATTTTAAATTTTAAATTATTAATTTTAAATGCCAGTGAGTAGAACTTCAGGTACATGTGATCAACTGTTTTGCTGAGTTTTTCTAATTTTTATTTATTTATTTATTTATTTTGTTTTCATTGTTGAAGCTACTTCTTTCTGTTTGTTAATCTGTATTTGATTGCTACTTTCTAAAAAAAAATTATTTACAGAATACATGGCCTGAAATCGGGTAAAACTCTCAAGGAATTCCGTGGCCACACCTCCTTTGTCAATGAGGCTGTATTCACCATAGATGGCCACACCATCATCAGTGCCTCGTCTGATGGCACAGTCAAGGTGATGATACTTTATTATTGACAAGACCAAGTGCCTGGCATGTTATTTTACTTTGTTAGTTCCATCCCATTTTTTCAAAGCTTGAATTGCCCTTTAACCAGCACGGCGTTTTCGGAAAGCATATTTCTGAACAAGTGTTTAAGAAGACATGACGAAAATTCTGTTTTGTAATGCCAATCCTCTGTTCATGATAACAGTATATATTCCATTTAACTCCATTGGAAGTATTTGTATCTTTAAAGTGTGTCGTAGTGGATGTCAACTGAAAACGGAACACTTTTGCCCCAGAATGCAGAGTCAAAACAGCATTGAATATTGTTTTGAATTGACTGTAAAAAATTTACTTTATTTCTGAAAGTAATCACAGCTGAATTCCTTTCCAGACGAGAGAAATTGGTTTGTTCTCTGCCAACGCTAGGAAATATGACGCGATTTTTGAATTCAGGATGGAGGCATTAGTTCGGAGAGTGCAATTTCAACATTAAGCATTCAAATTTACAACAAAATTTCCCAAACGCATGTCCTCAGATTCCGAACTCACAGTTTTTAATTAACTCGTTAACATCCATTCTCTTTCTTGTGGTGTTTTTTCCTTGTGGTCAGGTGTGGAACATGAAGACGACAGAATGCATGAACACCTTCAAATCCCTCGGAGGAAGTTCAGGCACGGACATAACGGTCAACAGCGTCATCCCGTACCCCAAGAACACGGAGCAGTTCATTGTGTGCAATCGCAGCAACACGGTGGTCATCATGAACATGCAAGGACAGGTACGTAGAACATTTCACTTTGGATTTTGACCCATGGCAGTGCGTGTGTGTACAGTTGCAAATCATAGGATCTATGCTAAAGATGTCCTTAATCTATCACACGATATCTTGGAAACACTCTAAATCCAGGGGCTAATGTCATGGTGATACTTAACGTTGAGCAATAAAGTTGTGCTGATTATAGCAGCAAAGTTATCCCAATTTTAATCATATGTTTAGATGTTTTGATGCTTGTTTGCACATGAAATCTCAGCCATTCTTACCTTGCTTATGGTTTCCAGAAAATGGACAAGGTCTGTGCGAGCAGAAACTGTCAGCCCAGATTTTAAAGCATGAAGAGAGTATTTAGTTCATTAAGCAAATATTTTCCCCCTCAATTGGCCTACTTGGATTTTATAAACTTCTTTTGCCAGAGTTAATAGGTCTACAAATTTGAAAGATGGTTAATTGTTAAGTGTTCCCAGGATTTTATTTCCAGCGTTGGAAAACTCTTTCCAACCTCATTTGTCACAACTTTAAGCGAGATTCCTGACAAAAATCATTCCCTGAATCTCTCTGAGTGAAACGTCTTAGCTTTGACAATTGCAACCACACGGTCCCTTCTTTGAAAAGCCTAACATATTGCCACAAGCCCCACTTTTCATTGTGAAAAAAAAATTGGAAGTAAACAATTTGGAAGTTTTAAAATCAAACACAAGGACTGTGCACTAAACTTCAAGGTTATCTTCTGCAGTGCAAGTTTCAAAGATAAGCTTCAGATTTGGGGTATCTAGAGGACCCCAGTGCATTGGTCTGTGTAGAAAATTCTATGGCAACGACCCAGGTTGATTGCCAACACCGATTACAGAACAGGAAACGCTGGCAAAGCTTGGAACCTCTACTGGCAGGTGGCCCAAATAAAACGGCAAAAAAAAAACGGTCTCACTCTTGAAAAACCGGATAGTGGCAATGCCTCTGAAGCAATACCTTGACCCACAAATGGTCACTCAGCCCAAATTTTTTTTTGAAAACACGCTCTTCCAAGGTCAATTTTTCAAAATCAGATTTAGGTTCATCTGTTTGAGTTTTCATTTTTACCACCACTTTTATCTTTTAAAAATCGTTTTTGAAGTCAAAGTTTGATGTAAGTCAAGAGTATGGTACCCTTGCAAAAAAATGTAAAAAAAACTAGAAAGCACGCAGACAGGCAAACCTCCGCCAAGGCTAAACAATTCCCCGCCATACTTTCAGTACACCCAAAAGAAATTCTCGCTTAAGAGTCTTTAAAAGAATCTTGGATCCAGATCCGAATCACTTTCAAAATCTAATCGATTTGTACTTGTACCAAGGACCACCTCTAAAAAAATTTTGAATGATTTCTTCAAGACTTGAAGGTCTGCTTTACCAGTAACTAGTATTGAGGTTTTGGCATCGATGACGGCGATTTTTTCACTGACATGAAGTTTATAATTTCATCTCCTACTATAATTTAACATTTCAATCATTCTGAGCATATTTTCTGAGAAACACAACATTCAAAAGGCCATGTTTTTGGGGGTTCACGAATTTCACTGCTCTGCTACAGCGTTTAAGTACGTAATCGGATTAGCTTTACTTGACAACCAGCCAAGTTTCTCCCTCACAACCATATGGCTGTATATACCATACAGCCAGGGATCATGCCCAAATAGTCACGAAATAGCAAACGGAGATCACTCAGAGAGGATACGGCTTTTTATTACAAATTTTCAAATGAACCACAAAGGGAAACTGACTAGGAACATTATAATCAAGTTGAGCAAAGGAATTGACTGGAGCAGGGTTTGAACCCGCGACCTTAGGATTACCTTTCCAGTGCTCTACCAATGTATGTCCTCAAGTGAGACTTGACGGTCCATCTCGAGTCTCGACCAGGCAACCCTAGTGTTGCGACATACTGATCTCAACTCTCAACCAACTGTGGTTGTTTACTTTTATCTTTTCAGATCGTCAGAAGTTTCAGCTCTGGTAAGCGTGAGGGCGGTGACTTTGTCTGCTGTTCCCTGTCCCCCAGGGGGGAGTGGATCTACTGCGTGGGTGAGGATCTGGTGCTGTACTGCTTCTCCACCACCACGGGCAAACTGGAGAGAACTCTCAATGTGAGTCTGGTTGGGTCAGAGACTAGAGATTTGCTTAGAGAATTGTTAACGTGAAAATGCACCGTTCCAGATTTGGCCATAAGCCTGCTCACCATTGGTTTGTGTATATGTGGCCGTGTCCGAGTTACTTGGCTTACGGCTTGAAATTGCACACAAGTCTATGGAAGTGGCTGCAGCCACTTCCCATAGACATGTGTGTAATTTCAAGCCGTAGCCAATGTCCAAATTACATGGCTACGGCTGGACATTACACACGTGTCTATGGTAGCGGCTGCAGCCACTTCTCACAGATCCCTGTGTTATTTACAGCCGTAGCCAAGTAATGTGGATGCGCCCAGGCCAAGTTCGGGCAAGGACCATTAGTCGACTAGTGGTTGATTTGTGACGTACCTTACGCCTGCGCACTAATAGCAACGTGCGAACGTCTCTAGTCAAACGCTGGTCAAATTGTCATCGCAAAACTTCTGGATCCTGGCTCTCTGCTAGTGTTATGAATGCGCGCGGCTATTGGTTACCAGCGAAGCAACCAACCCCAGTAGGCTGGTTCCAAATAGTCGACTAGCGTAGTCAACCACCGTCGACTAGACAGAGTTCGGGCAAACGTTAGTTAACCATTGGTCAACTATAGTCCTTGCGCGAACTTGGCCCTAGGTTGAACTGACTACCATGATCACGTGACCAAAAGTCGGGATCTTATTGGTCAATGCACACCGATTGACAGGCAGGAACGGTCCATTTTGGTCAGTATTCTGACTAATCAGTATTCTAATAATGATTGCGAGAGCATCCTGACTGAAAGTTCAAGTGTACACATATCTGTTTCTTCTATGAACCATCCTGCTCTTTAGAGATTTGTGTCTGCAAACTTCCTCCAAGTTGTATTCTCAGCCATGCAAAGCCTCAAAAAATGTTGGAAGTGTTGAAATCCCTCACATCTCAATCCAAATTTTCCTAACACTAGAAAACAGTCATCCCAATAACGCTGTCCCCATCAGGGCAAAGTCAAGGTCCACCATGCACGCATACAACCACAATTTACAGAAGTCTACTTCATTTGTTCGTAGGTACACGAAAAGGACGTGATTGGCATTGTGCATCACCCGCACCAGAACCTGCTGGCAACTTACAGCGAGGACGGACTGCTGAAACTGTGGAAGCCTTGAGAAGGACATTGACCGGCAACTTTCAAGTACAGGAAGGGAATTGTAATCGGATGTAAAACATGTTGAATCCTTCAAAAAAAGAATGTACTGGACCTCAATTTTACAGAAAGTCTTGTCATTCAGCACTGACTGTCTCAATATTAGGGCCCTGTGCATCACTGCTCCGTTAGCTAACACACTTTGGTTATTTTGAAGTTTTCGGGGTTGACATCCCTTGATAGACATTGCCGTCAGACTACATAGTGCGGCAGATAGGGGAGATATTTGGGGGAATTGTGCCTTTGATGATACAAGCATGGAATTTGGCACACAGTCAGAGTATGTCATGAGAAAGATATTTGGCTATAGGGCCATAGCAGATTGGTCCTTTGAAAACAAATCGTTAAAACAACAAGCAATATTTAAAATTTTCAAAATGGCTGCCATTGCTTGTTATATTCTACCTTAATTTTTTCAAAGGACAAATCTGCGATGGCCCTATAGCCAAATACTCTGTGTGTCAAATTCCATGCTTAAATCATCAGAGGCTCAATCCCATCGCGCATGGGCCGTACTAACACTGCATTTGTGAACATTTTTTGTTTGTGCCCTAAAAAAATGAACGCGATTTAAGACGTCATAATATTTCAGCTGTAAACTCACACAAGTTGAACACATTGCTTCTGTGTAAATATTTATATAAAAAACAGCTCTGTAGAAATATCCACTAAAGAATGAAGCTGTTTTTATTTCAGTCTCCCTGATTTTTAGACATTTTCAAGTAGTTAGAGTAATTTTTAAAGGTTGGAAATAAACATTAAATCTGGCAGTGAAATGCCGTTCTCTTTGTTTTTTTTTTTTTTTTTTTGCATTCCTTAATACATTTACGTAACAGTCAAGTTTATCTTCACCAGATGTGATGGTATATATGACTGATTCCCCCCCCCCCAAAAAAAGTGTGTATTCTTTCAACAAAACGAAAACACTTCACACACGCATCCCTATGTGATTTGATTTTGTTTTGCTGAAAGAACACTTACCTTTTTTTTGTGATCCGTGGACAGAACTGTAAAACGGTGCTTGTGTTTAAAATTTTAAGTAATTTGAATGATTTTTGTACTAAAAGAAAGCTTATTAATTGGGCTTTCACATCCTAGATTTTGATAGTGCTACATGCAGAACTTCATTAAAAAATTGGTCCTGGTTTCCTTTTTTGACTCGCCCTGTATTGGACATTTTCTCAAAGTGATGGAAATGTGTAAATTTATAGTCTGAAATAGAGGGAGATTGCAAGAATTTGGCAATTTTCTGTATTCACCTACTGTAGACCTAGAACTTTTTTTTTTCGAGATTTAAAACTCAATAAATCTGTGATATAGGGCATATCGACAGTTTACTGATAAGTCATCCCACACTGGCCTCTCCGGGGAGTGGAGAACATCTCATCGACTGCCCCGCCAAGAACTTGTCCCGGAAATTGCCCTAATCAACCCCGTTCAACTCGGTCAGCGCCTGGCAGGAAGACACGCATTAGGCGCTCGTCCGGAAAACGCCCCAACACACTATCAAACGTGATACAGCGGGGGGTACGGTAGGCAGCGCGCGTTCGGGGTTGAATTGGGCCGTGAGATGTATATGGGTTCTCGCCCTGGCGAGGGTTACATATTCCTGGTGTGTTGACAAACAGTCTCACGTACACAAGTTTTATTTAGCACATCTGTGAGAAGGAAATTATTCATTGGTCGCTCACGTGTCAGAGGAACATCAGAAAATGATAAATTCGTTGTTTCCCTAGATTTCCTTCTAATTTCTTATTAACCCAAACCATATATCAGCTAGGCTCTATTTTGTTCTCAGTTTTATAATTGTACAGTAATCATTTTTCCTATTTTTGCCACAAGTTTAGGATATTTTTCATGAGATTCCTTTCTTCGAACCTTTTTACTAGTATGAAAAATCGGGATGACAGCATGGTATTCCGGCTACAACATAGTGCCTTTGTCACTCGCATGATGCGTTCTTAACGGGAGGAGCGCGCGCATTCAGGCAGCCCTATTGGTTGAAGGAACTCTCTTTGCGCGCGCGCGTACGATCAGGGCGCGTGCGAGCGTTGTACCACCCTAGTAATGGCGTCTAAATAATGTAGTCACTTGAATATTTTTTTACAGATAAAGAAATTAAACGATATGTTTTGCAAACATTTCCTTCAAACTACCCACAAGGCAGTGTTTATGTAACGGACGGCTGATCCTTTGGGTTTTAAACCCGCCAACCATTAAACGGATATTGGCAATAGTTACAGCTTTATAGGATGACCGGTCACAGCAAACTGAACGTAAAATGAATCTGACAGATGATATACCCCAAAGGAGGCTTTCCAAAAACGTTCGATCTTTATCAAAATACTGCAGCTGGGAGCTGGTTTTTAGGGGTGTCAAAAACTTGCGCCTGACCTGGTAGAGTTTGGAAAGAATGCTTCCTGGTATATGTAGTTCAGTAGGATGAAAAGTAGCAGGCGCCCAATTGGCAACACGTAGGTAAAATTGCGTTCAGTTGTGGCTGTAACGTGTGTCTGTTGGTTGGTCGCTCGGTTGGCTGGCTGTCTGTCTGGCTATCGGTCTGTCTGACATGCAAACTAGTATCAATTTCTTAAACCATATAGCCGGTGCCATATACTTCATAGTATATACCTTGTGTATGTTGGTTGGTCTCTTGGTTGGCTGTCTGTCTGTCTGTCTGACTGTCGGCCTGTCTGACATGCAAACCAGTATGAATTTCTTAAACCATATTAGCCGGTGCCCGTACTTCATAGTATAGTAATAATTTTGTTGAAAATGCAGGGTAATATGCCTACTATAGACCTTTATCATGCTGCCACCATTTATGTTCCCTGTATCCAATAACAACACTGAATGATCAGTGTTTTTCTGTGTGCAAAAAGGAACCAGGCTTTTTTTCCTTCCAGCCTCGCTTTGGTTACGTTGATTTGAATGGGAAAAAAATCAAGATAGTCGCAACATGATAATGGTCGATTATATACCGAATTGTTACCAATTCTACGAGGCACATACAAAAAGCCGTTTTTGTCAAGTTATAGCTGCCAACGAATTTCTTGAAACTTAGCAGAGTAGGAAAAGAATGCGTCCTAACAAAAAAAGAATACAAGAAAGAAAAAACTCATATTATTTTGGTGAAGAAAACTCCTTCTCTGACAAATTTGGGTTAAAGTTCATAGAGTCAAAGTGTCTGTAATTTTCCGATTTTCATACCAGCTGGTCTTTATTTCAGAAGCTGGCGTAAATTTTCTGGCCCGGACGTTCGTCTGGTTTCTGCCGCGATCGAAATCGATGGTGTTGGTTGATAATCCACTCCGTTTAATATCAAACAGCGTGGGTGTTTCCCATTGCTTGGGTGTTCCCTTACTCTTTGATCGGAACCAGATTATACTGAGCTTAGTTTGATAGGTCTATACGCTTTTATTATTTTTTCCCGGATGCAAGGGCCGAAAAACCTGGTGCAAGTTTGATATCGATAATAATTGTTATACCTCTGTCTTGAATACTGTATTTTCATTGGCCTAGAACGATCACGTGTTCAGTTTACAAAAAGTCATGGCACACTCCCTGTGATATCTCACAGTGTACAATGACTTTGTACGTACGGTGTGAAACACTTGTATTGTTGGTACCCACGCTATTTTCAACATGTTTTCACACATAAGTGGGAGCAGCGAACTAGCAGACGATCAGCTGTTTCGAGCACGCGACATGCATGTGAGTTGACGTTCGACTGGCGTGATTGTTGTGTTTACTGCTGTTTGTTTTCGTTATTTTTAAAATAAAAATCAAAAGAAGCTCCACCTGTTGTAAAGAGAGCTTACTAGTGAATATTAATTATTTTAAGGACCAAATACAATATTTATTTGGTAACTGTTGTGTGACGCGTCGACATCTCGTTTCAGTATCAAAATGTTCTCAAGGTAACGGCCAAAGGTATCCGGACCCATCTTGTTTGTCTCTGCTTAGTCTCTGCTTATATACATGTAGTTCATTATACAAACACTTATCATCATATCATAACATAAGGCCCAAATGGGGGGGGGGGGGGGGGGGGCGGGGGCTGGCAAGGGTGGTGGGGGGGTAGCAGGCACGTGCTACTTTTCCTATTTTTTTCAGCCAGAGGGGTAGGTTGTCGACCCACTAAACCCCTCCCCCCCCCCAGATTCGACACTGCTGTTCACACCCATCGCCAAAACGAGTGGCGTAGGATACCGTGGAAACGAAGAAAAATGAGTGGCACAGCAATATCCTCCTCGCTAAGATGGACGATTAACCCCCACCCTGCCAATTTGATTTATAGCCCACGTGGACGACATAAACATTTAAACGCACCCCCTCGAGGTTGGTGACCAAAATGAACAGTTCTGATGATATTCAGAACCTTAAGAATGGATTACTGTAAAGCTTGTAAGATATGTTTTACAAAATTTACGAATGATTCCACTGCTTTCACGACCAATAAAATATCAGTGTGCGGTAGACTGCAGTTTAGGTGAGGAAGGTGGTGGAAACAAAATGTCTCCTTAATTAATACATCTTAAACCACAACTACATATATTTTTCTCTTCAGAAAAGTTCCAGTCTCCGAAAAAAAAACCCTAAATGAAGTCATAGCCGTAACCGAGCACGTACGTTGTTTCCTTTGGCTTTGAAGTGGTGACAGTGCTGCGACCGCGTAGATTGAAAACCGCAGGACCCACAGCACAAGGGATGACTCTGCAAGACGTGGAATAATCTTGCAGGAAGTTCAAGTGATCGTCGAGAGATGTTCATTTCTGGCATTTTTTTATTGGCTGAGTTAGGCTCCCTTCCAAAACCGGCGCAGACCGTTTTCGTTCGCGCGGGGCTCACGTTGGGAGTGACGCCGCGGTTATACTCTGACAGGTCGCGTTGGCGTTTTGCAATGTCAGCGTATGTGTGGGGGGTAAAAAGGAAGACAACTTGGAAGTGATGGCATGTTTGCGTGTGTGGGTGGGTAGAGAGGATTTGTCTAATTTGGCTGATGGGAGAGATATACTGCATGCCTCGAGTGGCTGGCGGGTAGTGAAGCAATATCACGCTCCCTTGGGGAGTTGTTTTGAAGAACAAATTGCGTGAGGCAGGTTGTTTGTTGATGATCGGAAATAATTTAAGTCGTTATTGGGATCAAGGAGGCGCTAACGACTCCGCCCGTGACAAGCGCCCGCTAAAGATACTGAGCTGTGTTAAAGCTTGCCGTACGTTCTCGTTAAGATATTCTGAAGAGGACTGAATAAGTGGCTTTGGCAGAGTATTCTCTAATCTGTGGTAAACACCAAGCGGTTGTTTGTGGATCATGCCGCAAAATTGGACCAGAGAATATTGCGGTTTTTAAAATTCTCTGAAATATCTGATTTAATTTAGGGTATACCTTTTATTAAAATATACAGCTTACGGTCATATTAAGTGAGAATCGTTTGAACCATCGCTAAATGTATGCCTCTAAAAATACGAAGTTGAAATGGGGCACTTTAGTAAAGGCCCTTTTTGAGATATGACTACCCTTTAAAAAGTAAAACAAGGATGGGAGCCACTTTGGCACCCAAACTCCCACCATCCAAGCTAGCAACCACAACCCAAAACTCGGTACCATAGCAATTTTCATCAGTGTAATACAAGAATTGAATTTGGCAGTTAGACGTTTCACAGACCATGTAATTCGCAGAGAAAGTCCCGGCCTGAACATAAAATGCCATGATCAAAACCACAAGGATTTCTTCAACATGAATTGATGAAAGCCAGGCCGGTTCTTGATGCCCACATTTTCAGACGACATATCAGCACCTCATAAGACCTTCCAGAGCTGAATGTCACAAGGTGTTTGGGGACCCCGTAGATCGACAGTTCAAACATGATGAGTGATTGTGGACGTCTTGGGACAACGCTACGGAAAATGCGATGAGTTGACATTAATGTTGTAACACCAAGCCCCAGTTAAAAAAAAATTATTGGTCACCCTCTGCAGTTTAGAAATGAGTGTGCTCTGAATATTTTGCTTACCAAAATAATACACCACATGGTATATGTTGTTAATTCGAGACAGCAGTATTTGCACTTTTCGTTTCTCACGTCGGGTAGACTTCCATTCTTTATTCCTGCTTAGGATTTAATTTACCATTTCAATATTATCGATATTAAGTACGGAGTTTAGGAACAGGCTGAAGATTATTGAACGCTAGGTGTGACCCATTTTTGTAAATCAGCTCCAAGTTTTTGAAGCAGTATCATAACAGGCCTGGTCACTACATCCCTGCATGCTCCTGATGAATCTGCAAATCTGATGGATTTGATTTGAAGCTTCCATGTCGTGGGCGATCCTTGGCCCGAGTGTGACTTCGGTTTCAAGTCAATGGCCAAGACGTCGGGTTACTTGACCTCCCCCTCTCCTAGATCCCTCATGACTGCCTCCAAAGGCCAAGGCCAAACAACTCCCACACGACACTTACAAAAGCCTGTGGTTTGAGGACGTTTCCACAGATTTCCGTACCTATTAAGGATGGTCTGAACGCCTGTGTTTATGAATGAAAAGTTGACAACACTTCCAAGAATTCTCACCTCCATTCTGAAGCCTACATAAAAAATAGATTTCGAGTGCCTCATTGTCTAAACTGAAGCGAAAGACTTTCATTAATCAAATTAGCGTGACCTTATGTTGTTATGAATTATATAGAAAGGTTTGAAACTTTGCATTGTAGTTGTATATGAACAGTGAAGGTTTGCGTTAACACCATGTAACACCGTCCCTATAAGTGTAGTGAAAGACCATCTTATTAGTTGTACAATATTTATAATAGCTGCTTTACAATCGTGTAGTAATCCCATATGCTTTTATTTTATTTCATTCTCATTGTATTGTATTTGTAATGCATTGTATTTGTACATTATGTGTAGTCATGTGTAGTGTATGCGGGGCCACCATGGAAACCAATTTTTAAACTGTTTGGGCACACCCTGGGTAAATAAATGTAATAAATAAAACCGATCTCAAAGGGTTGTTTACAAACTGTTATCCGCAGCCATGTGAATCCTTGGCAACCGATAGCAACATCTTATTCCACAGACTCAGTGACTAAGATCCAGCAACAGTGTTCAAGACTTTACACATAGGCCGAGAGCTATATCGGGCATAACAAGTCACTTCCTTAGACTGGGCGCGGTCGGAGTGGGACCTTCCCTATATAAACACCGGAGCCAGTCTGTTGGCGTCACAGTTAGAGCCCTCTCAATCTACGCGAAGCACCCAAGCCCGTGTGTGTGTGCGAAATAAGCTGCGGAGAAATTCGGGGTTGAGTTTGCGTGGAACGACGGGTGTAGGCTACACGTTGGGATAACGCCTTTACGGCAACCGGAGTTGGTACAGTTGGACAGTGACGTTATTGGTAAGAACTATTTGTTTCTTTCTTTTAGAAGAATTCTGTGAAAATTGTATTACATGCTTAGACAAGTAGAATGAGGTACTTTATATCATTTCATATTGTCTGCGGTTTTGGTAAGTTTACAGTAAGTGTGCCCTCAGTGGTACCTATAGGCCTATACCCGACCTTAAGAAAACATGTTTGGTTTTGAACGACAAATACCATTCCAATTGCAATGAACTTGGGAATTAATTACTTCAGACAGATTTGTTGTTGATCAAATTGTTTGATACCAATTGTTTGGTACCAAACAATAGTCCATTCAAACAACACCGCACTAAAGACACTTGATCGATAACACAAAAAAGTCTGTGATATCAACGGCAAAACAAAATAACATCACCAATAGTAGTAACAGTACGACAGGCATTCTTTTAACGACAATAACAATACAACCCTCATAAAAACAACAACGCAACAAAGGTAATATGTGAACTCCAACAACAACACAACGCATTCATTATTTCAGCAATTATATCAAAAGCAATAACTTTAAACAATCACTCAATAAATAGACAGCCCAGGTAACCTTTTTCAATTATAAAATGTTAATTTCAAAAAGTGAACTTGCAAATGATGAGTGAAATTCTCTTGCCTTTGGTATATGTACGCCAGCATGGATTCACACAGGTCATGGCCAGGCCTGTATTGTGCGGTATGGGGAAGGGGGTCAATGAATGATAGGCCTATCACTGTTTACCAGAGACACAAACTCCACTAAACAATGATAACAAGCATGAGAGGAAGCGTGCAATTTACGGAGGATGTACCTGCCAATTAAGACGAGTCACTGAAAGGGGAAAGTGCCCGCTTAGAAAACGTCCTCTCGAATTTGTCTGTGAGAACAATTGTTACGTCTTACCTAATGGGATGTTGTTACTCACTGTCTTCAGTACTTTAGGTTGTCTCAATTTTATGTCATTTTAAAGGAGCAGACAATTTTCAAAAGTTGGAGCGTTCGCAAACATTGATTTGAGAAGGTCGCGACTGGCAATGGAACTCTTTGTATTGCTCACTTCTTAGGGTTGACTAAAATATTAAAGAATAAAGACAAAAATTAAGTGAACCAAAGGTGTCAAGGTTCCAGACTTATTGCCTATTTGAATCATCCATGATTCAAATGAATTGGTCGCCAGCTTTACAAGGCTGGTGTCGAGTCTCTAGATGCTTTGCAGAAGAAGTTAGTGGTTTGCTGAGTAAGTGTTGAAGAAAAATCCACATCTAAACATCTAAGCAATGAAACAAGATGTTACTCATCCTGTGTAGTTGAAATGATTGTCCTGCTGGTGAAAATTTGTCTTCTGTTTTGCCATCTATTTGTAGATGACACTTCCAACTGTCACTGTCTCTTGTGTCCCCCGTCACATGATTCACATCCTTTATAAGAACCTACCCTTGTCTGCTTTCGACTTAATCTTGACCTTGTTCTGTTGGCTGTCATCCCTCTTTAAACCCGGGGATTGAGCTCCAGTACCTGAGTCACTGAGACAGGCTTCCTTCCTGCGACTTTAGGAGTCAGAATTTGTTGCACGAAGAAACTGCGCCAGGGCCATGACAGCTGGGGAGTCTTTTTGGCTTCAGAAAGTCGTTCCGGGGCCAAGGGTATGGGCGTGTGGCAGTCATGAATCCATGGTAGATTTCATGGCAATATCCCCCAGTTCAAGGCTTGGTGGGAAGAATTTCCAGAGCCTGAAAACACAAAAAGACAGAAAGAGAAAAAAACAAGTAAACAAACAAACATACAAGCACTTGCGCAACGAATGGGACAGTGTTCATTGAACTTGAGACAAAATCGTAAAGTTTCCATCGTACCACCTAAAAATTTGGATTTGAATTTATCCTCATAACGATGGCTAGATCACATTAGTCGAAATGCCAATTCGGCATCTCGTCTAAAAAGAGATGATTATGGTGTAACCCTCAAATAACAACCAGGTTCTTCTAAGTTTTCATCCTAACATTCTTCAGATAAACTGCTATAGTCATTATCTCATGGTCCAACATTCACAGTTATCTTAACATGCACTCTTAGATCGAAAAACAAATCCAATGTGTTGGCCAATGATGTCATCCTAATTATAAAGAATACCGATGTGTGCTGAGTACAAACTGTCATTTTTTTCCTGTAGGTTTTAAAGCTTGGAAATCAGGTTCATTTTAACTGATTCAACATGACGAAGGAGGAGGCTGCTTCGGAGGAGGTTAAGACAGAGAGCAAGACCGAGACAACCACAGACTCACCGTAAGTAGATCAAGAAATAGAACCAACATAGGGGTGACATGATTGTGCTATCGAAGAAGCGCTGGATACCCTGATCTATCAGGATCATGTGCAGGAATAAAAGTAGGGTGGAGTGCCCGTTGGCGGCAGAGTGTGCCCGGATGGTGAATACTTTGCTAATTATGCGCGTTGGAGATGGTAAATAAAACACAAAACCAGACGTGTGTGGGCTAGCCTGTGTTCCTTCTATAGGCTTCTTCCTTTTATGACACTTACCCCCCAAAAAAACTTTGAAAAAATTGGCAATTAGCATAGAGAGAAAAACAGGACCAACTTTTGTGAAAAGGCACACACAGAGTTTAGTTGATGCAATTGAACCGTTCCTATTACGCTTGGTTAATAAATAAATAAATTAGAAAATGAGAAAGGAAGAACTTCAATTCCTAAATAGATGATTATTGATGTTTTAGAAGTCTCTGTTTGAACCTATATTTTCCCACAAGGGATGTTGGACAGTTAGTTTTGACCGCAAAAGTTCATCCGAAGCTATCTGGACAGAAAGTAGACAATCCCCTTCAGGGTTCAAACGTCAAGCAGAGTTTCCACTATCAAACCCGTGTATAAAACAGACGGGGAAAAACTACACGTTGCTCACTATCCTAAAAGATGTCGTGAGCAGACAACACGTCCGGCTGCCCCTACTCTCAGGGCTTTGGGGAGGGGGAGGGGTTAGCCACACGGGTCACAGTGGGAGTTTGTGGTTTCCGGATTCAATCAGCGGAGGTGATTTTGCTGCCCCTGGTCCGGATGAGAACCGGTGCCGGTTGGTGAAAGACCCCGGTTACCCCTCGCAACAGTCTGACGTCATCTGCCTCATGCCAGACAGTATAGGCTACAAGGAGATGCATACAGTATATCGTTTACCGTAAAGGGGACATTACACCCTTACCTTTTAGTGTTTCAAAATAATCTAAAATGCTAATGTTCAAGACTAAATATATTTGTCACAATTGTTATAATAATGTCCTCATCCTAAGATCTTTACCATCATAAATCGCTGTGCTTAATTAGTCGCATATTACAAGATAAGAATTTGTAAGGCTTCTTCGGGACGCCTGATTCGTTTCAGCTTTGCAATAACTAGTGGTTACTTTTAAGGTTATCTTTCAGTCGTGGCAAGTCTTTGAAACTACCCGTTAACAAAAAAAAAACACCTTAAATCACTGGGTTTCGAAATGTGATGTATTATGCTATTGCTGTTTACCTCTTTAGTGCCAAAGAAGGCGCATCTACTGAGGCGTCCACCACCAAGCCAGCCGAAGGCGAGACCGCGGGGACGAGCGATGGAGGATCGGGAGGTGGCGAGGGCGGGGAGGCGCCCAAAGAAACTGGGGAGTCCAGAGATGGAGACTTCAAGTCATCTAAGAAGAGGAAATGGTTCTGGCGCAAGAGGGACGACCAGAGGGCGGCCGAGGCAGCTGGAGGTGCACAGGAAGGGCAAAATAGTGGTTCTGAAGGTAATCTATTTTTTGGTCATTCATCGGTGTCTGATTCATTTATTGTCTTCATTTTGCATACATCTTTCTTATCATGATGTTGTCTCAACTTCTTCATCCCACGACTAAGATTCAAGCAAATTGATATGTGATGAAGATGTGTCACGATACACAACAATGTTTAGGTTGATAATATACTGCCTCGGTGTCGGTAGAACAGTATACCAAATACCCCGAGTGCTAAGGTCACACCCACATGAGGAGTAAAAATTAGCATACTGCAATGAAAATATTCAGAATGCTGCACTGGTTTGGATCCGAACCGGGAACGATCGGGGTAAAGGCAACCACAGTCCTACCCTAACCGCCTGTCAATTAGTTTATCCTGAACCATGAAGAGATGTGAAAGTTGTCTATAGCTCTTTAACGAGCTGCAAAACTGATTTTTTTTTTTATTTGGATATACATATGTCTATAAACATGCCCACCTTCCTGTACCCATTGATTAAACAGATAAAGAAGCAGCCGCGGAGAAAGAGATGAGTGAGGCGGAGATGGAGGTCGACATCCAGAGGCAGGTCAAGGAGCTGGAGGCCGAGAAGGAGAGACTCAAGGCCCGGATCGACCTGTACAGGAAGTATGAGTCACTCAGAAGGGACGTTGGGGACATGAACCTCGAACTCCAAGACATCATTCACAAGCACCGGAACAACAACAAGACTGCAGAATCGGAAGGTAAGATGAGCGCTCGTGCAGCAGTTTGGGCAACAGCTAAGGGTTTGCAGGTTATGTCGCCCGCATCTTTGAAGGGAAGGTTCACACTGGATTCTCTTGGGGTTATTTTTGGATGGAAGATTTTCATACAGAGAAAACAGGGATTAAGCAATGCTCTTCCGACAAAACAACCGCAGAAACATAAATACAAACTTGCTCTTGATGTGTATGACGTAAAAAAAGAAAACTTACGTGGTCGTGATTTTTATTTTGATTAAAGTGGATTGATTAAGACAAACGAATTTCCAAACGGAAATTCACAATTTCTTGTCATTTCGCGTGAAGTGAAATTTATGTATGTCCATTAAATGTTTAGATCAGTTTTGAAAACATTATTTTACCAATTTTATCAATTCCACATTATTTCGATAGCTTTGTAAAATCTAGGGGAAAAAACGTCAAAAGAAAGTTTATCATTGTCATTTATTTCCCTTTTTACAGGTAGTGCAACAGCCAAAGCAAGCCCACAGTAATCAGTCTGCAGCCGCATCTCATCAATCAAATGCAAACGCAATGAGCTGATATCACTTGTACTAAGTACAATTCATCCTGTAAATTTGAAAACCTGTAGAAAGCCTGCCTGATGCATACACCAAGCCAGCAAAATGTGTATAACACACATCAAGGTTGCCTTCTCGTTATACTCGGATCTGTTAAAAAAAAACTGTTGTATAATGTTACAAAGAATATATACTTCCATGCAAAAGTTAGTAAAGATGTAGACAGTGTAGGTTCTAGATGGTAGTCTTACATGTCTTCGTACTTTGAAACGGGCGAGGCGGATGTGGTGTGACTTTTGAACCGGAAGTGAAGGAGGTCACTAAGAAGCGATCGATGATATGATCGACATTTACGCGGGAAGTCATCGCTTTGGAGAATCCGCTTCATCGTAGAATTGGGTTTGTCCTTCTCCGTCTCTGAAAAAATAAGACCGCATGCGCAACGCTTGGGGCGCTTTTAGGCTATAACGAATTCTTGGCCGTTTCTCAAATCCCGGCCTTGTCTCCGGATCGGGTTTCAGGCACGCAGTTTGGCAATAGAGCTGGAGCCGGAGACAAAGCCGAAGAGACAAAGTTTGAGAAATGCCGTTGAACACATTTTTTGCTCGATCCTGTTTTGTACATTGATGAAGGAAAAAAGGACTCCTCATGCGTTATTGCTACTTTTGGCATAAATTTTCGGCCGAACTTAAAATAGACTTAAAAAGCTATCACAAGTGCCTATTTTTTGCGACCAGTGTAAAATAATTATATATACACGCTGAAAAAAAGTTTAGAAGAAAGATCGACTGATTAAAAGGCATTAAGTCAAATTTCCACGACCAAAACAGTTTCCCCTGTCCACTGAGCATTTGCAATCAAAGATTGTTTGTGTCTATAGTTTTTCTGTCCATGGCACCTCGGAAAAATAATGAAAAATGTGGAAAAATCACGAGAAAACGAGAAAATTCCCTGACGGAATCAAGGAGAGAGGAGAAAAGGACCATATAAATAGTGCTGTAAATAGCTTTAGCTGAGTCACTGAACTGAACTAGAATTCCTAACAAGTATATATGAGAACTGTTTAATAACCATTTATAGACGAACTATTCAATTCCAATTTCCGTTTGATGTTATCATTTTTTTGTGGGAACTATTTTAAATTGAATCCTTATCCTAACAATTGTACCTTAAATTTCCCACATATTTTTGTTCTTTCTTTAAGTGTACAATATATGTAGGAATGATCATGTACCTTACTTTTTCGCTTCTGCTTTCCTTAAAATTCAGTAGATGTAGTTTAGTACATAGTTTAATAAATAATGAGCTTAACGTCATGTTGGCAGTTCGATACAAATTCCTAATCTGTTGAAGGATACTGAAAGGTTTGTTGGTTGGTCTTTTTATTATTATAAGGAATATTGCATCGTAACTTTTACTTGTACCACTGTATATCTATATTGTTTACGGCAAAAATGTCAATGTAAAAATAAATTGCACGACGCCTTTATTCGGATAATTTGTAGTTTATGAACTACATTTTGCCTTTTCTTCTAAACTTTAAACACAATTTTGTTTAAATGATTTCCATTTTGGTTTGCAATTGTTTTTAATACGACAGTTGTAAGAGTTTGATCAATAAACAATCAATACACTTCAATCCGGGACATTGAGTTTCTATTTGTTTGTTTTCTTGAAGATTCTTCCAATATTTGTTTTGTTTTCCTTCAGTTTTATAATCAGCTTTGGTTTATAATTAGCAGATCTACACGTGTGTACATTTATACACACCTTTAAAACGTGGACCTTGAACAATAGAGGAAAATATGGTCCACGATTGAAGGTTTAACAAAGATGTTTGGGTGTGTGTGGGTTTGTTTATGGTGTGAAATCGAGGACACACATATAAAACATCATTTCGTAATTAATTGAGGACAAAGTCAAATCGAGGACGTCCTCGATTAGAAAACGTGTACAAAACCAATGGGAGCTGTCGCAAAAAAGTTAGTACATGTATGAACAAAAGATCGATGATGAGGAACAATGGGGAATCCTCGATTTACACCATAAACAAACGTGTTCTTACCTTACATACTCTTTGTGGACATGTGAAGAAAAGAGGTCCACTGTGCTGTTTGACGAATTGACGGGAATATTCCATTCAGAGTTCGCTCCTACGTCTGACCGCCATCTCACTCTGGATCTCATTCAAACGACTATTTTCATTATACAACTTTGCTTACTTTCCATGCACATTAAAAAAAAATAGGCCTACTAGGAAATCAGATAGGCCTATAATTCAACTCAAGTGAGAGATTTTTTTACCTTGGTGTTTACGGAGTATCAACATAGGAGGGTTCTAAAAATGAGTTAGTTAATTACAACTTTTTGAACGAGGATGAATATAAAACAAGATGGCTACCTCCTTACGTCACACTTTATGTGGCGTTCGTCTGCGCTGCAAAGTTGTAATTTATTTTCTAACCAAACGCCACGGAAGTGCATCATGCATATGATAGAAAGCTGATCGTTAATTGCATGAGGAACAACAGGAGGCAACACTAAGGAGTGTCAGCTTGGCCTTTTGGGTCTTGCGTTGAGGTCTTACGTTAGAGCGTGCGATGTTGAACTTGAAGCTGTGTATGCGATGTGCACTGCAACATCCATCGGACGTTGTTGTGCAAGTTAGAACGCGGTACACATTGCAAGTACGAGGGCTGCCAACACGACTGCCTACTACCAATGCAGCAGCTATCTCTTGTCTGCCAATACCAAAGTAAGCTTACATTTTGAAAACTATCTTACACAAACTGAAAATTGTGGCGATAATTAGCATCAATTAATGACATTAGGCCTATCCGTCAAAGCTAAGTGGTAAGCATGGTAAGAGGGTAACCGTTCAGTTTAGGACCCCGTTCCCATGTAAGAGAACGAAAGGGCACTTTTGTGCTTTGGGACTTACTATCCAAACATATTGCTATCATATAAGCACTTAAAGTCACTTTATGTGTTTGGAATCTTCTAAATAGTTCGCTAAGATACCATGTTGAATATCAGCTAGCTTAATTTTGTGGAAAAGAGGGCAGGGTTTTGATTTATGAACGGAACTTGTAAAATATAAGAGATGTCCTAAACTACACGATTACCATGGAGATCAATCGGCGCCTGTCATTCATGAGCCTCTTCAGCACTTTCCGGAGTGGGTTTGCAAACCCGGAAAAAAAATAGGTAATTAATTTGAACAAGTTTTGTGAACAGGTATAATTCGATTTAATACAATGTATGTTCAAGAAATGCACCTAAAGAGTTCATTGCTCTCTACTTTGGAGTGGTTCACATGAAACTTTATTCATGCCTTCTTATGGGATAGGCCTATAACTTAAGCCTGTATCTTTTACCGTGTTGCACGCACGTAATGGAATACTGTTTGACCTTTATGTCGGGCTATATTAACATACAAACACTTCTTTAAAAAAACAAATAGAGTAATATGTCGTGATTCAATTTATTATTTCAGTCAATTAGAATGTTTTGACATAATTTTATTTCATTCTTAACAATTAAACATCAAAATACAAAGTGAATAATGTATTATTCAATAATTTTCTGCCTTCATGATCTGCAATCTGGAGAGTTTAATTTGATTAAAGATAAATATTTGAATTAAGGAACTTTTAATTGGTATAAAATAATGCTCAAATGTACACATAGCTTCCCACTTCTTAATTGGAGTATTATAGCCGAAACAGCCCATACTCGTGGCGTTGATCCGCAACTTCAAATCCGCTTGCAAAAAAATAGATTTGAATCCATTGTAAAACATATACCCTCCAACAAAACAACTTAAAGCAAAATCAAACATGAAATTGAAAGTCTTTTAAATATACAAATAATTCATTGCATGGAATCAGGATGGGCTTTTAACTGACAAGGACCCTGATTAAAAAAAAGGAAGAACAGAAAAAGAAATGGAAACGGAAACTTATATATGTTAAACTTGAGACTTCAAAACAGTGAAGAATATAAAAGAAAATAACCTGCTTGCTTGCAGAATTTTGAACCCTGAAAGTATTTCCTTCTTATTATTGCAATTGTCTGCAATAGCATGATGAGCCTATATACTGAAATAATTAACTGTATGTTAAAATTGCACCTTTCACATTTTTAGCTGAAATCAATGCAATTTTCTATAAGAAGCAGACATTATATCCATCACGCAACTTTTCGGCTTGTTGGCCCACACTATATACTCTCTTATCGAAACAGGGCAAACAACTAATCAAAAACTAAATTCTACTATAAGATATGAGTTTAAGAACGAAAGGTTGTTCATACCATAAAAGCCTTCGAATTTGAAAGTGCATTATTTTGTACATTAACTTGTGCATTAATACCGTGGCATTGTAAAGGGGACGTTTACTGTCAAACAGGCGCTGCAACTAAAATCGCCCTCAAATGTTGGTCTCTTTGTCCTTTGCGTCGTTTGCCTGTTCGACCATCCGTTCGTATTCCTGTGGATCGGTACCAGATAGGGGTGCGTACCCAGCCACCACCCGGTCTTTGTCGAGAGCGGGCCCCCAGTCTGGCGTTGGCTTTACCGACAGTCGTATCCGCTATAGATATAAAAACAAAAGGAACCAAAAATAGTTATTGTTGATATAATTTTATTAAATGTTGCTCAATCGATGTGCAGCAGCAAAACAGACTAATTGCACATTGAGGTATTTATCTTTTTAATTTCATCATAGAGTGGTACCGGTATATTATGTTGTTGGAAATAATGAATTCCTCAATTTAAATGAGTTAGACAAAAATAGAAAGATAAATTGCATTGTATGCGTGTAACAATCATCTTACCTCGAGTATAGTTCCCTGAAGTCCGTATATGTAATACATCGGGTAAACCAGTGCGGGTACCAGTGTCGACATTGCAATAAGCCAGCCAATGGCCTGCGCCCAGTCGGGGTATGGTGTACCATCGCCATATTTCAGAGGCGTGTTTAAAACAATCGAGGCGATTGTCACACACTGTCGCAAAAAAAAAAACAGGAGAAAATTTAATTCAAGCTCTGACAGTTTTCCCGAAGAGGGAGGCGATCCCCAGCCCTTTTCTGACCACAAACCACACGGTGTTACATCGCTAATTTTGGTTTTTGTAAAATGTCAAGATATAAGCATCAAACTGCGTGAAAGCAGGAGACACTGTGATTTTTATCACAAGCACATGCGGCAAATATCACGTAGATGCAAGCCAATCTCAGAACTGATTTCTACTCACCAGCAAAGCAATTGGAGATACGATCCACCATGAAATCTTCCAGTAAATGTTGAGTTTGAAGCCCAGCATGGCTTTCATATCGACTAAAAATCGGTTGATTCCTGGATGAAGGTGGGAAAAAGTTCAATTATTTTTCGGAAAAGTCACTCAAAGAGTGCTAATTTAATTTAATGGCACTTGTACGTTTCATGAATGTCGTATGTGTTGGGTTCAATGAGAATCGACATTTGGACGAGGATATAATTATGCAAAGTTTATTTGTTAATTGTAAGATTGAGAAGACAAATGGAAAACTTTGGTATCAGTTTTAAACATTCATTTGTTCAGATAACGACTCGTCTATAGTCTAGTGACTATGTGAAGACACTCATATACAATCACAGATATATTAATATCAGGCAACTCTTTGTAATAATACTCATCAACATTATGCACACTATATTACCGTAGCAGTGCGCAACGACTATTATCTCCGTGGTTGACACAATCAGCAAATTAACATTCGCGACGAAAGTATTCAACAGCGTTACGATGTAAACGCCACCCTGGAGTATAAGAGATATAAACATAACATTTGTTGATAAGAAGCGTCTTTTTTTTTTTAAATGTTATACTTTTATGGGGATACAAATTTGGATAAGTAACGTTCCAGCTCTGGGAAATAAACACCTCTCGCCCAGCTCATCCAACAGTGATTTTGAGTGATTATAACCTAAAGTATCAAAGGTATATTATATGTTCTCAATCAATACCCATCAGCTTTCATATTGCATAATATGCCATATACAAGTGACAATCAAATATGTGCAACAGAACGTTTTATGAATTGAAACATGTTATCCTTCAAGAGTGTTCATCCGTTCATCCCCAAGAGTTATCCTCCAAGAGTGTTCACAATCTAACACATAGTGATACTGAGCACTCATCTATAAATAGTAAATAGTGTAAAGCCTCAACTCAAGAAATCCCCATTTAAATAATGTATGGAAACTCTTGTCGTTGCTGTTACCTGGGTAACCATTGGAAGTCCAAGAAGGAAACAGATGATGCAAAGGCCTAAGGTCAGCAGCGTCTTGTACTTCCGGAAATTCTTGATGTTTTTCTCCAAGTCGTCCACCAGACCAGTGAGGACCGCTTCGAATAGCGTGAACTACTCGTTGAAAAAGACCAAAACAAACACAGCAGTTCATGGTTGAATTTAGCATCTGATTTTCCCCCAAAACTTCCAGTACACTGTTATAAATACGTAGAATCGAATCAAAAACGCCTTGCCGTAAAAGTAAAATGGTCGAATAATTTGAATTGAGATTCACCCTCCACTAAACTTCTTGAACTTCGAAAGAGTAGTAACAACAAAAATTAAATCAATTACTTGAAGCAAATTGAACACATTGCCTTGAGTGTCCAGATAGCTCAGGGTGTTCGCAAATTACGAATACTGAAAGAAGAGAAACTAACGTCATTTACCTCACTTCCAATCCCTAGCATAAAGATCATGACGAAGAAGAGAACTGACCACAGAGGAGCCAGCGGCATTCGGGCGATAGCCTCGGGGTAGGCGATGAAGGCAAGACCCGGACCTGGGCGGAGGATACAGGTAGGACATTGATTGGATGGGTTGTCTGTTTTTATATTCTGTTCCGTCAACTCGTATTGGAACTACACGAATGGATGACAGATCATTCCTTGGTGTTAAATTGGACTCTAGCAATATTTTGTGCATATTATAAAGACTTGTCAACCATAAATCGGTGTCATTGAACTATCCACATGCATGGTTGAAGTATTGATCATCAGTTAATACATTTACCGCTGAAGTCTTCCCAAAGCAATTACGAAGCACATCAAGAACACTATTTCATCAGGACAATTGACACATCCAACACACCAGAAATTGTGTAGAGACTCAGTGATACAGGGTCGCGGGTTCGAGTCCCATCACCAAGCTGCTCAGCGATATTGTTTCCTTCTCACACTGACATCTCGGACCGCACTGAACGTACAACTTTATGTGGGCGAATGGCAAAACAAAATATTCTGAATTTACATCTCATCAACGCAAAATCATCAGAAATAAAAAAAACACGAGGTACTTACCCGAGTCGACGACTTTGTCTACCGTAGTGCCAGCGTCCTGTGCCATGAAACCCAAGACGGAGAACACGACGAACCCGCCGAAGATGCTCGTGAGACAGTCCAGCCACGATACTATCACGGCATCTCTGACATGATTAGGGGGAACAAAACCCGGATATTTATGCAAATTCATGATAAAAACCAAGTTACAAAACTCACTCCAGCTCTAGTTTGAGTGAGTTTGTGTATCGTACGCATTTGGGTTATACTCCAGGTGTGGCACCCCGAAATTTAAATGTAGTATTAAATGTTATGAGCTTTGCAGTGAGACTTCGCACAGGGTGTTCCCGCACAACGTTTTGATCGCATACTTACTTGAGGGTGTTATGGTGGAACTTGTTATAACTGGACAGAGTGTGCAGTGTGCCGAAAGAACATCCAAGTGAGAAAAACACCTGTACTGCCGCGTCTTGCCACACCTGTTGTTAATTGCATGGGGGAAACAATGAACTATTTTCATTTTGTTCGTAACAAAGTTAACGGACGGAAAGTTAACATTACTTTGTCATATTTATCCTTTAGCATTGCACAAAACAAGCTTTTTGAAAGAGATAAATGTTTTTAAAAATCCATACATTGGAAGTGTAGTTTCATTTATGATTGACCAAGCTCCACACTTACCTTTGGAAGCAACAGTTTAGTTGGATTCGGGTTCATGTAGAAAATAACACCATCAATAGCGCCATCCAGCGTTATGCCACGAATGAACAAGGAAATGAGAACCAAGTATGGGAAAGTAGAAGTCACGTACACTACCTGAGTTGAAGTAGTGAATAAAATAAATTATTCATTAACTCGATTAACTACCAATTAAAGAAAGGTTGAATTTAATATTCAAGCAATCAGATTAAACTGTATCAATGTGTGTGTTTCTTCCGAATGGTAGTTAAAACTAAAAGGAAGAGATAATAAAACTGACGCCTGCCAACGTTGAAATTAGCACGATGTATTTTGAACAGCTGCTTTGGCCTAAGTGTATTAATTAATTTCAATTCCGAAACTTCGTTTTTCAGAACAAAGTACGACGGTTGCATATTTGAAGCGAGGTTTATACTTGGTTGATCAAATCAACCTTGGTTTGGTCCTTGCACCATCGAATGTTATGATGACAAATGAAGAAATAGAAGCGCACGTCTGTGATATGTGATCATCATACAGTGATTCCGAAAGGTTTTGAGATTTCCTCAAGAGACTTAGGACACAGAGCTGTTCAAGGTCGTCCACAATCATTTCTCAAATTAAAACAAACCCTCTTTATTCAGATTTGTCAATTGGTATACAGCGCGTATACAATATACAGTTACACATGACACTGTAGTACACATACATAATTTATTTCCTCTTAATGGCAAGAAGTGAAGAAGAATAAAGGTATTAGTTGAGATATATAGGCCAGTATAGAGGTGGCAAAACCTAGAAAGCATAGCTTGTATCAGGCATGCCATTACACAAACCACACTTGTAAGTACATGTATAAGTCTCAAAAGTTTGGATCAATAACTCAAAGGGCATATGAACCGATCGTATATGTAGGAAACTAGGAATCAAAATAAGAGGGTTATAGTACGTATCTGGTTTACATCAAGACAATTGTTGAAGACAGCTCCGGAAGCGACCCAGCAGTTTTCTGTTTGTCTACGGGAATAACCGGATCTTCAAAGTTAACTCAAATACTTCCGATGCTGTTATCTGCAAAATGTCCAACCTTACCTTTCCAGATGACTGTATCCCTTTGGCTAAACTCAGGAAAACTAGGATCCATGCTAGAAGTAGGCACAGGGTTAGTTCCCACTTGATTTCACCCAATTCATGGATGCCGTCTGACACATCAAGCATGCGCAAACTTTTAAAGAAAGAACAAAATGGTCGCCATTTCATATTTCATCATTACGTTTGGATGACATATTATGAACATTAACTTAGGCTTGAAAGAGCCTTAATTTGACCTGGTATGAACGTCATTTTGGTCAAGACTACTTCACTTAACTTAAAACAGATAAACTATCTTCCTAATACAAAGCTCAATTAGTTTTCATTAGTATTTTTTAATAGAGTTCCCTGTTTTTATAAACAATTATAACATGCTTTCATTTATAGTTTTTCCCTGATACTTTCCAATGGGATTGGGGAACTTTTTCCAAAATTATGAGTAAAACTAAACAGAGCATTAGGCCATAAGTCTATGATCCAGACCACATACCCTTGGACTCACTTAAAGTACTCCTCGCTCGGCCGGGTCGTAGAAACGTTCCTCTCGGACGAATTGTCAAAGTCGTCGTCGTACACGTCGTATAGGCCAAAGGTGTCGTCATCGAAGGTTCCGTTGAAGTAGGTGCTATTGAGATAGGTGTCGTTGCCTGTATAGGTGTCACAGTCTTTGCAGGCCTTGCTGACCCTACAGTTCGGCGTGTTCCAACTGTTGTCGCATGTCTTCCAGGGCAGCTCCTTCGTGAAGGAGGCAAAGAGATAGAATAGGGTGTAGGCGATGATGACGTTGTAGTAGGTGGCAATACAGGCGGCTATCATCAGCATACCGTATCCCAGACCTACCGAAAGAATACCAACATAATATGAATAAATTGAATCCACTTTTTAAAATAATATGTCAATAATCTTCAATTGTTACAAAAAATATACTGAATGTTCGACTTTAAAAATGTGCTTAAAAACATACGACATTTTCATATAAAAAAGTACTTAGTTAAGACTTTTTATCGGTTACATTTTTCGTTAAAATCGTCCGGATGTGATACGTTGGACAAATATCCATATTTTTTTCATTCATAATTTTTTTAAGTTGCATTTTCCGTAAAAGAAAAAAACCTTTTGCAATCGGGGTGCACTTCCACACATTGAGGCAACCGAGGCTGGAGAACTGCCCCATTGCCATTTCAAGGAAAAAGACTGGCATCCCGACCACGAGCATCATGATGACGTAAGGCAGCAGAAAGGCACCTGCGGAAACAAAAAAAAACCGGAAGAAAAAAACTGTCTTGCAAATATTTGGAAAGCGGATTATCCGCAATGTCAACCTATACCATAGATACCCCAGGTTGGACTCCGTTGTGTACACGCAATGCAATGAAGACGTCGTCCAACCTGGGCTATACTATAGACAACAACCAAGGTCAAACACACAAACAAACAGGGGCCTATATCTCTCAGTTGATCTGAACTTTGAACTCCGTAATTGCTGCCGCATATTAAATTCAAACAATGTAATTACGGTGAAGTTTGTCGGGTATTTCTGCTGACCAATGTATGTCAGTGTCATGGTAAAGTTGCACTGTTAATCATAAAATTAACACATGTATGCAATTTCATTTGTAATTTGTATAAAATACACGTTTAGTCCTGGGCTGTTCATTGGAAACAATCCTTCTGTGAAGACATTACATTAAGGAAATACAACCTTCATTTTTAACCAACCTCCTCCATTTTCGAAACACAAGATCGGGAATCTCCAGATATTGCCAAGCCCCACGGCGTAGCTGACGCAGGACAGAAGGAAGTCCAGCTTGCCAGACCAGTTGCCTCTCCCCCCTGCATCCTCTCCCCCGTTCCCATCATTATCTGTCCCCTCGTCTGTAGGTTCCGTTCCCTTACCGTCGGTCTCATCATCCACTGGAAGTGCTTCCATTACCTGTGCTAGTTGAGGCTTCTTCTGTTGAGTAAAGAAGTCATGAAGTTCATGATCCCTCCATTATTTTTTGTGTTTTGAAACTTAGCGCGTGCGCGCGTTCGAGCGTTCAGCGTGATTCTCTGGTTGTACTTCTAAAAATAGAATCATATAACTTGAGGAGTGAAACTTTGATCTTAGCTGACATGTTCTCTGAAACTAAATTACTATTTTGTGCAGTAGAGTACACCACAGTACAATTGGGTAATGCCCCAGTACGACCTACCAGACACGTGTACCCTCAACCATGTTATCGACAAGTAGATATAACTCGTGGAAACCTTATTCATTTTTAAGCCTACCTTTTCAGGGAACCTGTTGTGAAGGCAGAGCAAAGGTAACGGCCGGCTCCCACCAAAGTTCTGGAGCTCTAGTTGACACGGCGTGCAACAATCTGTGTTGCTCAGGACCGTGACGCCGTTGTTTGTGAGCTCGACTATCGGGAGTCCGGGAGTCCTGCACTCCTAGCCTGTTAATTTCCTACGCTGTGCCCTTTTGAACTCCTGCACCGGTCAACCTCAAACAACGAGACCTGGATACCAATGATGGTGATAACATTAACATACCAACCCGTACACACGATTTCTGAATACGGATGTCCCAAATACAATAAGAAAGATTTTCTTAGTTACGATCGAAGCAAGTCATTGATTATTTGCAGGTTTTGTCGCGATGCCTCACCCTATCCTCACTGCCGCTCTTAGATCCGGATCGAACCAGCTTATTATCTAGTATGCTGATGATATACAGTCTATGTGGCTTGTCAGTAATACTGTGCAAAGAGAATAAATTCCAGTGTTGGTCCCAAAGCAAAGACGTTTAACGGGCGATGCATGCACTGAAATTTTGGCCGAAAAGCTATACATTATTTTTTATGCATCACATTTTAATAACTTGCATAGGCCTACACACAAGCCTAAGTTATCTCGTAGTATGGATAAATACTCAATGCTGTTAAATATAACAGCCGATCCACATATCATTTGGGTATAGCGTCTACAGCCAAATTATCAAAAAAAGCAAAGCTGCTGTGATCAATTGTAAAATAATCGTTTACGAATAAATATACATTCCATCGCAATAAAAATTGTAATCCATGCGAATTAGACACTTGACACCAAATTCCGCTAAATGAAATATCGTTGTGAAGATAATGCAAAACAAAATGGAATCAGTGATATTATACATGCAAGTATTAAGTAGTCGATAGTTTATCCGATCCAAAACTAACCATATTGCACAGGCGTAAACAAAGACAGAACATTAGCGTGTGCATAATTTTCAGGTTTAATGGAAAAATTAAAAGTATGGGGAAAAACCCAATTTTATTACCTTGCGTACCGCCAGACGGTGTTTCAATATCACACAAATTGACAATTTCCCGATTCAATTTGCTGCCTTCCCGCACGATGCATTGTAGCGTATGGATGCTATGTACTTGCGATGCCTACACTGAAAATGGCGGTCACGGTGTGCTTATTATCTGCCTTTTGTCAATGAGTTACGTACATGACGCAACGGTTGACCGTTTGCTAATAAGTGACTCTCACGTCTGCACATAATATGAATAAACCTTGGCTCGACGGTGACCGAGAGTCAAATATAATACTGCCTTGTCTGACTATTGCGGTGCCGGTTAAACTGATAATGCATAGGCCTACGACACTCGTAACAATTCCGCATTGAGAGATATGTCTACTTCTCGTTTTGTTATCGTTCCAAATAATTAAATCAAAGGCCGAAGTACACTCGTCTTTTAAATGAAGAGTCAACAATGAACTCCCAGAATCCTTTAATAACTACCTTGGAATGTAATGTTAAAACTCTATTGTATTCGTATTATACGTGCATATTAATGAAAACGTATAAATATTGGTGCAAACAAAAATATTTGAATCTTTACGCTAACTTACTATATTTACTAGTAAAATGGTGCCCAATTCATGAACTCTCAATATCAAGCAAGTCAAACATAATACACAAAAAACACGTATAAATCATAATATTCAGCTGACCTAGTTTCAATATATCACTAGGAAACTTACCCTTAAAATATGACTTTCCACAATTAGGCCTTTTTTATACATTGGGTAAAATTACAAATGTGACCGGAAGATTGTGAAAATAAACCCCATGAAAATAAACCCCAAGAAATTAAACCTTCAATCGTTTTTTTCAACTAAACTTGTCGTTTCAAGTTAAAGCTGAACAGAAATCAAAAGAATCGTCTTCTAACCAGCACATTGTAACTCATATACTCAGAAGTATTACGCAAATACCCCAAAGAATATAATTCCAACTGCTGTCAAGATCAGAGCGTTTATCCAGGCCACGCGGTGCCATTTGGGATCCTCAGCAATGGAGGTCATTTTCTTGTCTGCATCTTCTCTCTCCTCAGGGGTCATCTCCATGACAGCGGTCTGGTGTCCGCCACTCATGCCACAAAGCCAGTACCAGGCTCGACGAGGAATGGAGACCTCAACCTCGATCTCCTCATCTGAAAAAGTAGGTGAAATCTTGATTAGTTTGAATTTCTTTATCGTTATTCCAAGGCCTTGCAATTTTCCAGGTGAACTATGCAGACACAAGTACGAAGTGTTTTCTGACTTCAAGGGTTTGCCTAAATTTGGGCGTCCAGAGTTTACTGATGTGTCTTTGATCTAGAACGTGCCCATCTAGTTGTAAAAGTCGAAGATATCTGGACAATGGACCTTATTCACGAGGTGGCCATTTTGTCGTGTTCCCTGAATGTGTTTCATAAATTGTTAACTGTTGAATGGGATGGCGCCAGACTATTTATGCAGTCTTATTTTACTTTCATTGTTTGTTTAAATCTGGCTTAAAACATTAGGGAATGTATAATTACAAAGTTTAAATTATTCGTTCAAGCAGACATGAATTATTTAGTAATAACGGTTCTTGCTTTCTTTTCTCTTCGCAAATTCCAAAACTGAAGATTCTACCTCAAAGTTTCACTTCAGCATGGCCGACTCGTGAATAAGGCCCTTAGCTCTTTACAAGAGATTCGGATACAATGTGCCAGATTCATGCAAACTGCATTGTTAAAATTATTGTGGTCCGCGGGCTTTTGAGTTAAAAACCTCTATGACTATACCTAGAAGATGATGCGTTATATCAACAAGCTGCTGTAAGAATGAGAAACATGTCGGCCTTATACTCGGAATTAAAGGGAAATACTTTAGCAGTTCTCAGGGTACAAAATTCTGTCAAACCTTTATTTTTGGGGGACCCCTTTTCCACCATTTCGTAATTTCCATTCGCCCTTTGGTTTTCTTCAATTGGTTGACGGGCCTGGCTGCTGTGACGAGTCCACCATGTCAGTCGGATCAACTGCGACAAAACGCAAACAAACTATAATCCACAGAAGTAAGGTATATATATCATACTTAACTATCCCATCTTAAATGATGACCTTATGTATAACGTGCACTGACCATCGCCACTCACCTTTTCGCGCGGTATGGGCTTGGTGAGAAGACTGACCACCACAGTGACCAGCAGACTGATGGCGAACAGCACGCAGGCGAAGTGGAGGTAGTGCAGGTTGCGCAGCACGCCAGGTCGCTCGTCGGGCTGCGCGCAGGACGGCAGGCCGTAGACGAAGTCCAGCACCAGGCGGGTGGCGCCGATCAGAAAGCCGATGATCAGACCGAAGAACGCTCCCTGAAACACACATCGCGAGAAGTTACATTTTTTTGCGTAGATCCAGCACAGGGATACAAGTATTAGGAAGACAATTTGGATGCGAATGGCGTTTCTGCTATACCACTGATAACGTGGATGAACATCTACTCTAAATTGCTTGTGATACAAGTGCCACTCAAGTTGATAAAGGTCACAAAAGGTGACTGGTTCAAGCAATCTCCAAGAGGAATTTTCACAACTATCTGAAAAATGTATTGTGTTCTCTCTTGAGGTTCTTGCAAATTTCCAGCGCATTTGGTTGACTCTAAAACCCAATGAAAATGGCCTTGTGTGGTTTGGTCCTGTGAGATTTTAAAACGTGGAATCGTACTACATAGCCGTCATTCTCAAAGAGGTGCCATTTTCCCCAGTTGGTTTGTTTTACGGAGAACATTGATTAAAACACCGGCACTCCTACTATTTCCGTCACCACCTCTCTACCGAACATGAGCAGCAACACCAACGAAGCACGAAGGTGAAAGTGTCCTCCCCGGCCTGTTAATTCTGTCCCCCTTCAGGTAATTCTGTACCCTCCAGGTTTTTTTCCCCCCTAGTTTTGCAGCGCAGAAGGCCAGTAATTCCCTATAATTATTGTTTTAATGAATTCATACAAGCTATACATTTTTTACTTTTTAGTCTGCCTTTCATGAAGATGAATAAAATTAACTTTTTGGTCTCTTTGTGAAATGTGAACAATTATGTTTCGATCGACTCGGACTCGGAGTGCGGTGAAATTACAGCAAGGCCGTGCACTACAGTAGCCCTATTCTACGGTGGACGCCTCATTGATATAACGACTACTTGGATTGGTCTGCGTTCCCATCGTAGCGCGTAACGAAATTTCTAATTGGCTGAATTTCCTTCGTGTAGGGGGATATACATTATACACATTATACACATTATACACATGCGATAAACGCTGCCACAAATCTTGCAGCATGTACTTGCGGCGATGCGCGCGCTCACGAACACGACTCGTATCACCGCATGCATGCACGGGGACACATTTACCAGGGGGACACTTTCAACGTTGGATAGGGGGACATATTTACCAGGGAGGGGGACAGATCTACCTAGGTAAATGTGTCCCCCCGGACAGATTTACCGGGTCACGAGCCGGTAAATTTGTCCGGGGGGACAAATTTACCAGGGGGGACAGAATTACCTGCCACACCGTCATCCATGTCACACTTCTTCACAAAATCGAATGCTGTTCAATCATGTATACTGTTCTATTCTGTACTGCATCATCTTTCGATTGTGGTTAAATATTATTGACGTTAGCGTGCAATTATGAGGAAAAGATGTGAAAAAGTTGCTTAGGTTGTTGTTTTTCTGTTTTTGTTATGCCTGTCGGCAACCGTGGGCATGACGCCCCTCTTGTCCTGTCACCCGCACGCGGTACGAGACCTCTATAAACCAATTAGATTTGGCACATGCATGGTTGGTATAACAGTCTCCAATCCTCGGCTTTCAAAATACTTTGAATGATTTTGCCTTTGTATTAATCGTTGCGAATAATGGTTTGCTAATTAATTTTGTATGGAGCCAGTCATTGGATGTGTGAGCGTGATTTTTCTTATGACGTCACACCGGCTCCGAATGACATCACACAAAGAAATTTGTGTGCGCGCACTTTGCATTCGCCACCGTTGCTAAGTAATTAATACTGACAAAATATTGTTTTAAAGTTCGAAAACCGTATACACTATCTACGACTTAACGTGATGGAAAGCTTGCTTGGAGCGATATGGCCTTTCAGAAGAGCGTTAGCCTCAGCAGATGGTTCATCTACCAACGTAGGCCATTCAATATTGGGTTTTTGCCCTTCACCGAAGTATTTTATAAACACTGTGTACGTACTCAGTGTTGCCCCCGATCTGCTGGCTAATTCGAACCAGCTAGCCGACCCCGGCAAGCTCGGTGGTCGAGCTAGTAAGCAGGAGGTTGTGGGTCCGAGTTCCACCTGAGTACATTCTCACAGTCACTCGGGGCAACACTGAGTATGGGCCTACAGTGTTTATAAAAACACGTCGATGAAGGGCAAAACCCAATATTGAATTTACATCACTCCTGGTGTGCAAGTTTCATCTGATGAGTAACGTAGAGCATTACAAAGTTATTAGTTGATTTTTTTTTTATTAATAACACTATAATCTTCAGCTATCATCTATGCCTTTCGATTCTTGCCTGCCTATAAAATTATGTTTATCTATGTTTCATGTTTGTCTATGTTTCATGTCTCCACACTAGTCCAGAAGGCGAAATCCTAGACATCTTCAAGGACGTGTGTCATCGATTGGAGACTTGGAGAAGTTAGCTGAGCTCCAGCATTACATTCTCACGGGAGATTTGAGTGGCTTCACGAAGGGCCTTGGATCCTTCCCCTCCAGTCTTGATATTTTGTATCCCTCCCGATGGGTAATCAGACCGGCTCTGGTGATCCTAAATCCCCAAGGCAGGCATTTGCAGAGAAGGCTGCCAGCCAGCCTGTGTTTGCTTCATGTGGCAGCCAGCCGAGGCCGCCAGGACATGGTGGAGCTGCTCCTTGCGGCAGGTGCTTCTCCAAACGTCCTGGACTCGAACGGTGAGTCGGCTCTCCACCACGCCGCTACCAACCCAGGCAGCTTCCGGGCTTTGCAATTCCACTCCTTCGCCGACCAGTCACGGCTTGTGGCTAGGTGGACAAGCGGAAGCCATCGGTGTGTCGAGCTGTTGTGCTCGGTACCGGGCATCGACGTGAACATCAACAGCCGTCTGGACAAGTCCACCCCTCTTCACAGGGCCTGTGAGGCGGGCCGTCACGCGAGTGTCTCTGTGCTCCTAGCTCACGGAGCCGACCCAAATGTCCTGAATTCATTCGGTGAAACCCCGGCAGCGATGGCCCTGATAGCCGGTCACGAGCATGTCTTCCGTCTGTTCCTGGATCTCGGTATCATTCACGGGAGGCTGGACGCTATACCGTACATCCTCCACACGTGCGTCAATGCCTACACCGAGTCACCGACTCAGGATAAATTCATCATAATCGAGGAGATTCTCCAGCACGATGTCGACTTGAATGAGCAAGACCAGCTCGGAAACGCACCGCTCCATTACGCCGCAGCAGGCTGCCTGGTGGACTACCACCTGATATCAACTCTCCTTGCACGGGGATCAGACGCGGACTTGAAGAACAAAATGGGCAGGACTCCTCTCATCGAGTTCTTCTTTTCGCACCAGATCCACATCAACTACGCCAACATCAAATCGGTGGTTCTCCTAGCATCCCACATGACCACGACACCGTCAATCCCAGCCGGGCAGTGTGTAGCCGACAACGTGCACAGCGGCCTGTGGTCTCGGTTGTACCAAGAGATCACGGAGATCATCCGAGTTGTATCCATCAAGTTACCGTCTCTCCGCTACCTCTGCCGGCAAGCTGTGCGACGCGCCGTCCGGCCTCACCGGCTCGGGGATCAAGACATCATACGTGAACTACCCCTTCCGAGAGTCTTGAGAGATGAGGTGGCCAATCGCGTAGACCCTGAGAGCTACTGCGGACACTTGGTCGATTACCTCCTAGAACGGAGGGAGTTACCTCACCTTGATTTCCTGAATGGCTCCTTGGATCCCAGGCTAAATGATTGAATTCGTGTGGGTTTTCTTTAATGTGAAAAGGCACGCCATATATCGGCACAAAGTTTGGTACTCATAGGTACGGTAGCTCATCACTAATAAAGCTTAAAGCTTTACCCCGACAGCTCTATGATCGTTGATCTCCGATGTCTTTGATCGAAAATGATCCAAACATTCAAGGAATTTTGCTTTCAGAACATGTAGGACCTACACTCCTAGACTAGAAATTTAACGAGATGTCACCTTACACATATTGGTGATGTTTATATTTCTCAGAAAAAAACCTTTTAATCACTATTTGTTGTGTTTTTATGATTGTCTTTCAAGATCGGGTTTCGTCGAATAAATTATAGAAATTATTTGTACGAGGGTAGTATCCTGCATTACTGCTCCGTTAAGGATATGCTCAGTTTAAAAAAAAATCAAACAAAGAATTCATGTTTAATTTGTGCCGACACATTTTGAAAAAGTTATGATTAATTGATTCAATAAACTAAATCATTGTCGGTGTCGGTGTTATCTGCTGATCTCCATTATCTTTCGTTACAGGGATGCTTCACCAAAACAGACTTCTTGACCATAATTATCAATTTGTTCAGGAGACGAGAGCACACATGAAATTTTTTTTTTCTCAAACAAGACTGGCCAATGGTCAACGCAAGATCAGAAAGTCCACTGGAAAATAACAAGTGCAAATGCACAATAAGCTGGCCGTGTTGCAAGGAGTCCTGCATGAAGTGGATCGAAATCATCCCTGCCCGAGCTTAAAAAAGCGACGCCGATGGAACGTTTGGAACACCATACTGTTGGTCAATTTTTGGGGACGGACTATGGGACGGACAGACAGACCGAATGAGCTTTAAAACGCCCCCATCGGGCGCACGCACATTTTCTTCTTCGCATTTAACGAAAGAGCGCCCTCGTTTGATGATCACGAGAGTCAACGTAAACTTGTACAGTAACTAGTATCCCGATTTTGCCGCTGATGTCACATCATCCATGGTTCATGGTATTTATGACATTTGTTTTGACATTTTGATGTGTAAAACATGCTAAAAGATTCAAAAGTTGAAGTTTAAAAATCGTATGAAAATGTTTCACGTACACTAATGTTTTTGAATTGCTAACAGTGCACGCGGCGGACTGTTTGGCAAGTCTAATCGGCCCACAATTCACCAGTGATATCCGATGTGTTGACATTTTCTCCACGTCCTGGTGTGCGATTTTGAGTCGGAAAACTATGCGAAATGGAAACTCAAGTTGACCCAGAAGCCGAGGTAAAGAAACTCCAGAATTTGGTGAAGAAACTGGAGAAGCAGAATGAAGTGCTGCGCAACAAGGCCGTCGGAATCGGTGCCGATAAAAACCAGACGACACCCCAAAACTCTCGAGTGCGGAACAAGATGGCGATATCGTCATCGTCAAATTCACACGGATTGACAAACCACAGTCATGACAGAACCTCGAATCATTTGGAAAATGGGACCACGAACAAGGATCGTTCAGATTACAGTCTTCTGGATGATAGTGTAGAATTGTTGGACAGTGAAATTAGTGACATGATGAAAGAGGAAGAAGATAGTTGGTGAGTGATGAACTTACAGTTACAATTACATTTGACAGTTGTCAGTTGTTCAGTTACATTACAAGGATATACCTATACCATGTCTACAAAAATTAGGCTTACAAAATGTTAAATCAATAATTATAATTTAAATCGTATTAGGCCCTACACAATTTGGAAAGATTCCCATATCTGGCCATCACTTGTCACCCTGTGCACAAACCCTATGAGACTGGTCTGAACATTTCTAAGTGTTTTCTTAGTCGTGTTAGTAAATACTTCAATATTTTCCCTGCTAAATTTGAATTTTTAGAACATCACTTTCTGATGGCTGATTGGTCACTGACTGATCATGCTGAGGGGAAAAGTTAGTGATGGCCAGATATGGGAATCTTTCCCAAAATTTTACATCAATTTCTTTTTAACCCTTACCCTACTAGACCCTCCAACGCATGCCAATATGTGCCTCAAGAAAATCTCCTATGTTTTTTGCATGGCCCTCCAATATCTGCCATGTCATTTCAAGGGTAACTGGACAGGCACTCCAATACATGCCACAGAGAACAATGAGAGTCCTCTGATAACAAAGTGAGTGCCCCCAGCTGGTCAGTATCAGGCACCCTCCAGGGCCTCCAACTCCTGCCAATTGGAGCCTTCACTGTTAAGACAAACTATCTGCCAATAAACTGCAGCTGGAGGGCATTGGCATAACCAACTGACATGCAGTAAACTACCCTCAGAGAGTAAGGGTTAATACAAGCAGTTGACAGAAAGACTGAAACTAGTTTTCCGGATTTTCCAACAGTGCAATGGAATTAAAACTATAACCCTTTAATAAATCTAAAATTAACATCATCATGATCATTTGAAATTTCATAAATGTAACTGATTTTAACAGAAACATTAAAACTTCAAGTGACACTTTGTTGACCAAAATGTGAGAAACAATTACATGAACAAAATACATTATGAAAATGGTAAGAATAATATCCTGATGCCACTTTGGTGGTTATGTAAAGAATCTGAGGAGCAAACAGAAAATGTTGTAGTTATTTTCTATCAAATTCGTTTAGCTCTTTCCTGTAGTCAAGTTTGTGTGCCATCATTTATCACTTGCAGGACGGGGCTATAAATGATGGTAAAAATGACCTCTGGATACTGGATTTTTATTCACTTGGTATACCATTTGCCAAAATGTAAGAAAAATGGGATTTTGTTTGCAGGATTTTTAGAAATTTTACTTGCAAAAATTTTAAACTAATGATTCCACTGTCTACCTTTTTATGGGACCATCATACTCCACCATTAATTAAATGCCAGGAATAGCAAAATCAACAAAAAAAGTTAACATTGTTCAACAAAGGTTCTGTTAAAAAAGGCTAGACTAGACGTTTGTTATAATGTACGTACACAATGTGTAGTGTACAATCCCACAGAGTACACATGAATATTCAAGCCGTTTTCTGTCACAGTTTTTCCAATTAAGGCGTTTCACCATAATATGCGTCATCTTGCCCGCGGGGCAATTTTACACGCGTTGCTATGTACGCATCGTCAATGGAAAACTTTGTTGATGCCTCTACGTGTAAGTCATCATGCGGTCATTCCAAAATGCGCTCACGTCTAGCAACGCGTGTTTTTTTTGCCCTGTGAGCAAGATGGCGCATATTACCGTAAAACACCTTATTCCCCATGGATACATGTATGTACAACTTACATAGTTATCAAGGAAAGTTGATTATTTTCCCATTTTGTTTTCTTGTTCTGATCATTTATGTAGAAAGGTTCATAAAGTACCTGTACCGGTACATGAACCTGTTGATAGCAAAATCTTTCTGGCATCTTATGCAGAAGCTTTATTGCCCAACTGTATTAGAACAAAAGTCCGAACTCCAAGTCATTGTTTGGTGTTAATTAGGCACCCCCTCTGCATCCCCTGGATCCGCTGCCGACTGTGGTACATACTGTATGTAGTGAACCTTGTGAGCTACTTGTCACCTTTGCACTTAACAGTGTAGTGATTTAGGGGTTAAGCTGTCCAATAAGGAAAGCATTGATAATCATTGTATTTTTACAGACCCAATCCAGAGATCTATACATTGTACCTCCTGTTGATGCATAAATTGATGTTACAAGATACTGTATTCGGTTCACAGCAAGATAGTCTGGCAGTGAATTACTGTGAGATGTTGACACACTTCTTTCAAAAGCTTCTGAAGGTCATGAACACACTTGGCACACACAGTCTGTAATGATTAGAAGGACATTGTAAACCCATAGAATATTATAAAGAATACATCAAAATGATGTTGAAAGTAAACAAACAAAATGAAGTATAACTAACCCAGCACAGTTGCATTGTAAAAACACACAATTGATAATTTACTAGCAGTCTTCGACTGACATGTTTGATCTGTGGAAAAGTATTGTATTTAAAGGAAAAGGTGTAAGGTGTTTATTCTTACTTGACTTTTTTTTCCAAAACAAAGTTTGTTGCTCGAAATATTTTGTCAGTTTCAAGTAACTGTTGTTCTTGCATAGATTTCAAGAGTGTGTAATTTTGAACTTTGCATCTTGATATCCCAATTCAGTCTGAAACTTATACGAAATGACATGATGCATAATTTTGGGGGTTAACCAATGACTTTTGGAGGATTGTTTTCTCGCCAAAGATGATCACCCCTAAAAGTAGTCCTGAAGCACATTTCCATTTTGAAAACTGGGTCTCCTTGCCTCTTATTAAAACTTCTCAGTTAAATAAGTTCAAAGACCGGTTCAGAGCTTGGACCTTTCATTGCTACCACCTTAGGGGCAGGGTCCCCAAAACTCTCTGTTATGAGAGAAATTGACGGTGTCATGCAAAATCGTGATTCAGCATAGGCATAGCTGTTTCAAGTTTCATAACGATCACCACCAGTCAATCCTGCCTTATGTGAGTGGGGAGCACTCGAATGTTTGAAACAGTCACTTGATTTATTTTGACTGCTAGGTTGGCTTTGAGCCAGAGAGGGAGGGTACTCTACCCAACAGGTACATGTACACGTACATTGTACATGTGGTAACGTCTGCATGTGTAGTACATGTCCATCATACATTTCGTGTATATTAGGCCTGTGTGTTCATGTCTGTCACAGTGTCAGTTGTTGATCAGGTGTGGCTTGTTGGAATCCGCCCGGAGCCACCCATAGGATCAAGGGGCTCCCGAGTAGCTTCCTGTAATAGGACTATGTCATTTCCTGTGGGTCCAACCCTTGGCCTATGGATTCTAACCTCACCAACATATACACACAAACAGATACCTGGTCTAATAAGAGGGCTCATCCTGGATTTTTCTCTGAGATATTCACCCGTTTATGATGGATTAAGAAAAGTTAATCCATCCCAATTGTTTTGTCATGTGTGCTGAATGTGCACAGGTGATGATTGGTGAAACTACCACAAGGTGCATCTAGATATTGTGATAAAAGTTGCCAGGCTATGACAGTGCACATTGAAGTCTGCATAGACATTGCCATTTCAAATTAATGGTGACAAAATGTTTTTTTTGTCAGATTTTTTTATTTTATTGATGGCACTGTTACAGATTTTGTGCTTTTAGTGTAGCAGTGATATTGGACATAATTCCAGAGCAACTCAAGCATTTTGTTATGTTGGCACTTGTTACAAAGCTTTCTTCTAACAAAAGCTGAACATTGTCATGTTGCGTTATAATTAAATATTCCACCGAAACTGAGACTTCCACCAAAATACACGCTGGTACTCTCTTGTTGAAAGTTCTGTTGCCTGTTATATACCGTTATTTATTTGTTTTAAAATTAATACTAAATTCTAAAAGGTCAACCTCTTTTAAAGTTAAATATTGTTATAATATCTGCATGCACAATGCATGCGCAATGCACGTGAACGTGTGCATGTTGTACATGTTTAAGTATTCGTGCACTGTTGGAATGATAATGTTTCCTACACGGTGTATATCATGTGCACATTCATGTGCCTCATGAACACATGTCATGAATGACATTCTTCAGAATACAGACCATTTATGTTACTGTCTGCCTATCTCTCCAAACATGCCTAGAATTCTTGTGCCTATTGAATTTTCCTGGGACCCAGCACAATTATGAAACAATGTTAACAGTGATAAAAATAGGGATTTGAAATTGGGCGTTGTCAGTGGTAAGGAAATATGTGCGATCACACCCCTCGTTTGTAGTAATTGCTAACATGTTGCGACATGTACAGTAAACTTTAGACAGGTTAGAAATAAGCACCGTGGATATCGGAATTTTCAATAATCAATGTATCGGAAATCCAATATTGAGAATATTCGATATATCGATTATCCCATGTAAAAGTTAAAGACCATAAAGATGACACTTTGTTTTAACAAAAACAAAGTTGTTAAGTCCCAATTTTCCACGGCTTTCTCTGGAGCATATTGCTCAAACTTTTTAAAACAAATCTCAGCACTGAGAGTTTGTCCAGAACGGGCGGTTTCTTTTAAGGTTTTACATTGGGGAGACTGCAATGTCAAGCAAACGCAGAGCACAAGGCGATGTCATTTTGCGATGTTTTTATTTTGAGCCACAAAATCACAAGTTGCCACCAAGTTTTATTGCATTACACAGCAAACGTTAAACACAAAGTAGAAGCACAAACAGTAGATCAGTTTTGACAATAATCTAACGCATTTTCGATTTTTTTCAATATCATTTCTCAATATCGAAAATTTCCATATTTTGGTATGAATAACACATTGCTATCAGCGATATCGATATCAAAATAATATCCAATAATCGATTAATATGGATATCGACGGTGCTTAGTAGGCAAATATGTGCAATACATATATACTATGAATCACACCCCTCATTTTGTGATAAATGACTGACATGTTTCGACATGTAGCTCTAGTCAAATTTCCGCAGGTTCGAAAACGATTATTTAAATTGATTGTTTTTATTTCCTGGTATTACATGCATTGTCATTTTAAATTATGGAATGCGCACTTGAGAAAAATACTTTGCTATTGGTATATTTACAAATTGACAGATTATTGTGGAATGACTACAGCTTATTTCCTTTCTGTGCAATTTGCCTCTTTTGCCCAGAGTGTGCTGGTAGTCTGGAGTGATAAACGTGATAAAACAGATGAGCTGGAATTTTATGTTCTGCGCAGTAACTCTTTGCATATGCTTGTCTGTTGTCCTTGTCCAAATCAATAAGTCAATGATGGGGCTGCAGAGTGACTTTTTAATTGCCTTTCACACATGAACATACATGAACATACCAGGTACATGTAAAATGACAGCCGTACTGCGCATGCGATATCTGTAATTAAATTGGCTGTCGTTGATTATACATCCATGTTAACATGGTGTTGTTTACATTAATTACTATCTGGCAAAAATGGAGGACTGTTCATCTGGTGCACATACATGTACATGTACAGCAGTACTACATGAACACTACCACACGATATTCATGTATACACATCCTGTACATATTGTGAATACACATTTATATTTATTTGTTTAATTTATTTAGCTCTTATTTTAACTGGGTGGCCCATTCATTGGAATCCACTGGTATCCAATGGGGCCCAGTAAATTACAGTTTCAGATGTGGGAGGAAAATCCCAGTATAATATTCTGAGGAAAACCCACGGAATCAAGAAGCGACTGAAAACCCAATCCGCATATTGGCCCAGGCAGGAGTCGAACCTGGGTCACAGCGGTGGAAGGCGAGGAAAGTACCGCTACACCAACCATATGACGCAAACAGACATGTATACAATGTTTATCTTGCCTTGCCCTTCACTTGGGCTCAAATGAAACATTAGTTGCAACCGTATCACATGCCTCTACCGTGTCTGCACATATGGTACAACAAGTAGCAATGCATACATGATAGACTTGCAGAATATGCAGGCAGTGTAATTCTTGTCATTAAAAAGAGTTGTCAGTGCATTGATGTAAATATAATAACATCATCGTCCTGAACGCAGGCTTGCTGGTTACACGTTCTAAATAATTGCTGTTAATTACTGAAACGCGCTTGTCATTTCTAATCAGAGTTTTGTGGGTTACATGTACTTGTAGGCGCCAGAGCATGATGATAACTGATGGTAGCTTTTAAGTGCATCACGTCAAAATGGAAGACACGTTGCACATATACATACATGTAAATTGGGTTAACCTGTTGGTACATGTTCTGCCTAAAATCGTTCCTGATACTGCTCAAAACATCTCCAGCAGTGCTGTGTGGTTTTTATGAAAAATTAAGGGAGTAAAGATAGTTTCATGTATTTGTTTATTTTAATTATCCAACTCTCACGGCCAAAAGGGCGAATTGTGGTTCAATGTACAATTCATTAATTTTACTATTGTTACTTTTTACAAATCCACAATACAAGTGCTAATGGGCAACTATGTTATTCATAATTGTCTTTTTTCCCCGTCTTTCCATCACCTAGGTTGTACGTATCCCCCTTAAGGGCACTCACGCCCGAGGAAAGATCCATCAACGTCTACGACTGGATTCGGCAAGACCTAGATCACCCCAGTGAAGAAATGGAATCGGCCAAGAGGTCGCTCCAAGCCAAACTAGATGAACTGTCAAGAGGTACATGAAGTGTGACCTGGGATTTTACCAATAAGTATAAAGGGGGGAGACCAGGGAGGGAGGGACAAGTCTCTAGGGCTGTGCACCCCTTCCCTGACATTGCTGCCGGAATGCATAAAGAAATAAACAACACATACATGTAGCCTAAATTGAATTAATCGGATGGTCATGGCTTGCATATACTTTCTGTCATTTTTGAAGTTGTTCATGGTCTTTCTTATCTGTAATTGGGGGTGGGGGAACAAGTATGTAATCAGATCATTCCTGAAGATATAAACATACATCATGTGCATCACTTGTTTCAGAATGCCTTTTCCTGTTATGAGTACCAAACATCTTATAAAACTGAAATGCGCTTTGAAAGTTTATTCTTTCTGAATGTGAACAAGGAAAATGAAACACATATATACACGTCGGCCCTAAATTAACTAAGTGCTCATGCTCCTTGGGATATGTTGGCATGTACATAATGTACAATAAACACTAATTTAGACGGTAGCATTGGCATAAAATCCTGTATTTTGAGGAGACCTAATTTCATGGTGTCATATTTTCAGTGCCTAGTGGCATGAACCAATGCCTGCAGACAAAATTTATACATGTTTTTCACTCACTGAGCTTTCACTCAGTTTGACACAACAGTTGTGACGCAGTGCTAATTAAGATAAGAAAACGTCTGTCCGTAGATATCTACCGGTACTTCGTGCTTATCCCAGCTATTCCATATCTTGGCACTCTTCCTGTGCTTTATGGGGCATGTGTGGCATCTTGCCCTGTCTGGTATGCCTCCCTGCACTTGACACGTGCCAGCTCAGCAGATTGAAAAATAAACACAATAAACCAGGGGCCCCAGATTATGCTAATAATTTTCCTGTCAAAAAAAAAAACGCAGTTAAAAATCGTAGGTTAGCCTGCCCCATACATATGGCCTCCCTGTGAACTTCTGGCATACATGTGCATGTACACACATGTAGCCAGTGTGATGTTTGTATAAAAATGATTCTTCCTGCATTAACCCGACCCTGCCAGACACCTCAAAATCCACTGAGATTGTTTTTGGGAAAAACAACTTTGATCAAACTTGTAATTGCCCCTGGGATGCACAATTGGCTTCCTGCAGAGTCGACACTGTGAACGATTTTTTTTTTTTTCGATTTAAGGAAGTTTTCAATAAAAAATACCGAGGAAGTTAAGGAATAAACTTGGCTGCAAAGTTAAATTAAAGTACAATGTAGTTGGACTTGCAAGTTGTTGATTTTGGATATTTATTTATAATTTAGTATTTACTGTAGTTTTTATAGTGGTCATGATGTGGGAAGATATGTTCAGAATTAGTACAGCGTTTCTACGAACCCTGTTGTCTTTTTTTTTGCAGATGCCTAATCAGATATTTTGTATTATTTTTTTTAATGGTTCCTGGAAACATAAGTTCACCTTTAACATCAGATCCTATTTTTCCCCCGTTTTTTTTTTAAACAGCTCAACGAAACAGCATGGGACCTAATGCTCTGGTCATTCAACAGCCAGTGATGGTTGATGCATCTGTCGGAGTAGGTTAGTACAGGGGTTTGCTGGCATTTCAATTTAGTAGTTAAAAGTAAAATCTGGCATGAGCCATTGTGGCTGATCAGGCTGGCGTTTATCTCCGGTTTCAGTAGCATGAAATGACTGAGAATATTTCTATTCCTTCTGGACGCGATGCTAGTCTATCGCAGCCTTATCTAATGCCGGTACCCATTTATACTCCTGGGTGGAGAGAGGCAAGTGGGGGTGAAGTGGCTTGCCCAAGGACACAACATAACGTATCTATATGGATTCGAACCCCTGACCCTCTGATCATGAGTCACAAACCCTAACCACTAGGCCACACTTCCCCAGGCAATTCAATTTAACCACTACAATTCATCAGCTACGCTATTTACTCTTCCTACAAACCTTAGAACTTGCTATTAATGAGGGGAAAATCTTTAATCGACAATCGACACATGACAGTATGGGAAAGTTACAGATTGTCGGCACAAGATTTGATATGGTTGAGTTGACAAGGGTCTGTTAAGTTTTATAAACAGTGCGAAAACAGTAAATTTCTAATAAGATTATTTTTGTTATCAAGATGTTTTTGTAATCAAGATGTTTTTGCAATTTCTTTCTCTCTCTCTTGTTGTTGCCCAGGCCGACTAGACAACTCCCCGTCCCCCTCACCGACCTCCATCCATCCCGCCACCGGTGCGCCCACCCACTTCCCCTACCAGTCCAACACCACACCAAGGAGGAAAGGGGAGACAGAGCGACGGGAGAGAGAAAGGCGGATCAGTGGGGATAGGAAGTCCGGCGAGGAGCTGGGCTACAGCAAGCTGGAGGATGTCACCGATGTGCAGATACTGGCCAAGATGCAGGAGGAAAGTGAGTTGTGAAACATATGATTTTAAACAGTTGAAGGTGGCTGTGATCGGGTGTCTATTTACTCCTCATGCACCAACAGGGTCGCTTTGTGGAGAGGCTCACAGTCTGTAGTAGCACAGCACCAGACTTTGGTCTGAGTTAAGAAATGGCTGAATTGCTGAATTCAAGTAATTATCAATGAAGAAATCTGCCATTGCGATAGCTGCCATTACCCTCAGTGCATTTGAACAATTGAAATAAAGTTATAAACTTTTCTTAGCTGTATTCATTTCATGAGGCAACAAGGATCAAGGATATGCAATGTGAGGCTTTTGCCATTAAGAGAGTAAAATATAGGAGCTTATAGAAAACAGTTCTATAAACAACTTCTGGTCCATACGCAATTACCTTCATCTGAGAAAAAGGTGATGGCTGGTTCTCCTCAAAACTATTTTGGTCCTTTACGAATAGTCAGTTCACAGGTGTATCTGTGCAACATCTCCGTTCAGCTCCCTTTTTTATAAATTACCTCCTTGCATTCAGGTTTGCGACAAGCCATGCATCAATCACCCTCCAACTCCCCGCGGAGGGCCACCACGGGCGTCTCGCCAGCCTCCTCAGAGAACACTCTCCACAAGCCAGCCTCACGGACCAACAGCCACGGCAGCAACGCCGATAGGGAGGAGTTCCAGGAAACCCACACCGAGGCCAACGCCAAGACGTCGAACGTGGTACGGAGGAGGCCCTCGCTGGAGAGAATCAAGAAAGTTGAAGGTAGGAAGAGAGAAGCTGAAAACTGTAGTCCTTATTTTTGCAGATGGTACTGTAGTACTAGTTGCAGGAATTTCAGAGTTGTCATCAGATTCAGATTACAGTTTATTTCAACCATGTCTTTACATTTGATGACAGAGTGGCAAGGCTCTTCTGACAAAGTTGTGATCGACTTAATCACAAGCCTATCATAAGTCTGTCACAAGTCATCACAAGTCAATTAAAAAAATCATCACAAGTCAATCACAAGTCTGCCAGTCATGTTAAGGTTAAACAGGTTGAGGTATTCCTTTGTCTTTGTTCGTCCCTTTTTAATTGAGGTCTGACTTGTGGTTGCTCTGTGGTTTACTCAGTTACAACTGTAGCTGTTCAATTCTAAAAGCAGATTTGTGCACGAATTGATGTCACTTTAAGCATTTTAAGAGCTTTTAAGTTCAAAAGTGAAAATGTACTCACTCGATATGTTTTGGAAGAATTAGTGACAACTTTTGAAATAAATCGGATCAAAAGTATCCCTTCCACAGAATAACGTCCATCAGTCCATGACAGAAACTTAACATTTATAACAAGCATTAACATACCAACATGACAGCCCACAGGTTTTGGTTCATATCATGTGTACCTGCTCTCCTATAAAACCCATCTTACGCTCACCACTAAACCAATAACTAGCAAAAAGTTACAGCCAACAAGTGATCGTCAACAAGCGATTGGTTTCAGGGTTTGTATTTATATCTTGCGTACAGAAGAACCCTGTTAAAAAAAACAAATGCAGATCAGCATACCCAACCATTAATTTCATCAAAAGTTTTTGTTTTTCTTTATCATGCCAGGTAAACACATTTTATTTAGAATATTCGCCATTCATATTTACATACAACTTCATATTGAGAAGTCATGTTATCATTTGCCAACCTGTTTCTGTTATTTCATTTGGCCCGCGAGTAAAGGCTTGGTCAGTTTTCGTGCACACGTGAAGCAAATCTGATGCATCAAAATGCGGTATTTCAGCAAAGTTGGAGTGCGTATTCAAATTGGGAGCACAAATACTTGCTGCGGTTTTACCAATTTCTGTCAGTTTTTCTGCATCTAAGAACCAGCCTTTACTCATTCCCTTAACAACTAATTATCTCATTTAATCATCTGCCATCCATTTTCAACCTGCCTGCCCTTCCGCCTTCCCCACCTCCCTTCTCCCTTCCCTTCCCCCTTCCCTCACCCTGTCTACCACACAGGGGATACTCGTAGATATAGTTACGGAGCAAAGATGACGCCCAATCACACTTCAGATAATGGGGACAGTATCACCATTGCCGAGTTGCAGAAACTCGCGCTTGGTAAGTGTGTGCGTTGGATGTGTGACTAGCCTGTAAGTCAGCTCTGCAGAATGAAATTGAGATTCCATTTTTTTTTCTTCAGAAGACTAGGGCTACCTAGCCATTTGTTCCTGGTGCATGGCGGTTCATTTCAGGGACACCGACATCAAAACAGATTTCACCCTTGACCTTAACCCCCAACCCTGCATGCTCCAAGTAATTTAGAAACACCTGCTGAGTCCTGTATGGTGTGACAGCTATTGGAGTCTGTTGAATCCAAAAGGATTTAATGGCTAGAACACTCTTTTGTTTATTTGTGTTGGTGCTCTGGACACTTTTTGACAATTTCTTTTTGTTTTTTGGTTGCTATTTTGAGTCAAATACTTCCATTGAATAAAGCTGCATTTTTGTGCTGAAATCTCTGTTAAACATAAATGCTTCCTTTTTGCGCATTTGCATTTTATGGAAAAGTTGTGCACTACCAAGTTTGACTGTTGCTCTTTTTTAATAAGTTGTCTTTGTCTGCTTTTTTTACTTGTAATATTTTGTTGTGCCAAGGTAATAAGAGTTTTACCAAAGCTCGTTCTGTATTGTTAACTCTTTCTTTTAGAAATTAATGATGGGCCTTGATACCTAATGTCCTTGACCTTTGGTTTCCAATACACAGAAAGGCAAGCAGTTCACAAGGGCAGCCTACCGAACCTCAACCGCACGTACACCAAGGAGACCAGTAGCCCCACAACCCCGGCTCCCCAACCAGCCCCCTCCCCCACCACCACCCCGACCCCTACGACAACCAACCACTCTGACCAGCCAGAGTCCAGACTGAAACACCCTACCAGTCCCTCCCCGACGCGATCCATGCCGGCCGCGGGCAAGGCCGGCGCCCTCAAGCAGCCCTCCCCGAGCAAGCTGCGGAACGCTTCACCCCAGCGGAGCGGGATACCAGTCAGGTCCAGTGCCTCGGCCGAGCGGAGCGGTATTCCCAGACCGCGCTCGGCCGTTCTCTCCCCACGCTCACAGATGCTCATACCTGGGAACAGGAGGTAAGATAACGGATGAAATAATCTCTTAAAAAGCTGTGATTTCATATTGCTCATTGTGTGATTTTTATTTCAGGTTATTGCATTTATGAAGCATGCCTGAAGAATTGGGGAATGTTGTAAGGAACACTTCTAGGAAAAGTTTTGAATAGTTCAACCCAGCCACCAAGGGCCAATTTCACGGCGCTGCTAGGCACATATATTGCTTGTGATTAGTATTCAGCTGTTGTTTGCTTAGCATGAAAATCACATGGAGTTTTGGCTGGTAACCTGCTTTTATAAGCCAGACTTTCTTGTGCTAAGCAAATTTGTGTGTTTAGCAGCGCTGTAAAATTGGGCCCTGGCAGGCTATTGTCAAATACTCCATACTTCTTGGGGGGGGGGAATGATACTTAAAACCTAATCATTAAGATAAATATCAGATGGAAATGCTTTGAATCAAATTAGGTTTTGCCCTTCACCGACGTTAAATGATTTGAAATGATTTGACAAATACAAATTCAGAGAAAACGCTGTAAAGATTCTATTTTATTATTTTTAATCCCTTTGCCCATTTTCGAACTGGGATTTGGACATATATTCCATGATTATGGGAAATATTTAATACATTAGATGAAACTATTTTAGGTTTAACTGATGTTGTTTTTTTATGACTGTATTTGCATTTTGATGATTGAATCTGCAAACAGAAATATGTTGTTTGCATGCCGCCTTGTGGTTGAAATGATGTTATGTAATAGTGTGCATGTTGAGTTTGGCACTGCACTGTGGTAATACAAAGTGTCAGCGCATGTGTACTGATTTCAATTTTTTTTTGCATTATGCAAATGTAACTCGTTTTGACTTGTACAACTGTCTGTCCATACATAAAAAAGGAAGCAGATGTCACTGATTGGGTATAGTGACATTCGAGGTAACATTGGGTTTGAGAACAAATTGCAAGTACTAGCCAAGGAAGAATATTTATATCGTCATCTGTGAAACATTTGTATTGAGAATAGATGGCAAGCGTTGGAGTAGAGCGCACATTATCTCATGTAAAATGTCATCAACAAGTTAGTGATTTTGTAATAATTGTATAATTTTGTGTTTGTACAATGTTTGTACAGATTTTGTTCAGAGTGACAGTGGCTTCAAAGTGTAGACATCAGGTTCTGAATTTAAACAGCAATTTCTACAACTCAGTTACTGTAAATTATTCGCAATGTGCAAGAATGTACTTGTGTAACTTATGTTTTGTAGATAGCTATCTTAAGTGTTTCTGTAGATGTAGGTTGTAATTTTGTCTGTAAAGCTGCATGCAAAAGTTAGATGTTCTGCTTTATTTACATGTACGGAATATGTGGTTTAACATGAAGGGTGCTTTATTTATTCTGCGGGCCATCTTTGAAATGAATTAAAAAATTTTATGGGAGAAAACCAGAGATTATAAACAAAAGTCTGACAGGTTTTGAAAAGAAACCTCAGAAATTAAGAAAAAAAGAAAATTATATGCAACGACAGACTAACAAACTTTTTGAACTGTTGAGGTATGGCCTGGTTCAGTCTGCTAGTTTTGTGCAAAAACAATGAAGTTTTCCTTTTTCCAGTCGCTTCGGAAATGGCATAAGTTTGTTAAAATTTGCGTGAGCTCAAAGAACAGTCCAATTGCAAAAATTATGAAATTGATAAAAAGATGAAACTGTAGTAGAAAGCATCCCAAATTTGAAAGAAGACACAACTCAAAAAATCAATAAATCAATACCATTTTTTGGATTATTTGTGCTTATTTCTTAAAAAGGAAAATGAAAATTGAGATTATTTTCTGTGTATGTGGGCAACTGTGTATGTCTGTTGATCGTTTGTCAAGATGAACTACAGGTATACTTGTATATTTACAATGTATCTGCAATGTATAAATCTTCAGTGCAATGTTAGATGCCCATTCTATTTTCAGGGGGGACAGTCCAACAGTGAGGGAACCTGCATATAGAGAGTCCCAGCAGTCAGAATTGTAACCCTTTTTTGGCTGATAGATCGCCAGCCGGGGTACCCAGGTGATTCCATATCACATCTTTTGTCTTTGTGTTGTGTCGGTGCTTATCTGTGAGATTTATGGTGTATCCCAGTTGGTGAGGAAAATGTATAAAGCTTCAAGGCACACTGCTGTTGAAATAAGGATAAACTGGTAGTTTTGGTATATTGTGATCCAGTGAACAGCATACATGTAAAGGAAGCATCGTAAGATTCTTTCTCACTAAGGGTAGAACGCCTGCCTTTGCCGACAGAGTCCTCTGGACCCAATTTCATGGTGCTGCTGAGCACACAAATTTCTGGTAACAGTGCCTCTGTCAGTGTCACAGAGACTGTAAAGCACAGGAGAGCTACGTTCTGAGCAAAAAGTCATTCGAGGCCGTTTGTTCAGCATGTAGCTCACAATATATCATCGTGTACAGTCATTTTTTGCCGAGTTTTCTGCCTTGCGAGGCCATGAGGCAAATATCTATTCTGTTTGATTTTAAAAACTCACCGTGTGCGGTCAACCTGAGGTACGTACTGAGCAGAACAATTAAGTAGCCAATGTTGACCACATACGGCATGTGCGGTGAGTTTTTTACCTCGCAAGGCGAAAAACTCAAACAGGATAGATATTTGCTTCACGGCCTCGTGAGGCAGAAAACTCAGCAGAAAATTTACTGCACACAGGGATATTTTGTGAGCTATGTACTGAGTAAACGGCCTCAAATGACTTTTTTGCTCAGCACGTACATGTAGCTCTCGAGTGCAGTGGGCTTAAGCAGGTAGCACAACAAAGAGCACTCTAGCCTCTGAGGAAGTATTTATTTATCATTGTGCCCCAAATAAAAGAAATCTTCATGCATGTGCAAGCGATCACACATCTACTCAATGAAAAACGCTTATGACTTGCACAGTTTGAGGCAATATTTTCTGCAAACCGTTAAGCAATGCCATGAAATTAGCACCCGATTCAAAACCCCATATGGATGAAGAGAAATATAACTGATCATCAGTTATTTGAAGTTCTTCACTAACTTGTTATCAACTGAAACTTCAGTACGAACATGAACAATGTACGGAGGTCCTCAGACGAAGATTGGTGTCCAACTGAAGCGAAACCCTTTATGAGCAAACGTCAAGCGACTAACACGCTGTAAACTAACCAAAGCAAGTGCTTGCTGCCTGCAATAAAATAACAAAGTAACACACTAAGAGAATGCAAACTTAATCAATAACACTGTCTAATCAAGAAAAAAAGGCAAAAGAAAAGATGCTTGAAATGAATGTGTTAAGTTGTTAATTTAATAATACTTATTTTTACTGTGTTGTACAACCGTGTATAATTTATACATACACAGTCTTGTGGAAAAACTTTCGTTTACTTTCACATTTCTTCAAGACGCTGTTTATCATTATTATTAGTATATTGGTTTCTTTTTTGTTTTGTAATTTGAAGGAAAAAAATGCACAAATAGCCAGTATTGCAATACATATAGTAAAGCAGCATAAATTTTGCATTAATTACTTACTTAACATTACGGTGCACAAATCAATTTGGCTTTTTGCGGTATTTGGCAATAATAGCAGCTGTACAAAAACAAATCAGGGTCATGTTAAAAATAGTTGTCTTTCTTGTCAAAAATTAGATAACGTGCGCGTTGTAAAATGCCAGTTATATGAAATTTGCAATAGTACATGTTGAATAAAATATTCCAAACTTAGGATATTAAAAAAAAATTGGCTCAAAAAGCCTCAAAAGAATCGTCAGTATAAATCAACTTAATACAGTTCAGTATCGGATAAGCTACCATGCGACCGATGTTTTAGTGCTGTTGATGAGAACTTCTTTGAAATAATGTTAAGAAGGGATATATGACGCACACTAAGTCATGAAGATTTAAACGGCCCTTTATTTCATAACAGACAAAAACTAAACAAGTTAAAATACGATGTGGTATTTAATATTCTAAAAGTTTGGTGTTTTTTTATTCCAAAAGGTAATTGCAATATACTATATCTCAATCAGTATGCGTTTATGAATACTAATGCTAATATTTCAGTTTTATATTTGTCAACACAGTAGCATTCTAATAATTGCCCTTTGAATTTATACTCCTCAATTTTTGTCATCATTTTCTATACATGTTAATCTTATAATCAAAACTAACACTAACCTTTTATTTTCTTTCCTCTTTGCTGCCATCCTTCTTGCCTCTCTGTCTCTCTAGCTCATTAACAATGCCACGGAGATCTTCAAAGTCAAAGGACGATGCTTGGAAAGACGGTTGCTATTGATGATGACTACTCAATTTCTTTTCCTTCCAGCAAGAAAGGCATCACAAATCTAACGTAAAGGGAGACGTAAAGATTGCCTGTTTGTCAGAGTTGTAAATTATAAGTCAATCACATGTCATCTACATGTAGTAGTCTCAAGCAAAAACCCACTGCATACCTTTCCGATTTTACCGGTTCACCGGATCATCGGGCTATCGGACGTCAGATTGGAGAGGTGTGCGCTGATAAATCAGACCGATCTGAATGTACACCCTGCGACCGGCTGACATCAAACCTGTTTGATTTCTTTCGCATCCAATTTCACCGGATGTCACCGGCAAGGTCTGACCAGAAAGGTGTGCGGGCAGCACTCCGATTTCATCGGACGTGATATTTATGTTTTACCAATCAGATTCACAAAGGAAGTAACATTGACGGTTACCATTTTGTCATCATGTGACTGATCATCATGTGGCCGGGCATGTGTGCGGTTAATGTTGGGGTCTCCTTAATGGAGGGGGGGGGGGGGGAGAGGGTACGGTGATCCAGTGAACTGTTAAAGTCAGAAAGGTGTGCGGCAGGCTTTAGGATTTGACTTGTGATTGACTCGTGATTGACTCACTATTGACTCATGATTGACTCGTGATTGACTCAAAATCCTTTCTGTATAAGTTCATATGTAGGAGACAAATTAGTCCCATGGTGAACTAGACCTGGGGCCATTTTCATGAAAGTTGATGAGCAAGCATAAATGAAAAAAAAAAATTAAAGATCACAAAGAAAACAGGTTTCCAACTTGAATTCTGTGCAGCTTTTATTACTTGTAATTTGCTTCACGACTAATGGATACTTGGCGAGTACATTAACTGGGCAGGTGTCCTGAAAAGCAACTCCATGAATTGGGCCCTGTTGGTCATCTTATTCTTTGCATATTGTTACTAACTTCAGGTCCAAAGTCAAATAGCTTACCATAATGACATGGACTCCATACACAATTATCATCGCAACGGTTACAAAGGGATGCTTAGGGACATTGCTGACTGCGCCTGACATTCGCTCGTACCCACCATCCAAACAGGGTGTGCGCTGGGAAGGGCTAACCCTTCCAGCAGCTAACCCTTCCCAGCGCCTAGTTTGGATGGTGGGAACGAGCGAACGTCTCACACTCAATGATGCTACATGTTTATGCGCATTCAAAATAGGTCGTACGTACTTCACACCATTCGCGCGTGAACAACTGGGGCTTTCCGTAAAGTCAAAAAGCACCGTTTACTGTTCGTGCACGGAGTCCTTGGTGACATGTGGGTGGCTTTATTACTAACTATTCTTGAGTTGATGCCAAACCATATCTATGCATATATTGGTAGGAGACAAACTGGTCATTCCTCACTATTTTCATTCAACTAATTTTGCTGTAACTGCATTAACACAATGTAAAGGTTTAATCATTCTTTTACCTCCTTGTACATGTATTTATAAAGCTGCAGTATTTATATTCATTGCAACTACATAGCCGGAGCTTAAAATACTGACTCAAACCACATTCAGGTGTGCGCAAAACAAAGAGTGTGTGTTTGCATACGCGATGTTGTACCTTTGCTTGTCCAAAATTGCAAATACAACAATTCAGGTGGAACAAAAAAGTGCAGTAGAAAAATTGTTGGGCTGTTAAATCGAAATCAACCTTTTAAATCTTGACTGAGAAAAAAGTCAGTAAAATTTGTAAAAAATTGCAATCACATTCTATTTACAAAACTCTACTAACAATCTATTAAATACTGATAATAATTAGGAAACGAAAGTAAACAAAGGCAAAGTTGGTAATGTGACATTTTACTATTACAATGTATATCTGCGGTGACTTTATAAAGGCCCAAAACATCATCAAACGTGTATAAGACAATGTCACAAAGGTTGAAAGGTTAACGTGTATTACTGTATAAATAAAATTGTATATTGCAGTATGGATAAGTGTGTGAGATTGCAAATATGTAAAAAAAAAAAAAATCATTGAGAATGCTGTTCTCTTGACGTGAGCTGTAGACTTAAAATGTTGAGGTGTATATGTTAGCTTAAAGTGACACTCACAATAGTGCAACATTAGCGGTAGGCACTTGTAGATATGAATACATGCACAGTGTTGTTTTTTTCCAAGTGTAGAACCAATTGGTTGTGTTTACTGAAGGCAATCCTGCTGCTGGAAAACTTGACTGACAAAAAGTCGCACATTGATATTGCATTATAACAAGAAAAGCTTGGTAATTTGGACTTTTAAGGAAGTGAATAGTTGTTCTCTCTAAGTTTTCAAAAAAAAAGGAAATATTTACAATTTCAAAATTATAAGATGGAATTTTGTGTTGGGCAACAACTGAGTATACAGTGTTAATAAAAAAATATGTCACACAAAAAGAAAGAAAAACAATGTAAATTTAAAACTGGGCAATTTCATTTTGTCTCTTGGAAAGCCTATTTTAAACAGCAGTGTCAGAAAATAGTTTCATTCGATGTCTCATTAAAAAGTGAAAGACTTTTGTATTGATAGAAAAGTACCCTTTAGGGCTGTCGTGAATATTTGAATTTTCCAATACCCCATCATCAACTGAATATTGGAATAGCTTTTTGCCGTTTTGGTTATTCGAAAACCAAAAAAAAATTATGCACGTACGGTACACACACGACTGTGGTGTTATTTAATCGTAAAGTTGCCGTGCTTTATTGTCAGGTGCCGCTTTTTTTGTCGACGGTAACTTTTTTTGTCAACAGCGGCTCATTGTTCCTATCCTTTTAGCAGGTTAAAGCCCCTGACAGTTATAAAATATTTACAGTAAAATACTCCAGCGGCCCCTATCGATCACCGCATGCAAATATTAACTGGTGTGCTCTACATGCAACTATTGACTGACGCGGCTGGCAGTTGCTGCAGCTGACCGAATATTCGGTCAAACAGTTTCGAGTTAACGAATACTAAATTATTCAAAATGGACAGCCCTAGTAGCCATTAAAATATATTGTAAGGGTCACTGGTTGAACTCATAGCATGTACATTACAATTAGAAAAATTTCGAAAATTAACTTCATGCAGAAAATTTGGAACACATTGTTTGTCCATCTACTTCTGTAGTTTGACTTTGACTTTGTTTGATTTTTTAAAACTCTATGCGTAATCTTTGAAAATTAAGCCCAAGTTGTTTTATAAAACACACTTCCTTTTTTGTGCAAATGAGTTTCTTGTTAAATCACTTCTTTTGGGTTTCTCGTAAACCCACCTCATATTACTCCATGACTTTGATTTGATGTAGTAATTTAAAATGGTAAATTTCGAAGTCTGGTATTTTGGGTTCTTATTTTGCTTTAAATTTACCGAAACAATGAACTGTGAATGTGATGCATTTCTTCCAGTTGGAAAGGTTATTTTAGCCTGTAAACTAGAGTAGCTTAGCTGTGTTTTAGTATCGGTATCTGTCTTTTATGTAAAAAAAAAAAAAATTAGTTCTGCTGAACAATATTTATTTTGCATTTTTCATATCATGACATTGTGTATAATTTATTATGTACAAAGCTGTATACAAAGTATAATTTATACTTACCTAATAATTAGGAGACTTTGAGTGTATAGAAAGCAAAAGTTTCAGGTATTTCTTTTCCCACATGAGCACTCTTATTGACAAAAAAAGGAAAGATTAAAACTGTTTCAAAAAAAACCCTTTTTGTGGTTTGACTTAGCTGTTCTTATATTGTTTTGATCAGATTTAATATTTCATGTCATTTTTTTGGTCTGCTGTAAGTAAAGGGCTTGACCTTTTTTGTAACATCTTTTTTTTTTTTTTTAAGAAATTCTATTTTCATTTTAAGTATTTTTTAAATGCTGAATTGGGGATATCTTTATGCAAACGACCTTATTGCCCTATTTCCATTTTTAGAATGTTGTGTTATTGGACGTTTTTCGTTTTGGATTAAGATATGGTTTTTAAATGTGACCAAGTACAAATCTCAAAAACATTTGTAAAATTGAAATAAGATTTACAGTGTTCTTCATGGGACTAGTATTCTATTTGATAATCAAAAAGTCGGGGGGGGGGGCTTGTTTGATAATTTTGGAAATAGTTGAGAAAATCCAGCTTTTATTAAAGATCAAGTGAATTTGTGGGAATACCATACATATTATACTGTTTAACTGATTTCACCAGCATTTTTCAGGTCAGTAACTTTGCTTAGCTTTTAAGGACATTTTGTAAACAACTAAAAATACATAAAATATTTGTTATATCTATAGAACATTATGAAAGCCTAAAGTTGTGCTCTTCCACTTATATGGTTAGAGCACTTGATGAAAATTTGCAAGTACTCTTGCCCAACAGCTTTGAAATTAATTAATGCATACATGTTCTAAAGTATGACTTGTGTGCATTTTACTATTGGTTGATCTTTAGTAAAAAATAATGTAACATATGAAGTTAACGATATTGTTGAATATAATGAGACAAAATTATGCACACACAGTCAATGGTCATATAAAATTATTGTTAATAAACTGTTTCGGGAAATAAAAGTATCTTGAATTCAGTTCATGAGGCCTTTAAAATTATCAAAGTTCTTTTCACCTCCAATAATACAATTTTGTTTGTATTATTGTACTACTATATACGCATTGATGGCTGGATTCTAATATTAATGAATTGTATTGAAATGAAAGCTTATAGTTCAGTAAAGTAAATCATGCAACATAGGTATGTAATTGAATAAGGGTACCTTTTTGTTTTTTGCATGTTTTGTTCAATTTGAGCAATTATTCAAATAAAACAATTAAATAATGTTTAAAAGAAAGCAATGTTTCTGCTGACTCTTTTGTCTTGTGTATTAAATTATGATGAATGGGTCGGATTTTTGAGGGTTTGGGAAGCGAAATTGCGAAAATTGTGGAGCTACTGAACCTCAGGCTGTCCGGCCTTTCTACTGTGACCGTTGGACCCCCCCCCCCCCCCCCCCGTGCAACACTCAATTATGATTTAAACAATACTCCAATAACAATTTTGCGAGAGCATCTACATTTAATTTACCGTCTAGTGCCAGACTCCTAGCTTACGAAATTGATGCCGAAATTGGACAAAGGAACCAGGCTACCTTTATCAACCCCCCCCCCCCCCAAACGTCTGCTTTTCATTAAAAAAACCAAAGTGTGAAAAAAGCGATTTTTTATTTTTGGACTGACCAATCAACAGCTAGTATCTGCACGCCACATGTGACGTGCGACAGTGGAAAATTCCCGCCTAATAATTCTTGAATAAGTCGGCCATTTTGCACGTAGGCGTCCTGTGTGAGAAATGTTCTAAAGGTTATGGCGGATTTCGTCTGTTTTCGAACCCCAAAATGTGTCTTCGAGTGGCAGATACCGTTCTGGCTGAAACTGCTTATTTCATTGACATCAGTTTTTCGGCCTTGGACAGGAGACGAGACGAATGCAGGCAAATAGGTAAGCCGACCAGACCACGAACAGTAGCCGCCGGACTGACTGGGGGAGAGTGAGGCTCACTGTGGCGTATCCAACCACGGGGGCAGTAATGGCGTAAAAAGCAAGGGTTCAAATGAGGAGGAGATTTGGTCGTCATTTTCTGGACTCTCTGGAGATAGAAATCAATGGGTTTACTCTTGTGTGAAACAAAATAATAATGCCTTTTTCTTCAGAGTTAATTCTGAGCGGGTCGAGCTAGGGTTGGGGTTTTTGGAGGGGAGGGGCGTGGCCTTGAAAGTGGAGGGGTTTGCCGTATTTTTGGAATTATGCCATGAACACAAAAGCATACGCTGGAAATTATTCCACATTTATTACTCTCAATTGGTCATGATGAATTGGGTAAAAGTGTGGTTTAGGACACCTCTTTTACTACATCATAGTTCCATTCAAAAATGGGCGATCGTGTAGTGTAGGGCCCCCGTTTTGTTTTGAGCAAATTAGAATCAAGATTTTTTTTTTATTACTAAAAAAAGACATTGTCAATTTGGTAATTTTTGAACAGTTTCTTGGGGTAGAAGTTACGATTTTCCTATGCAGTTTGCGGGCTGGTTGGTGCCGTGCAGCGCGACCTGCGTGCTCATCATTTTACTCCCAAATTTGCCTCAAAAATTCAAAACCCTGCCCTTTATCTATGACATACCTATATGTTCTTAATGTCGCCAACTAGTTTGGTAGGTCAAATAATTTAAAAGTGGATTTTGTTCCCTTATAGGAACCGGGCTCGTAGATACACGATCGCCCAAAAATGACTTTTGTAAATGAGGCTATTCTTAGCCCCATAAATGTGGCCTATTTACTGGACTGCCTCCGTAAACATAGGCCACACATCCACATGTACAAAAATCGTGTCGACTTTGCCAAATTTTGATTTTCACATTTAGGCTTAGTTTGTAGGATTTTTTTGCTTTAGAAGCATACTCACCCTCTTTATAGGCTAGTCAGAAGGTGCTGCCTTTTTCAGATGTCTAATTTTTGTGAAATTTCATGTTGAAATTTTGATACACAAACGTGTAAAAATGAATCTGGAAATTTCACGAAAAATATACATCTGAAAAAGGCAGCACTTTCTGATTAGCCTATAAAGAGGGTGAGTATGCTTCTAAAGCAAAAAAAACCTACAAACTAAGCCTAAATGTGAAAATCAAAATTTGGCAAAGTCGACACGATTTTTGTACATGTGGATGTGTGGCCTATGTTTACGGAGGCAGTCCAGTAAATAGGCCACATTTATGGGGCTAGGCTAATCTAAAATGATTTTGCAGCCTCAAGCTGTCTTTTGTAATTAGATTAACTCTAGGCTAGCCCAAGTAACTTGGGCCCTACTTATCACCTTTTTAACATTTGGACATGGTCTGGCGATAAGTAGGGCAGTTAATCGGGCTAGATTAACTCTAGGTTTTTATAATTATAATCAGTACTTTGGGAGAAAATGTGACTTTCCTACCTGTTTCAGCAGATATGGAACAGGGCTCTAAACTACACATTTATCAGGAATTGACAGGCAATTATTAAGCAATGTTCCCATACATTGTTTCAGGCTATTATCAGCATTTAGTGCCTTCTTTACTCTTCTGAAATTGAAGTGGCAAGTGTAAGACCATTTTATAATTGAACCTGTTTTTGGTTTTTGTTTTTTTTACAGATTTGACACATTCATGTGTCAAAAGGACTTGGACAATGGTTCCAACAGACCTTTTACTTTGGAGAAGCAGCTAGTCAACAGTGTGTGTGCATGGTGCATGTAACTGCCAACATCAAAAATGGTAAGCTTTTCCCTTATGTGGCCCGCTCCATCAAACGAAAACAATTATGCAGGCCCAAAATGACACAATCCAAAACATGAAGTTATAAAACCTTTATTGTAGGTATTTTGTGATATATTTCATGCACAAAGACCAGGGCACAATAGCCAGTGTGTGAACAAAATTGTGAAACTATTCAATTTTAAGCTGGAACATTACTCTCTCAATATATTTTCCTCTTGATGTTGAGAGTTTTTCATCTGCGTTCCAAGTTTGAACAAAAGAAACATTGAAATGTTGGCCTATTGTTTGGATAACACTTGCTCATTCCTCCATGTTTGTCTCAGCAAATTTGTATTTTGGAGACTTATAATTGTTCATTATAGTGCCTGCATTGTTTGATGGAGCAGGGCATATTCACAACTTTCATACAATTATTCAAAAATATGGTTGTTCTGAGTACAAAAACACCTGCCATTTACTTTAGTACTTTTCAGCCTGTTTTGATAAATTGTAAATATTGCTCAGCTACATTCAGCTTAGCAATGCCAATTTGATGGAAAGAGGCAGTGATGATTTTTGCCTCTCGTACTGTAATATCAGTGCATTTTGTATGGAAATAAGTTCGCATTGATGGCCTTTTGGGGCATTGTCTGGCTCACAAGTATTTGTCCCCTATATATATGGTGAACCATTGAATTAGTTGATAACAGACTTTATGTCGAATATACTAATGCATCTTGCAAGTGCCTGTTTGTCACGTCATAAGAGTACTAAGATGTTGCTCACTTCCAAAAATGCAGAAATTAGATGTCCAGTCTGATACTGATCATATATCAAATTCACTTGGAATGGAATTAAGAAGTTATCTACATGAATTCAGTTTTGCACCTATGCTTTTGAATACTTAACCCTAACTCCCTAGGGGGTGTGCAAAATCGTATTGAATTTGGAGGTTAATAACTATATAGACAGCCTTGCATTCGTGCCAAAGTTTTATTTGTCATGTACATGTTTATTTGATTTGAAGTTCAAGATTTGTTTTGGTTAGTCTGCTGGCAATTTTGGCCCTGGTCTACCTGAACTAATATTTTTTTCCTGCCTTAAAATCTGAGGGTCCGTTTCTGACTTAAGTTTCAGATATGAATTAAAGATCCTCTTTACTGAAATCCTGACAAAGATATTGCAAAATTGGTTGAATGAGAAGAATATCTGCTTGGGCAATGATTCTAACCTCAAAAGTTTGAATAAGGAGAAATTCCTTTTGAATTATTTGATGGAAGATATGCATTTATTGCTGATTCAAGTAAACCAATGATTTGCGGTCACATAACTATTTTTTTGGCATAAAAAAATCAACTTATTTAAATCTGTGACAATGTCTGTAATTAGACATGGTTCATATTTCAGTTCTGTTTTATTCCAGTCATCGTGACTGATCTACTGAAACCTCCTTTAGGCATTTTTAATACACGCTGCTGAATTGATCCTCAATGCCAATGAAAAATATGCAATTGAAATTAATTTCTGTGGCAGTATCTGTTCAATAATGGCTTTTCTGTGAATTACACGTTGCTAAATTGCTAAGTTAAGTGTTTTTTTCCCAGTCATTTTTAATAATATTCTAGTGATTTTACCTAATCTCCCTTAGCTTCTCAAGGCTGTCTCTAAACTGAACAGCACTTCCTAAAAAACTTCACTGTGATCCATTATTGTTTCATGCCAAACAAATTCAAACTTGCGTTTCCTCTATCGCAATATCTGTGTTTAAGTGATGGCTTTACAATAGGCTTTTACTCAAAAGTTGATTCATGGCCATTGCAAAAATAGCGACATTGATCGTGAGCCACAGTGCAACCATTGCTTTTTTATAACAGTAAACACATACTTAGCTAACAGTACCTGAAATGTTTTGGTTTGGTGGAATTCAGCAAAGGCATTGAAGTCAATAAGACAAATTTATGAAGAACTGAAGCGAAAGCAAAATTGACCAATTCTGAAAGGGATTAAACCTTGCGTCCATCAGCTTGTTCAACTTTGTGGTTAATTTTTATGTTTGTAAAACAATGCCATTTACAAATGTTATATTTGTTTTTCTTTCACTCAAGGCAGGGTACAGTATTTTGAATAAGAAAGTAAATGAAACAAAATGGTTGCTGAAAAATGAGATGTAATGAAATTTTATACTTTCGACTAAAGGTCATGTTTTATGTTCATGTACCATTACAAACAGTTCAGTCGCATCTTCCATAGACGACCACGCGCGTGCACTTGTAGTGGCATGAACACGACGCGCTCTACTCCATAGCGATTCTACACAAAGCAAAGAAAAAGACGGCCTCACGGCTGTTTCCAAGACTTTCAGATTAATGCACACCGAGTTTAAACTAGAAGATATATTACTTAAACATTCTGGAGGAAAAGTTTTACAACATGAACAACTAAACATCCGTACCTGGTACATTTCCCTACTTGTTACAACACGCACATTTTGACTAACAGCAGAATGAGCAACGGAGATTTGCACGTAATTGACAGTGTGACCGGCGGGCTACCGCAGTGTGCGTACTGCACTGAAAGTTCCCGTATTCATGACGCGCCGTTCAAGTAATAAATGCACACTTGGCACTGTAAAGAGGATTTTGTAAGCTTCATTTTGATCGGTCATTCAATGCAGTTGGTAAAACTAATACCCCGTACCAAGGACCAAACAAATTTGTCTACTCAACAGTCCTTTGGCCGCCATAAAATACGGCGAACACCATTTTGCTACGCTCCACCACTGTGTTGTTACAAAGAAACAACTCAACACGCGCGCGCGCACGATCAGGCGATGATAGACTTGTACTGACACACACGGCGTATACACACATGCAAGGGATAAACGCAATTGCTGCGACAAAAACCGTTCCACACGCACTTCACGTAATCAATAGCTGACTGAATAAAGTTTAATACTGCTGTTCATGTTTTGACTCGCCGTGTACAAACTGTTTGTAATGCTTGAACTTAAAGCAAATGCTTATTTAGGTCATGCATGGTCTCTCAAGTTCTGGACTTTGTTTTGTCTAATCGGTCAAATATTTGATCGAAAAATATTTTAGCCAACTTTTCTACATAGGATGGCCACACTAAATATTTGATTTATAGCAGTGAACTACTTTGTTACACTACTCTGGTTTTTAAATACCCATTCATATGCATAGTTAACTGACATTAATTTTATTGAACAAGGATTGAGCTGTTTGCCTTTGACAGCATTTTGACTGCCATCAAGTGTTTGAAAGATAAGATCATTATTTAGCATCGTACATGTCAAAGTGTCAAATGATACACTGTAGCCTGCCTTGTTAGAAAGATTGATTGTTCAGAACTCTGAAATTGACCCCACTTTATATCATTGCATTTATCCAGATCTTCGGCTGGAGATGGAGTGCTGAAACTGCAGACTTGGAGCCAACCAGCCAAAGATGCCTCAGTTATCATTCTGGACGTGATGCTGCCTTCGCTAATTCCAAGTCATCTCAAGAGGCCGTGTCTGTAGTCGACACTTAGGGAAGAGTAAATCCTTGGCAAGAATAAACAGAGAAATGTCAAAACTTACTTTGCTCTGAAGATATTTTTATAAGGAAATTGGCTTTCCTTGTTTTTTGATGATCTATTATGTCTGAAAAATTACTTAAATCACTTTGAGACAAACTTAGCCAAACTCAAAAACATAGCTGTTGGAAAATTAAAAAAAAAAATCTGTCCATTTTGTTATCAAAAGATATTTCTGTGGCCTTAAATATCTCATGGAACATTTCTAAATTGCCATGGATTTATTCGGAACCAAATTTTTACGGAAAATTGAGCCAGGCTTACGTTGGAAGGGTCATTTTGCAAAGAACTCGCCAAAAAAGCCAAGGACATTTTTAAAATCTCAAAAGAAAAAACAAGAAAGGGTATTTTCTTCTTTTACACTGAACCAAAGAATCAAACGAAGTCAAATTTTGCGCATCTGAGTTTAGAGTTCACGGCAAACATCATCTTGGATTCATTTCAATTTCAAATGTTGAAAATATTTATAACATGTCATGGATATTTGGAAGACTAAATTCCGAGCGCTACTTGCCCTTTTCCTCTGACTTGTGCCTGGCTCATCATTATTTCAAATGATTATTTATTAAAGATTAGTACTCGTGTATAAGAAAAGTAAACAAGTCAAATATAAGTGAAATTGCCAACAGCTTTCTTTAATGGCACATCATGACATCGTGTGAATAATACACCGTCGAAGTTACCTTTGCATACAATTGCCGAAACTGTCGTGTTGTATGTGTAATGCTTATATAGTGAAGATTATGTTTTGGGGGTTGACTTCTACTATTAATTGTAATTTGAAAAGTTTTTTTGACATCTAAGTTCAATAGTGTCATAGCATACAAGGTAACTGCTCAAGTAATATCAGCCAAAGTGATCGTACGAAACTGCTTTCTGGTTCAGTGTTGAAAGACTAACTATTTTTCATTCAATATTTTCTACCTTCTTTATATAGACTTGTGTTTCTTCAATTGTTCTATAAGTTGCTCCCTCGGTATACTCACCGTATTCACTTCATTTTCTACCAACCAATTTTCAATTTCGTATCTTTTATAACAAAAAAACCCACAAAAAATACTTTTTACTCTGCATGGGTTGCACTCATCTGCGTCTCTATAACACACAAAAAGATCCGTCTTAATAACTGTCGAGCAAAAATGCACTTGGAACGTTAAAATTGTACTAAAAACCGAACAGTTTACTTGGTGTGGCATTTAAATGTCAAAGTTGCATGCGTTTTTTTTAAATCACTTGTGTACCATGTATTAATTGTTTTACAAAAATGATGTTTGATATTTAATTCAAGACTCTCATTTCCACCCTGCCTTGCTGCATGATGTGCCATTTTGAAATGTAAAAAAAGGTGTATTTTTTTGTGTGTTTTGTGTTGTTCATTTAAATTTAAAACAAAATATCGGAAAAAGAGGGCGCTACTACCTAAATTAAGTTGAATTAAATTGCTGTAAATTAATGCAACCTTTTCCTGTGAACTTAAATGGCGCTCTTGTCCAAAAAAATGCAGAGGAAGAACTTGCGCGCAAAGGCCAATTTAGCAAAATGTTTTAAGGTAAATACAGTGCCCTTTTTTCCAGTATTTTGTTTGGGGCGCAAGGGGGCGCTATCACAAATTAACAGCGCGTTACTACTTGGGCAACAGAGGGCGCTACCATGGCAAATTTTAAAATTGGTCATCCACCAACAAAAGAGGGCGCCGTTATAAAAAAACTCTTGCAAAAAAAGTGGTAGCGCCCTCTGTCCCAAGTAAATTTGTGGTAGCGCCCTCTATTTTTTAATTGGGTTTGGGCTGGGCAATAGAGGGCGCTATAACGGGCATTGATTGCCCGTTATAGCGCCCTCTATTGCCCAGCTCATTTGGGGGTAAAAGGGGAATAAGACAAGACGGTAGAGAGAATATATTGGAACCCAATAAATTTATTTGACTTTGAAAAAAATGGCCAAAAAAAAAGTGTTCCCCCTGGCGCGTGCCCTGCGCCCCCGCCCACGGACGCCAACAGGCCAGCGAGTCGCCCACATCCACATCAACTTGTAACCCGTCATTGCCGAGTAATGTACAAACTCCACCAATCAACTCAGATGTTACAAGTCGGACTTCAACATGATAAGGATCCAGTGAACTCCGAACAATCAGTTTACTTTTCTACAAAGTCGATATCATTTTGGCTGTTTATACCGAGTGGTTACCATGGTTATTGTATATCTTCCCAGCATTCCTTCAATTGCTAACGAGAGATACCCAACGACAACTACTCATAACTGTCTTCCAAGAATATTTCAGACGTTCTCAGTTGCATCATGGGAATGGTCCAATCAAATAAAACATTTAAATGCGGTTACGTTTTGCAAGTTTTCTAAGATGTTTTTACACCGTAAAGATTTCTGGTATTATCATAGACACTAATCAAAGCGGATACATTATTTTCGTACATCTCTGCAGTTGTAATTGTTGCATCAGTGTTTTTGCTAATAAACGGTTAATTTGGTATGAAACCAAACTCGTTTTTGATTTGTTTTATGTTGTCAAGCTTCGTTTTAAGCTCGAAACGATGGGCGAATATAAATTAGAGTTTTGAGTAAAATCAGAACAGTTTCCGTCGAGCATAAAATGCAAATGAAAGTCACTTCCTGAAAGTAGATATTTTAGAAGCAAGTATTTCCCCACGTAATAAGCACACTGTGATTTCTTATGTACATAATGTACATAGCCAAACAGTACATGCATCTGTAAAACTGAAAGTACGGAATAAGAATGACGTAACGCTTGCGTCAAATGGCATATTTTCAATAGCTTTTTCCAACGATTCTAAGTAAAATTTAAGTTTGAACTTCCAAATATGAACGCAAGATTGCGTTGCAAGAAAATGGATTCTGTTTTTCCTTTTTTCTCTCTCATTCTTTTTTTGATAAGTACTAATAAACATAGTACTACTAAACATTAGCATTTTCGCATTTCTTATTTATTTTTTAGCATTTCCAAAGACTGACACTTATCGTTCGTGAATCAACTTGTAGTACGTAAAGTTCTAAGATGCGGTATTTATCACTTTCTCTTTTCTTTTTCGCATATTTTTTGTGCCAAGTACTTCTTTCTTGACAGTTTGAGGTTTCCAGAACAAGTTTTTCTTGTAATTTTGATGGCGGAAATGTTGCTTCGCAACAATTTGAATTCTAGTGCATTTTCAAGAGAAATATGCACTTTTTTCAACTGAAAATGCAGCCCCATGACTTCGAATTTTGCATTCTATTTAGAGTTTTTATTGAAAACTCGCACAAAAAGAGAATATTTGGGTTTTTGTTATTTCCAAACTCTTTCATTTTGTAAATTGTACTACTCAAAACAATGCAACGCACACACTGGCAATTTCTGTAGTTGTTTGCCTGTTTGGCTGGTTCAACTTCAAGTTTTTTGGTAAAACAAGTCCCATGAACATGGGTTTTGCCTTTTGTTGCACTGTTCTGAGTAGTACATCAAATTTGTCTCGGCGTGCCCTTCTGAAGAACCATACTGCTCAGTGACTCGGTGGACGATCTGCCTGTCAGCATCCAGAGAAACTGTGACCATCCAATGCTGCACGGGTCAGCCTGTCCCGTACTCCATGCTAAGTTTAATTGAAGTTTTCATTAATTCATGCACTTTACAATTATACATCCTCATGTCATTCTGTTGCTCTGTTAAACCCAATGATTCTCATGGCATAATTGGAGTAGGCTTGTCTGCATAAGGCAGATAATACACATTGCTCACATGCAAACCTAAGCAGGCCCTGGGAAAATGACAGCTAACTGTACACTGTACAAAATGTACATGTACATGTACATGTACATGTACATTTACATTTACATTTACATGTACATTTACATGTACATTTACAAGTACATTTACAAGTATATGTACATTTACATGTACATGTACATTTACATGTACATGTACATTTACATGTACATTTACAAGTACATTTACAAGTACATTTACATGTACATTTACTTACATGTACATTAACAACATCTTGAGTTTTCATGTACAGTTTTCTTCACGCCAACAGGTACTAAACATTCCCTTAGACTTACAATGACAAGAGTTTCCTTCTGGAAAAAGGCTGCTTTCTTCCCATCAAATTTTCCGTGTACATGTACATGCAGTTTGCCAAAAAACACAGCAATTCTTTGAATTAATATTATGGAGTTCAACGTTGTCATTGGTATAAAAACCACAAGTTTCTCCACACGTTAATGCAATTTTTAAAGCTGACTTCTTGAACGTTGACTTGTCATCGTGCAGTTGAAAAATGTTTACGATTGAAATCTTAACAAAATCGTTTTGATTTATCAATGAGGCATACAAGGGTGCTCTTTTTCAAGGATCTACATGTACATTCGTTTACAGGCTGAGTGCTTATTTTTGCAGCTAATCTGTTGACATGAGCAGCAGTGTCATGTCTTTTGCAGTGGACTTTTTCACTTTTAACAATAACAGAATCAAATGTTGATTTTCAAGCTGAAAAAAAAATAGTGAACTAGCATCCATGGAACGGAAAACGTTCCACAATGTACAACATTTTGTACAGCAAAAAAATTGTAGGCAATATGGTGATTTTGAATGTCGCAAACGTTCTTCTACAAAGGCATTATTTGTGTAATAATTGCCTTTCTCTTTGTCGTTTTGATTAGTCCCAGGGCCTGCTTAAGTGATCCTGAATTCAAATCATTAAAAAATGCAAACAAAAATACTTGATCTAGGACCCAACAACTAAGATTCAATACAAATAGCCTGCCTGACCTAGCCTGTCATCTTTACTTTATCACAAAAGTAAAGAAAGAGAAAATGACACATGTTCGTACATGTACCTAACATGACTAGAACTCTCTAGTGTATTATCCCTGAACTTCAACCACACTTCTTTTTTTTCTAAATCAGTTAAATCGCTCAAATTAACAGGCACGCAACTGGGAAATTTAGAAACAAACAAGGAAACTCCAAACCACAAGACTTTGTAGAGTACTTTGCAATTTGTAATGGCATTAATGAGTAGTAAAAAACACGAGAAAATCAGTGGATCTGAGGAAAAGTTGCATGCCTGAATTAAGACGAAGTATGTTTTCTTTTCAATTTTTGTTATGTCTGAGACACACATGTAATAGGATGCGCGCTATACTGTACAGAACACTTTATGATCAGCGAGTTCCTTTTGGAATGTTCAACCCACATGTCCATTCAATTAGGCTATTCAGGTGGTTCCTGTATAGACTGATGGGGCTTGGGATAGGCCTAATACTCTGTATGAATGTAAAATTCCTATTCTGGAATGGGCTAACACTGCCACACTACATGTGTACATTAATGGTATGAACATGTACATGTACATGTACATGTACATGTACATAACCCAATTACTGTGAATTTCTAAACACCTATAGCCTTATACAATCAATTGAAGAAAATCAAAATGAGAGACCATCCACCACAGATGCCGTCACCATTTTGTGACAGGAAAAATGAGATATTTTCTGCTCTAAAGACCAACTCCAACGGTTCATAAAAATGTGGAAAAAAAGCACTGAACATGTGCTATATTTTGAGACCAACATGTGTACATGCATTGAACTGGAAGTTCAGTTTTTTCCCCTCAGAAATAGCAATGTCACAATTTGCTAAGATTATTCAAGGCCTTTGCGTAGACATGCCAAATGGGAATTGTTAATTTTGATCGCATATACTACTGGAAAAATATTGTACTTTCTTCAGGAATTGTCTCAATTTCCATCGTTTTGTTTTTGGACTCGACTTTTGTACATTCAGAAAAAGTCCAGCTCGTAAAAATTCATGACATGCCACCAAAAACTGTCATGATTTCAAGAAAATTAGTCTAAACCGTTTGAGATTTGTCACAGCACTCAGTTTTCAGAAAAATTTCAGCTTCAAAGATTTGGCTATATTTTTTATTGCAAATTGTCGGTGGTGGATGGTCACATATGCATGGAGCGTGACAGTCTTCAATCCAGGGCAATACCAAGCCAAATAAATTGACAAATCGACCTTAACATTTGCATTGAGTTCCTTTTAAATCCCTATCTTTAGTCTTAAAAATGCATCTTCAGAACCTGAAGTTTAGGGGGGTTTTAGTTCAGATTTTTGCAATGATGAAAAAAATGCACATTTTCGCATTTGTGCAAGTACTCGTCGCCTCTGTTTTAAAATTTCAGCACAAGAATTTTTCTTCTTTTCCTTTGGAGGCACTGGAAGTTTTAGAACGTTAAACTGAAGGAGAATTGTTGGCTGGTTTCGTAGCTGCATGTGCGTATCATTAAGAAAGTCAAATTCAGTTAGCCTGTTTGGCCAATAGCCACAGCTTGCCAAAAAATTAATGCCAATTTGTTTCCACTGTATCGAGTGAAGAAATAAATGCCAGAGAGTGGTTGTATCTGGGCATCACAGGGAGTTCTTACTCTGTTTTCAATCATTACGTGTGACTCACGATACAGGCAGGATTGTAGGCAGGATTTTGGAGCACTGTACATGTACAATGTTTGCACCTCCTAGTGCCTGCTTTATTGGTTTTTCTCACAAATGTTGACCGAGTGGGCTGTGTCTCTGTCAGCCTCGTGTGCTGAGCCCAGGAGAGATTGCAAGATCCAAGTTATGCACACTGTACATCTTTCTGTCTTGTTCTCTTTTTGCAAATGTACAACGTGAGAACTTCTTTAGCGAAGTTTTTCGCACAGGAGTGCTTTACATGTGTGAGCACATGTTTTTGGTAAAGTTTATGAGTTTGAGGCCGTGAAAAGCCAGAACAATGGCTTCAACACGAGGGGCTATTTTAACCAGCAACATGCATTATTTTTAACCAGCAACTGATTTCAATTATCAATGCACTTATCCAGGTTTTCCTTCAGACTGAGTGTTCTTTCACTCAGTCTTTGGTCATTGTCTGTGCATGAAGGCTTGGTATTGCCAGTGGTGTAGCCAGGGGTTTCAAACGTCAGTGGTAAAAAGGGCAAAGGAAGGGGCATTTGGCATAAGTGACAAATACGCGAACGCACATTTCGCAGAAGCTAAGATCTTGTGCTGTTTCAACACTTTTTCTGCCCTCTGATTTTACAACGAGTCGATTTTCATTTATGCTTGAAATCAGGTTCAACATACCTTTCTCTTGGTCATTGTCTTCAACATGACAAAGTACGGAGATAGTCAAGATATTTGTAATCAATGAATGATGCAAAAATCACTCTTTTTGAGTGACGATTTTCTGCTGAAAACTGGCTAATCAGCATTTACGT